TCGGCAGGCTTCACGGGCTGATTTTGAACCATGTGCCTTTGGAGAATCACGGATGGATGAAGAGGACACGAGCGTGGTCAGCCACAGAGCACATGTTGGAGTACTGGAAACGGTTCCAGGAACGCTATGGAGAACGCATCAAGCCCGAGCACCGCGAAATCGGCCAGAAATTCATCGACAGCTTTGAGGCGTACCATGCAGCGCTAGACGCCACCTCAGCACCGACGGGGCTCGTCCATGGAGACTACCGACTCGACAACATTCTGTTAGACGGCGGAGGCCTGCCGTTGACGTTGGTCGATTGGCAGACGTGCTATTGGGGACCCATCCTTCACGATCCTTCCTACTTCTTGGGATTAGCTGTGACGCCCGAGTTCCGCCGCGAGCATGGAGAGGAATTGTTAAAGATATACCACGAGGCCCTCTCCGTGAGCTCCCCGTACCCGATCAGCATCCACGAGTGCAAAGCGGGGATCCAGATGCACAGTTTTACCGGAATGCGTCAAGCCATTACGGCCGCAAGCCTCGTGGAAAGGACAACCAGAGGAGACGACCTCTTCTTGACCATGTTCGAACGCAGCTGTGAGCACGTCGCTGATACAAAGGCGCTTGAGGTGTTGCCGCCACCGGTGCCTGTCCCACATCTCGAGCCGGAAGCATCGGACGAGGAGATGCATCCGTTCAGTGACCACCCCCTTCACAACGAGAGCTGGTATTTCGATGTGGTGGACGCGGAGCAGCAGGTCGGGGTGTGGGTGAGACTGGGCGTCATTCCCAACCAGAGCGGCTCATGGTACCATGCTTTGATCTGTGGCCCTCACATACCCACGGTCGGAGTCATCGACTTCGAGGCGCCTCATCCAGGCAAGGACCTTGTCGTGCATGGCGCAGACTACACGGCCACTCACAAGGCCGAGGTCCCTCTCAAGGAATACCGTGTCACGGTGAAAGGAAAGGGGGTGGCATTCGACGACCCCGCGGCCATCCTCCAGGGGGGAACGGGGCGCCCCGTGGATGTTCAGATGGACCTGCTTTTCGAAACCGACGGACACCCGTACAAGTGGCGCCGGGCGACTAGATACGAGATCCCGTGCAAGGTGACCGGCACGTTCTCATGGGACGACCACTCATTCACCTTCACCAAGGCCCGAGGCCAACGGGATCATTCGTGGGGTCCTCGCGACTGGTGGGCCGCCGACTGGGTGTGGACCGCATTCCACTTCGACGACGGGACTCACAGCCACCTTGTCCACGCCAAAGCCCGCGGAGGAGACTATCCTCATCTCGGGGTCGGATATGTGCAAAAGGAAGGAGAGCAGCTGGTCGAGATGACGGACGTCAAGGCGGCAGCAGAGATGGCGGCAAACGGCCTGGGCATCTCGACAACAATCACAATGGCCCCGCTTCCACTCACCTTCCATGTGAAACCCATTGGGCATGCTCCTCTCTGCCTCATGGCGAAGGACGGCCGAGTTGCCAAGTTTCCTCGGTCCTGGGCCACAATCACCACCAACGACGGTCGCAAGGGGGTGGGTTGGCTGGAGTGGAACATCAACGAGTGAAGCGAAGCGAAGCAAACTTCAAGCCCTCGGCGGCGACGTAGCTCAAACGAACAAGTGGCAGTCTGACCTGGTGGCTTCCTCTACTGTAAAGTATAGTGCCCTTCACCTCTCGATGTGCCAGCATCATGCTTTCAATATCATTATTCTAAAACCCTGATGACATCGGCATAGTTTTCCAGTTTCTATGCCCCATCGACGCTTGCATTCATAGCTGTGCTCGGCCAGGATTCTCGGTCTCAAACCATTCGTTCACCAAAGCCAACACCTTCCGAGCCGACCCAAAGGAATTCTGATATCTGTGAATGCCCGTGTCAGACTTTTGATGGCTCCGGAAGAGGCCGAGATGGGGCGCGATGATAGGCAACCCGTAGATCACAGGAACTTACCCTCCACCGGCGTGTCCATACTCGTGACACACGACTCTCCTCCCTCCGTCTTCGGTCAGGATCTGCTCCATTTCCACCCTCGGCCCGCCTCTGCGCCCGGGCCGGAAGGCCACGTCGACGCTGACAACCTCGAACTCCCCGTCGGCGTCCAACAGTTCTGGAGCAAGACGCTTGCACCTTTCAAGGATCATTTTCGTGACTTCCATGTCAGGAGTGCGGCTCCAGTTGCCTTCTTGATAAGTACTTCCAAGCACCGAGACTCCCGAGCCGATGCGCGGTGTTATGGAGGCGTTGGCTTCGGGGTAGAACATGGTGGTGATGTGCTTCGCCTCCCCCTTCACCGTGACAATCTGACCGCGGATCGGGTAGACCGAGGGGTCCGGCACCAGCGCGCGAGCACCTAGGCCCGTGGCGTTGACTACAAGGTCAACTGGGCCGACAGTGCCCATGGAGCGGAGAATTGACTCGGCCCTGGTGACGGCTCCAACCAGCCCGCCGTCTACCGGTAGCTCCACCCTGACGATCCGGCCACCTAGGGTGCGGATGCTCGACGCGAGATATTTCAGGTAGATCGAGGTGTTGATTGCAATGCCATCGTGTGTTGCTCCACACATGAATACCGGGCCCAAGCTGGAAACGGGGATGATGTCGAAGTTTCGCACCAGGGGTGCGTACCATATACTGCCTGCACCGTCGGGAATGAAATCATGAGCTCCAGTCCTGGGAGAGCTGTGATCAGCAATCTTTTCATAGCGACCAAAAGCTGAAAAGCATGAGTATCTCGCCAACAGGGCCTGAACTTACCAAAGCAATCTCATGGGCAGTCCCTTCGATGGTTAGCCATTTGTCAGTTTCCATATACAAAGATGCGAATCGCAGGCGTTGCTGTTAAGCAGACTGAAAACGACTCACAGTGACTCCATGCACCAGACTCTCCTTTGGACTGCCCGAGAGCGGACCACACATCTGAAGCCATATTTTGTAGCTCTCTTTGTCCCAACTTTGCACCTCTTCCTCACGGGGGAGAGCGTTCGACCTCCACATCGCCGCAGCCCTTTAGGTAACATATTAGCTCACCTCTGATAACGAACTTTCAAAAGTTACTATGAGTCTGGGAAGACCTTCCGTCGAGGGCCAAAAACTCGTATTCTTGACTTGTTGCCAACTTACCATGGTGAGGTATAATCGACAGAGATGTCTCCAGGTAAGTGTTTGGCGAACACAGTCACGCTGTATCCAGCTTGAAGAAGCGTAATTGCTGTCTGGAGACCAATAATCCCAGCCCTACGGAGGCAAGCGTTAGTATACAAGCAGGCATGTGGTGCACATCGCACTGACCCTAATACGAGAATATGCTTCTGCTTCTGGGTTGCCATGGTGGAACGAGAGCCAAGAGTCGAGGCATAGCGGTTGTGAACCTCGTATGGCCAGTGGCCGGCCTTTTATTCAAAATTTTGGCATCATCCACAAGGGGTAAGGTCGACCAATTCATTGACCTTTGATTCGAAAAGAACCATATGGGTTGAAGCAGCATAGAACGGAGACGGGGCGGGCAACGGGCCACCAGCGGCAGCCTCATCCGCTCTCTATCATATCCACATCAGACTCCCCCCTGGTTATCTAATGCACGGATAAGCACAAGTGACAACTCAGATACCTTACCCGTCTTGCCACCGCAGAACAGCGGATGCGGGTTCCGCAGGTCTAGTTAGCTCCAGGTCATTTCCGTGGCGCGAAATCTCATCTGCATAATAAAATCTGTCATCTTTTTGACTGTGCTAAGAATTCAAGGAGGCCGATATGTGTGAAAACTCTTGCGTGAAGTACTGGCAAACCGCACGGTAGGGAAGGACACCTGGTGCTTTGTTTGATCGCCGGACTCGAGCGAGAACGACCGGACGAGACCAAGATGGACGACTTCGATGACATACTAAGGGGAGTCTCCCTTATGGAACCTATCAAATGCATCGACATGCACACCACAGGAGAGCCCACGAGAATCGTTTACTCCGGGTTTCCTACCCTCACCGGCACTTTGCTAGAAAAGCGTGCCCAGGCATCCAAACAGTATGATCATGTCCGCAGGCGGTTAATGCTGGAGCCTCGTGGCCATTGGGACATGTACGGCGCTGTTCTCATTCGTGAGACCGAGCTTGTAACAGCCGGCGAGGCCGATATAGGCGTTCTCTTCATGCACAACGACGGCTTTTCGATGATGTGCGGACACGCGACCATCGCTCTCGGTCGGTTTCTGGTCGATGCCAATGAATCAATCTTTCCGCGGAGGAAGGCGCTGGAGGTGGATAGAAGGAATTCGACTGTTCAGCTGACTCTTCATGTTCCCAGCGGACTTCTGAATGTCACCGTTCCAGTGCTGCACAATGGACATTCAGATGCGTCCCGCCCCGTGTCATTCCTCTCAGTGCCATCGTTCGCGACGGGAAGATCAATAGAAATACCGCTCCCAGCAGAGTTTCGATGGCCAGAGCTGGGTCATCGCACGTCAGTCACGGCTGACTTCAGTTATGGTGGCGCCTTTTACTGCTTGATCGATGCCCAGGAGTTGGGTTTTGTTGACGGTCTGGCTCGAGTTGACTTGGCACAAATGAGTCAAGCCACCAGGTTGCTAAAGGCAGCGGTGAACGCCAACCCAGGCCTGGCATCGTGTACAACACATGTTGAGTCTGGTAAAGCGGAACCTCTCTATTCGGTCATGGTAGTCGATGCACGAACCGACAATCGTGAAGTGAACGGGCTCGCGAACGGCAACCACGATAAATGCCATGCCGAACAAGAAACTGGCCTCTGCTTCTTTGCCAATCAGCAGATAGATCGATCCCCCACAGGCGGCTGCGTCGCAGCTCGGGTTGCGCTTGCTTACACGAACGGAAAGTTGGCGGTGGGTGAGAAGCGGATATATCAATCCCTGCTTTCGAAGTCGAACTCCGGGACCGGTGCCTTTATAGGGTCCGTTGCTGAAGTCTTACCCTCCTCAGGTGCTGAGCGAGATCAGCCTCAAGTCAGAGTTCGGGTCGAGGGGCAGGCATTTTATTCTGGGTCATTCACCGCCTTGGTAGAGGAGACAGACGGCCTAGCAAACAGTGGATTCGCCCTGAATCAGCTAGCCTGTTGTCAATGTTGAAGCCTCGACACAGAGTCGTCAAAGCTTCAAGGGAGACTCTGCTCAACTCAAATAAATTGGTTCATCTGGTCATTTTGTTGTTCAGTCCACCAGACCCACGGGCTTGTTGTTGTCCAATCTCCGTTGATTGTCGCTGATCCTTGGGTATGCGTATCCAGTTGATCTGCAATGTTCAACATCTGAGAAGGGCTGAAGCCACTCTCTCCGGGACCCGCCCTCCAACCACCCAGCGTGCCAAAGTCTGGAGAGAAAGCGTGTGCTGGCGGCTGAGAAGCGTGGATAGGCGGCGGCAAATGCTGATCTCTGTGATCGAGTAAGGGCTGGATCATCTGATCAAGACACAGCAGTTCCTTCTTTCTCAGTTGCGCCGGAACATTGCCCTTGCGGATCAGGTAATCTATAATGCGATCGCTAGTAGCCCTATAGGTAGCTGCATCAACGATCATTGTAGGCACAAGAGCGGACGCCATAGTCACAATAAAGGCGGCAGAAAATGCACTCTCAAGGTCGAAAGGCAGGAACGAGTCTAAGATGTCATTAGTGCAATACTTCACGAGTGCAAAACGGTTCTGACTCGCCAATTAAATGGTGTTCGTACAGAGTGAGGAGGATTCTCAGCGTGATTCTCGCAGATTGGAGGCAGGTGTCAAGTAGATTTTTAGTCTGGGGCAAGAGCGTTTTCTCAAGGTCTCCTGGGCCTACAGAGCCCTCGAGACGAGCGATCATGAGGTGAAGTAGAAGCGGTCGCGTGGCGAGGAGAATGCACTGCAAGGGTAAGGAGGTCAATATTCTAAGGGGTGGGTGTGTTGGATGCACGACATACCTGGTGATAGGACAGTTGGATATGGCCTGCAACGGTCGAAACAGCTCCAATGCTACCATAAGCCGCCGAAGAGCACACAACATCCATCTCATGAGCGATTGCTGCCATGTCACGGAGAACAGATTGAACAGTCTTGACAAATGGCCGACCAAGCCGCTCGACACTATAAACGGCTGAAACGTGTCAGTAGAGAACCTTCAACACAAAATGTTACAGAGCTCACAATTAATAATTTGTGTCATTAGCCTGGAGATCTTGACATTAATGTTCAGCACTGTTCCGCGTTGAGAATGGTCATCAAGACCGGGTAGAGGGCAGGTAATATCGACGTCTTGAACTGAGCTCGGGACGCCGATCATAGACGACAATCTCCGATCGAGGATATAGACAGTCCACCAGATGTCTCGATGGTGGCTGGCCACCCTGTCACCCATGATCTGGCGAGGCGTTCCACGGTGGAAGCCCTCTACTAAGCACAAGCGGACTGCCTGGCCGATCTGACATGCGCTGTTGTTAATGAAATCAAGAGAAAGGCGCTGGATGCGACTTACATATCCATAGGCCGCCTCTTTCCAGTCCACAGATATCAAGTACAATGCAACGAGACATAGTACCTGAATAGCAAGATTGGGTTCACGCTGAAGACCCACGAAGTCTGGCATGATGGACATGGCGCGTTGGAACCATATCGAGCCCGGCGCCGTGGTCGGGTCCTTGACCACGATGACCACGGCTTTACCAAGAGCGATAACCAAGAGGAACTCGATGAACCAAAGTTTTGAAGACTGGACCTTGTCTAGTCCTCGTTCATGGAACTCGTAAAGATTGCGAGTGAAGTCTTCCTCGTCGAAAGGCCGAAACATTTGGCACGTATGAAACTTGACAGCATTCATCAAATAGAGGGTGTAATCCATTGATGGGAGATCTGTGGTGTCGACCGGGCTGCTACGGTCTGCACTGGTCCAGTCTAGCTGATACGCAGTACCATCAAGGTTCAACGGAACCGGAGTAGATTGGGCCTCTGGAAAGGCGTCTTTCAATAGATTGAATACCCGCTGGCTAAATGTCCAAGTCGAAGATGGCCCGAGAAATCCTACAGACTTCATTAACTCGTCACTTGAATCCAGTCGAGATTTTAATCAGCCTACTATATCTTCCGACAGAATCTCGCACGTGGGTAGATGTGTGAGACACCAAAGGATTGGTGATTGAGTCAGACGGGAGATAATCGGACTGCTCATCTGAACCTTGCAGTTCAGGATCCCGGACTTCAGCCCTCTCCTGTTCATTGTCTTGAGATGGTCAGCGCTGTCCTTCCGAAGAAACTGGGGCACTGTACTCATGTCACCGGGAATACTAATCTGGACATTGGGTGTGATGAGCGAGGGCACAGACGGAGTTCTGGCTGCACCAGAAACCTCCTGGCCAGGGCTATCATTGTGTTGTCTCTCCAACTCTAGCAGATACCTGTCGAATCGTCAGACACCAGACACCTCAGTGGCAACAGAAGATAGCAGGACTCGCCTTTCCGAGACGAGAACTTTCTTGTCCACCTCTTCAAAAACACATGAGATCTGGCGACGGGTGCAATTGCTACATGGTGCCGTGCCAGAGCATTTGATCTTACGTCTCTTGCAGTATTGACACCTGCTCCACACGATTAGATGAGGGAGTATGGGGAATGAGAAAATGCTAGGGTCCCGTCACGGGCACTCACGCGTTAGCAACTCGTTTCTGCGACGGCTGTTCGTTCACAGGCGTCACCATCGCTTAACGGCACCACCGCATAATAGCTGTTGTATTATACCAAGGCAAAAGGAGGCTTGTAGGACGGAAGCCAGACTTCGATAGCTCGATACTCGATAGGTTGTGGCCAAGCAGGATCGATTCCCAGTTGAGCTTAGTGCGCATCTGGCTGCTTTGTAACCTGACGAGTCCCAATGAGTTGATGGTCCAAGATCTGCTTCCTGGGATGGCTGGATCAGAGGCAGTCTGCGACATGGCAACAGGTTCTCAGTCCTCGCTATCGTTTCTTCGGCTTATCGCTTATCAGCGGAGCGGCAAGTAACCTTTTCGACCTTCTACGATGCTAACTCCACCACGTTTAAGCTGGCGGATGGTCTTCCCGCGCACTCCAACACGAATCCCTGAAGATACTTTCCCAACCCGCGGCCCCAGCAGCCGCTTTCGCAGATAACAATCACTTCCCCATTCAAGACGATACACGAAATACCTCCTCAGACGTGGCTCGATGGCACAAGAACGTGGGTGTCGCACACGGTCACAAGGGTATCGAGACGGGGTTCGTCGACCCTTATCTCTCCATCGCCAGGCGAGCTCACCGTCTATTTAAGAGGTGTATGCTGCGTCTTGCCTTGCTCTGTGTTCAACTGAGGCGACGGAATCAGTCTTCGACAACGAGAACACATTCTAACAAGCGGCCAACCAGCAGCATGGGCCCCATCCCCCCCAACACCGACCACGCCGACAAGATGTCGCCAAAAGAGGAGATTCTCGTGGACGAGAACCCCTTGGTCCATGCCGACCCCACCGAGGAGCGCAAGATCATCATGAAAACCGACGCCGTCATTCTCACCTTCATCGTCCTCCTTGCATTCCTCATGTTCCTGGACAAAAACTGTCTCGCATACGCGGCCATCATGGGCATGAAGGTCGATACGCACCTGAAGGGCCAGGAGTATAGCTGGCTTGGCAGCATCTTCTACTTTGGCTACCTCTTGGGCCTGCCCGTCTCTGCCTTTCTGATCACGAAGGTCCCCGTGGGGCGGCTTATTGGGGCGGCAGCCATTTGCTGGGGCATCACCATGATGTGCATGTCGGCCTGCAACGACTTTGCCGGGCTTGCAACGGTACGGTTCTTCCTCGGGCTGCTTGAGGCACCGGCGTTCCCCTCGGCCATGATCCTCATCGGGAACTGGTGGAAGAGGCGGGAACAACCGCTGCGGACGGCGTTGTGGTACAATACATTCGCCGGCGTCTTTGGCGGCCTGCTGGCTTTCGCCATCAACAATGCCCACGGCTCCCTGCCGAACTGGCGATACCTCTTCCTGATCTACGGTTCCGCCACCGTCCTGGTCGGCCTGCTGGCCTTCTTCCTCCTGCCAGTCTCACCAGGCACAGCATGGTTCCTGAGCCCGCGTGAAAAGGAGGTCGCCATCGCCCGGCTAGCCGACACGCAGCAGAAGAACAACAACGACAGGCGGACAAACTTTCAGCTGAGCCAGTGTGCCGAAGCCCTCCTGTCGGCCAAGTACTGGGTCCTGCTGGCCGGCGTCATGGCCCAAGGCGTGACGGCATCCGGCATCACCAACTTCAACCCCTTGATCATCAAAGGCTTCGGGTATTCGGTCCAGCGCACGAACCTCCTGGCCGCGCCGCAGGCCGCGGTGGGCATCGTCGGACAGGTCCTGTGCTCCGTGCTGGCCTACTACATCCCCAACACGCGCTGTCTGTGGTGGATGGTTGGCACGCTCCCAGCGTTGGCCGGGGCCATCATCATCCACGCGGTCGACGTCGACACGCAGCGCACTGTCGCCCTAGGAGGCGTGTACCTGATGGGCTTCTACAACGTCGGCTTCGTCATGGCCATCGCAATCGCCACGGCCAACACCCGCGGCAGCACCAAGCGGCCGTTCGTCAACGCCTCCATGGGCGTCTCCCTGGCTGTCAGCGAAATCTTCGGGCCCCAGTTCTTCCGCGAGAGCCAGGCCCCCTACTACCAGCTGGGCATCTGGGCCCTCATCGTATGCTACGCCCTCATGATCGCTGCCGGCGGCATCTACTGGCTCTTGGCCATCTTGGCCAACCGGGCCCGCGACCGCGCCGGTCATGGTTGTGTCGCCTTAGACGACGACGGCGGCAGCAGGCCCAGCACGGACGAGGACCTGACTGACGGACAGAACAAGGCACACAGATACTCGTACTAGATCCCGGCAACAAAGACGCGAGGGGGAATTTTGCTTTGCTTTTCTTTCCGGGTAAGCCTTGTCTAAATGGTTCAAACGTACACAAGATCAATGAAAAGACGTGGGTGCCTCTGGAATCGCTGGCCAGGTTGCCGATCAGTCTGCTTTTCCAGTTCGTTGTGTTGTATTCAGTACACTGGAAGGTTAAAAGCGGGGAAGGTGTAAGTCCAGCTCTCCATCGACTGTTCGTCGTCGACACAGTCAAACGTAGCATTATCCGTCCACATGGGACGCAGGGGCCACGGGCAAAGCAACTGGGTCTCGTTGGCGTAGGGGCCCGACGATACGGTGGTGTTGAGGCGAGTAGGTTTGACGCCATTTTCGACCCAGTCAATCATAGTGTTCATGTTGTTCTCTGGATATGGTCCTGGTTGAAGAGAGTTGGTGCCACAATGAGCTGCGCCAGGAATCAGGTAGAGTTGATACCAGCTTTCCAATTCTGCGAGAGCCGCATCTGATGTCAGATTGCCGTACATGATGGAACGAACAGACTGCCAGTAATGAACGGACGATGCGGACGGGATGCTGGGGTCCGACTCGCCATGGTAGTGGAGCAACTTGCCGCCCGAGGACCGGAATGTAGTCAGGTCGGGAAGAGTCGTTTGGAGGCTGTCTAAGTATCGGATCATCCCAGTGTTCATCCAGTCGACCAGCGTATCATAGGTGACACCGTCTAGGTCGGAGAGGTTGGTAGTGTTGAGCAATTGGATAAATCGAGTCACGTATTCGCCTCCCGTGGACGGGATACTGAGAGTCCACGAGTTGGTGGTGTTGCTCCAGACCGTCGCTGCATCTCCCAGCTCTGAAGCAATCTGCCAGGACAGGTACGCCCGTTGGCCAGAGGAGTCATGAAGACCGTCATAGATTGCCTGAGCCACGGCCACGTCCTTGGAAGTGACCGTGCCGTTCTGGTCGGGTTCATAGCTGGTGGTACTGCCTGCGGAAGAAGGCCCTCCGCCACTGCTGTAGCCGAAGCCGAGAGACGTACTGGAGGTGTCGGCACAGTAGTACGACTCACCCACGATCGAGCTGAGATTGAAGTGGAGCTGGCAAAGATCCGTTCGCGACACGACCCCGTCGGTTCGGCCGTCGAGAGGATCGCACGCCTCGATAGTGGCATTGACAATCTTGTTCAACGCGCAGGGGGGAGGATAGTATCCCTGGCGGTGCTCGACGGCCGAGGAAAAGACGTGGAGGACTTGCTGCTGCGCGAAACGTAAGGCCGGAGCGCCAGCGATGACCCCATCATATTCTTCACCCCACCGCTGGACCTGGCTCATGCCCTCTCGTCCACCATCGGAACAGCCCTCGAAATATGTGTACACCTTTGAGGTGTTGGACATGCCATAGAAGCTCCGGGTCAAGGTTTTCCCCAGCAGCGTCATCTCACCCAGCGCCTGAAAGCCGAACATGTAGGTGGCATCCCAGTTGATCGATCCATTGCCTGTCAGGACTTTGTCCATGTAGGTATAGTCGAAGGCGTCGTAGCCCGCACTGGTTGCGCCCGAAGCAGCGCCATATTGCAGCCCGCCGGAAGCATCGCTTGAAAGAGAATACCCTCCACCGCCGGAGACGTAGAATCTCTTTTTGAATTTGGATGGTTCGGGGAACGCGTACTTGACCGTCACCGTGTCGTCCTTGCCCGGATGTGTGTAGGTGACGCTGATGTTACAGTAGCTGTAAGTTTGGGCATTGGCTGTAGTAGTGCTTTCCATGCCACCTGCCATGCCCGTGGTCGCATTGTAGATAGGGCTCGCCATCACGACCGATGGAATAAAGTCGAACCCGAGGAGGGTCCCATTGGAAGGCAATATGGATTGGATCTTTGTCACCGTACAGATGTCGGAGAGCGAGACGGCATTGGCTATGGCGGCGATGGCCACGACGGCAGAAATGGAGGTAGGGCACTGCATACTATGACAGAAGAGCAGCGAAAGTCGATGGAGCCTCGTCGGAGACGGTCAGAATGGTCGTAAGAACCGCAGGGCTCTGGTTCCTGCCCATGACGACGGTCTTTATACCGGAGATCAAAACTGCGAGGCCGTGAACTTCTGCAATCAAGAGGCCGCGTACGCCGGTGTAACCGATCACCTGGGGAACTCTAAAAGTCGTCGTTGCTGAGCCGCCACATAGTGCTTGCTTTTGGAGAATAGCTTGTCATATGGGACCAAGTCGGCGGCTCGAAGACAGCCTAACGATAGTTGATGAGACCGTCACAGGTACTTCCTAGCCAGGTTATGCCTAGTCTCTTGCGTAAGAGGATGCGACTTGCTCGCGGCAGGGTGTGGGGAGCTGCAAAGGTTTTGCGTAAGATGGTGCTTTTGCTTCTGCATTTTGCATTTTGACGCGTGTTTTGTTGGTGGAGATGGTCCAGCGATGGCCGAGAAAGGTATTGTCGCCATCAGTGGAGACGATGTCAGGCTTGGCAACCTCGAATCTGTCCATGCCTATCTGGAAGCAGGAGGGCCCGGCTGGTATGTAAGATGCTCGGGTGTTGCAGAGGTCCTTTCGAGGCGCTGTGGAATATAATAGCAGTGGTGTTTGATCCATGAATGGTGTAGAATGGGACCCCGGTCAATGGAAACCCGAGCGCAAGCGCAGCTATCATAGGAACTTGTTGCAATAAGCTTATCCAGCCCATACTGTACGCCGAGTTTAGCATGGCCACTGATAGAACCCTTCTCGTGGCCTGCGCTGGATGTTGTATCTAAATGTGCTATTAAAAATAAGCTAGATGAAGAGGTACTTAGCAGCCCTTCCTCTCACAACGAATACCGAAACTCTTGGTTTTGAATGTCAGTCAAGTCTTGAAACTCGTGATTCTTTTCCACCACATAAGCCTCGCCCAGCGCCGCCTTTTGCTCGTCACGCTTCTTGTTGCGTCGCACATACACCATCCGAATAAGGTACAAGTCGACTGTGATTAAGAAGTAGAGAATCACAATCGAGATTTTGGCTGGGAGGTACCTGGGGGCATCTTTTATCTGGAAGGTTTGAGGCGATATGATATTGCCCACTGTATAAGCAATGGTGCCGATGCAGGTGACGGTGATTTTCTTCGTAGATCCTGCGACGTTACTCGCTTGAAGTCCAAGAATGGTCGTCCAACCGATGGGAATACCTCCGCTTAGGTAGTAGCCGATTAGTGCTGGAGTCTTCTCGGTCGTTGCCATGAGGATCGCGCCAACAAAAGAGGGGATGTGTGTAATGATGCAGCACCACAGTCTTTGCTCCGTCTTCATGGCCAGGTAGGTCACCCCAATAAGTATGACAACTTCGTACGCGCCAAGCGGCGTAACCAGCAAAAGGGAGTTGAGTTTGCTGTAGCCCATGCCAGTGACGAGGATGTTACCGAAGCTAGTGGCGATGGAGTTGGGAATATTGGCGGCAAAGACCCAGAATGCATAAAGCCAGGTATTGGTATCAGCGAGCGCTTCCCAGAATTGCTCCCACTTGAACGTCTTGGACCCAATTCCCTGTTCATTCCCTCGGATACGTTCCACATGTTGAACCCTTTCTTCTTGCGAAAGAAAGCCCGCCACTGCTGGTGAATCCGGAAGGATGAACCAGAAAATCACACCGATCACGACGGTCAAAAGCCCCAGGAACAAGAAGATGATTTGCCATCCCTTCAAGGCGGCATGGACATCTCCCCCGACATGTCTGGCGACACCATAAGCAAAATACCCTCCAAACATCTGAGAGAATCCACACATGGAGAACCAGATGCCCACGCGGAAAGCCTGTTCCTCTTTTCTGTACCACTGGCTAGTGAACACAACCCATGCAGGGACGATGGTCGCCTCTGCCGCCCCAAGGAAGAAACGGCAGACCATCAAACTGGCGAAAGACTTGCATGCCGCCAGAGCTGCTAGGATTGCGCCCCATATGACAACATTGACACTAACATACTTGGCCAGTGGGAACAACTGCAAGACGTAGATGGTTGGAAACTCAAACGTCAGCTGGCCGAAAAAGAATATCGAAGCCACCCAGTTAAACTGGTTCCCAACGAGGTGAGCCGACTCCTTGAGACCTGTGACACTTGCATACGAGATGGAGGTTTTGTCGAGGTATTGAAGAAAGTAGACGGTGCAAATTAGCGGCATAATATGGTAGTCGATACGTCGCAGAAGTCGGCGGCTCCGCGCTGGATCTGTCGGTTGCTCCAGGCCGCCGGTGGAGGCAAGGAGTTCCAAAGCGGCATCGGCATTCTTCGTCCTGCCTGCTGTAACTGTGTGCGTCGTGTTAGGAGAGGGATTGACTTCAGACAAAACACTTTCCTTGGTTGCCATATTGCTCTCAACGATATCAGTGATTTGCAAGCGTGGCAAGATTTACTCGTTCGGCAGAGACCTTTGAAGTCTTATAATGCCAAATTTACTCACCACCAAACTTCTGCTTCCAAGCCAATTTTTTTTGAATGATGCACGAAGTCCAAACAAGCACGCAATTTTCCAGTCTGCTCTTTGACAGGGTTCATTCTCGTGGAATGTGGGATCGCTTCATTGTCGAGCGAGAGATAAAGCACCATTGGATAGACTAACGACCAGAGAATTTCTCTGCACTTATCAGTGTGCGGATCTGGCGTGATGGCTTTGCCTGTGTGGTGTGACCCACTCTGAAGATGCGCATAACAATATCTGCACTGCAACACAGTGTGAACGTGTGCCGTTGACTGGGGCAAATTAGACCGCAGGTAGCCTCGATTGCGTGCTTTCCCTCACAAATGCTGGGGCCACGGTGACCTGTCCGCTCTCATCAAGCTTCAAGACTTAAACGACTGGGTGAATCAATCACCTTTGCGGAGTAGAAGTACGAGCTGACTTACCAGCTGATGTGCAAGATCTAGGCCGGTTCATTCTAGAAGTGTTATGATTCGTCTGTCGCTCAAGAGGCTTAACATCTTCCTGGAGGATCCCGCAATAAGTCCGACGTCCTGCGAGGCTGAACAAGGCTGTGCTTGATCAGGGGAGAACGTCGAGGTCCACCCATCAGGTGCCAAAAAAAATTTTGATCAAGTCTGGCAAACTCTCTACCTTGCCACACTCGAGTCACCCATCAAGAGATCGAAATGCATCTTCCAGCTGCAACAGGGGTGACTGGATGCCGGCCGACTGTGTTTTGTCAAGCTACAAGGGTCGTTCCTTTGTCCTTGTCAGCGAAGTTTTTGGCTATAACAATAGTGATATCGTCGAGAAGCCTCGGAACTTGGGTTTCTCTCACAGTCGTCACGTAAATTACTTGTCGGCCCCTTGATATTGATGCTGATGCAACTCGCTAAGGAGATCCTTCCAAACCTGGGACAACCATACGATGGCTCGCAAGTCGGCAACATGTTTTTACTTTAGCATACCGTGGTCGTCCTGCGCCCTTGGGCGGTGGATGATATATAACTCCAGTTTGTATTGTCTCTTGAAGTCTATGGCGTATGCAAGAGCAGGGAAATAGCAGGGAAAGCCAATCAAGTGGGGACGACAAGCGATCCATTTGAAGATAGACTGGATACAGCCTATATAATCAGGAAGCGACCGAGAAAACACGCTCACCCCACCCACTGTTATATGCTGCATGGAGCAGAAACTGGAAGCATCAAGCTGGTCGGATCATTAGCCTCGCTGTCCGTTCTCTGACTATTGTCATCTCTCGTCACGTCCAGCGAGTGAGTTAGGATAAGACGATAGGGCGGAGATTTCGAATACGAGAGCAAGATGCGCGAAACAATTTGAGGCGCTCGGGGCGGAATCTTGGCGTCGGATGCTTGGCAACCGTGATCAGCAACTATGCCGAGTACCTGCGCCGCCGTAAAGCTTTCAATCAACTCTACGGCCAAAGAGCTCATGAAAGACCAACTCACAACTCCCAGACAATGCCGCCTCGACTGCACCTGCGGCTCTCGCCGTCAACGGCGCTGCGTTCCGATGTCGTCAAAATAAGTCCCGCAGATACAAACTCGTCCATTCCTGCGTTTCTCCTCCCTTTCCTCCAGCCTCAGGCCCAGAGATTTCCCCAATGTCGACATGCCTCGATCCTCACCTCCCTATCCGATCGGCCAGGCGCCTATAACAAGAAAATTCGCCGTGGACGTGGTCCCGCGTCTGGAAAAGGAGGCAAATCCGGTCGTGGGTCTGATGGGCAGAAACAGCATGGCAAAGTGCCCGCAGGGTTCAACGGTGGTCAGACACCCGAACACATCGTCCACGGAAAATATGGGTTCAAGAATCTGTCTGTCTACACTTGCTTTTGATACTGGAGAATACTCACTGACAGATGGTGTGCAGATTTGCCAATGAAATGTCCCCCATCAATCTGGACAAAATACAAACCTGGATCGACCAAGGCCGCCTGGACCCCTCCCGTCCGATTACTCTGAAGGAACTCTGCTCTTCGCGCGTCCTGGGTCGCATCAAAGACGGCGTGAAACTACTCGGAAGCGGGGCTTCGGAACTCAAAACACCCATCCACATCGTCGTGTCGAGGGCGTCGCAATCTGCCATTGCGGCAGTGGAAGCTCTGGGCGGAACGGTGACGACACGCTTCTACACCGCGCAGGCGATCCGTCGTATAAAAGACAGTCAAACCCACCCTTTCCTCTCTCTGCGCTGGGATCCTTTGGCGCTGAACAACCCGAACCTGGCAGTGGAAGGGGCCGAGCTGGCCGAGAACCGTGCCAGGGGCATGGGCTTTCCTTATAGACTACCGGATCCAAGCTCACGGAAGGAGCTAGAGTACTACAGGGACGCGAAGCATCGCGGTTATTTGAGCCACATGGTCAAGGAGGGCGAGAGCGCCAGTCTGTATTTCAAGCCACCAATCAGCGAAGAAGAGCTGAAGGCCCTGAAAAGAGAGAGTGCCAGGGGCGGCAGGGCCGCGAAAAGGAAGGAAGGAGACAAGTTGTGGTAAAGAAAGGTGGAATACGTGTATTATTTATACAGCGGCATGTTCTTTTCGGCGACGCCTTTCTTCGCGAGCTGGAAAGAAAATGCACAGAGAGCACTGAAGATGGGACTTTTGTATAAAGGTAGCACAGAATCTCCAAATGGAGAGTCCGTGACTCTACGCGTCTTGTAGAATTCGAGGGGAAAGCAGGCAAGCGAATTTCCGCTAGATCTTGACAGACACGGGGCGTTTTCGTACCTCGATAAATCTCACAAGGAGAGCCCGGTATCCCAGATCAAGGTCCGGCCATGCCCGACAACAGGCGTGCAACAATGAGGTATTTCAGCATAAAGGATAAACAATAATGGTACCATACAGTGCTCGGCCCCTCCAGAGGGGGCCGTCTATAAGTCAAACAGTTGTCGTTTTCTCGATCCGGGCCCGAAAAGCCTTCGGAGAAGCATTAATACCGCCCAGGAATCCCATTGTCCAGAAGCAAAGAAGCTTGCGGCAAGAGCATACAATTCCTTGTCACTTCCCGGAAACGCATATAACTCTCAGGCTTCCGGCCTTTGTCCCAATTTGCTTATTCTCGCGACACGTCGCGGCCAAAGAACTTGGCCTTGGCCCAGTCAAAGAAGACGAGGATGCGGTTGCGCGCTAAAGAGTCAATAATGTCAGCGCAAATCCACTGAAGCGGAAAGATGGCGGGGAATGACAGGCGATACTCACTGCTAAAGCACATGCTCAAATAGGCGCTCTTCCAGAACAAATACGTCATGGTACCTCCGCTTGCAATATTTCCGCTGAACCAAGACACGTCGGCAACAGCTTTTTCGGCACCAATATACGCAAGCGATCCTTGATGCGAATAGCTGAACGGGCCAATCTGCTTGATGCGACGGAGCTGGCGCTGGCGCTCGTTGATCTCTTCCAAGATGACTTTGCGTTGGTCTGGGTTTGCGGTCGCCTGCTTGCCGGACAAGTCGCGCAGTTCAGCCTCAATGGCGTCCGTCTTGGCCATGGTGTTGAACAAACGCGCAAGAAAAGTTCCTTCCTGAGCAGCGACTTGAGCGGTGGGCGCGTAGTTCGCCACGGCGCAATCGCCAACAGCCCAAATATTTTCGGTGCCATTAACGACAAGGTATTCATTAACTTCAAGACCACGACGGGCTTTCGCTTGAGCAGGAATTTGGGACATGAGATCCTTGACCACGGGACGAAGAGCGTTACCGGTAGCCCAGACAAGCAGTCCGTAGGGAATCTTCTCCAAGACTTTCGAACCGTCCGGGTTCTGCACCTGGGCTTCAATGTACTTGTCGGTGACATTTTTGACCATGGTCTTTGTGCGGATCTGGATATGCTCTTCCTTGAAGGATGACTCGGTGTATTCAATCAGTTGCTTGCTGAACATAGGGAGCACGTTGGGCAAAGCCTCAACCAAAGTGACATGGAAATCGTCCTTGATCTGAGGGACCCATTTCTGCAAGTCTTCCATGAAGAAATCCTGCAGTTCACCGGCAAATTCGACACCAGTCGGACCGCCACCGACAACCACCATGTGGAGAAGACGCTTGATTTCTTCGGGGCTCTGATCCTTGAAAGTTGCAGTTTCGACACAGTCCATGATTTGTTTGCGGATCTTTTGAGCGTCACCGACTTCCTTGAGGAAACAGGCGTGCTCACGAACCCCGGGGATTCCAAATGTGGCATTTTCTGCTCCAACGCCCACGACAAGCAGGTCGAAGGGAATCTCCGTCTCCATCGTGTCACCCTTGATTTCCGAGTCATCCTTAGCATAGACGATCCTCTTTTGGTAGTCGATCTTCGTGCATTCAGCTTCGTAGTACTTGACCTTTGCCTTCTTGTGTCGGAGAATGTTCCGGATGGGTTCCATGATGGACCGATGCTCGATGGTACCAGTAGTACACGAGGGCAACAGAGGGGTGAAGAGGAAGTAGTTACGAGGCGAGACGACAACGACATTGTAGTTTTCGGTGTCCAAGTTCTTGAGCAAGGAGACGGAACCCCAACCGGTACCTGGGCATGTCAGCATTGAGCATCAGTAACTGCGGGAGGAAGCGTGCGCACCAAGAATGACGAGCGTCTTCTTGTTTGGATCAGGTTCAAGTTGCTCTTTCGGGTTGCGACCTTCATAGATCTGATAGGTGACATATCCCAGGCCTGCTAGGACGGAGAGATAGGTCAAGCGCCAGGTCCAGAGGAAGAATCGGAATCGCTTCTTCGGTTTGGGTTCTGGGGAAAGCTGAGCTTGGGGGGCATCGGCGTAGCTGCGACGGAAGGATCGCTGGATAAGTGGCCGGGACACCAAGGAGGACGGTCTGGAGGCAATTGGAAGGGGGAGAGTTGAGCGGCGACATGTTGAGAAAGCTCGCATGGACCAAGGCCTGGGTGACGCCATTGGAAAGCCGGGCATCATGCGCAGGGGAAGTTTGCTCGCCATGGTGGTCGCAGTGGTCGAGACGTGCGGAGGGGGGTTTATGGCAGGATCATGAAGCCCATCAGGAGATCAGACGACGACAAGGAGAGACGAGAAAGAAAGGACCAAGGGAAGCTTTTTGAGTCACGTTGAGGGTTGAAGTTGAATGAAGGTTGTAGAGGAGTAGATTAGAGAGGTCAGAGATTAATATTTTGGAGAAAAAAATCCCAGAGGACGTCAGGGTCTGGGATGATTGGGGGTCGCGGGTCGCAGGTTCGCAGCTTGCAGGTCATACTAGATACTTTTGGCTAGTATGGGTATTACAAGGAGCTCCATGGCTGCGATTGTGGTTTGGAGTGGGCCTGGGCGCATTCTTGCTTTTGCGAGGGAATGGGCTGTGGTGGCGGCAAGCTGATGATGATGATAAGCGGCCCGGATCATTCTAGCGACGGCCAGGGACAGGTACCTCGTTCGCCATGGTAGGAGGGCAGAATGGCAGATAGCACCAACACTCATTGGGCAGCGAGGTTGCTACAGTACTAGCTACCTAAGTAGGTACCTGCTAACATATGTATCGACGTAATCAGTACGAAGCACTCCGTATTGTTACTGCCTGCCACTGTACAAAATGATGTTCCGGCGATCCGTGGAAAGAACGTGCGCTCTCTCTGTCTTCTCACCTCCCTCATTCACGGAGACAAGGTATCTTGATCGAAAGCATTTCACGGAGTAACGGTCCCCATGCTGCTGTTCCTACCTCAGCTCCCGTCCTTTAACCCCCACGTTTTCCCGTTTTCGATCATTCAGTGGCTTCGTCTTCCTCTTCGGGCTCCGCTCCGCTATGCCTCCTGGAGCTGTCTCCATCCCGGCACCACCGCCCATGACCGGTCGGAAGAGCCTTACATAATACGGAGTCCTCGACCTGCCCGTCTATCCCTACGCCCACTCGGCTGAATGGAATCAAAATAAATCTGCATGCTTCCTAGGTGGATACTCCTAGTTGGCCCTTTCAGACTCTCCCTGATCGTACTGTACCCGAAGGGCCAATGCCTTCTCCCCGCCTCCCTTTCTCCGAAACCCCTTAGACTGTCCCCTTCAGCCTTGTCTCGGTCTTGGACCATCACAATGGCAATCACCCCCATGATCCATGCTCGTGTCTACGAAGGAAAAGAATGCTTAAAAACCTGCATCCCGAGTGCACAAATTGAATCATCATTCAATCACGAAATCCCTCAAAGTCACCCACCAGACACCGGTCAAGCACTCGATCAGGCTCTTCCGTGATCTGAGAGAGAAGACTTTGGGGCAAAACCTCAATATGCTTGCTGCGCTTCTTCTCCCCCTGTCAAGAACTCCACCGCTCAGCTTGTTGGCTGCTGGTCTGTTGGGCCAGCCCATCCCCAAAGTAACAATAGAATGCATCCTGAGAATGCTTCGATTGTCTCGGATGGCGACATATTTCCGATCGAGGCCTGGCCTATCCAAGACCACAGATTCGAAATGGGCACACCGGTTCAATCTGACACTCGTCTCGACAACGTGTCCTAACTGATGCAGGCTCTCCATTCTGGCGGCAATAGGCGATGCATCACCGCCTTTCGATGCGTGTTTGGAGTTTGATGGCCCCATCTCGTGCCAGGCAAGTCATCTATTCCTCCTCATTGCGTTACCCCAGACAGCACCAGACATCAACTCAACTTTCACTAGGCTTCACCTGCTCCGATTTCTTCTCCGACAAGATCTTCTCGGCCTCGGTCTGGCCCTCCGGTGTGTACTCTGGCCCCGTTTCCTGATCTTCTTCTTCCTGTTCCTTGATCACTGACTGCCTCAGTTCTTCCGAGTCCTGATCAGAAATTTGCCCTTCTTGAGCCAGTCCGGAATGCCGCCGTGCTTCTCCCACAAGCATCTCCACCTCGCTGATCGCTAGTTTATCCTTGGTTGTTTCAGTCTCCACTCCAATATCCATCTTGGTATTGTGTTGTAGTTTCTGCGGATCGAATCGAACAACCATGACGGACAGATTGTCGGTCGAGAAACGTGCCAACGCGTGATCTACTAGTATCTTCGACGCGGCTTGAGGGTCGTGAACGTTGCGGACCAAGTCCACCGCTTCCTGGTCTGAGCAGACATCCCACAACTGTTGCGTGTTAGCATGACATGCACCCCAAAATGTTGGTCTCAAGATCAACTCACTCCATCACAGGCCAAGATCAAAAACTCGTCTTGGTCAGGTTGAATCACAGTCTCTGTTGTATAAGGATGTCCGGTGACCAAGTCTTTCAGATACGAGTCGCCCAATGCTCGCGTCACCGCTAGCACCCCGTTCACCCGGTTGTTCAATATCAATCCTCCGGCTTTCGATATCCTCCGTCCCTCGTTTTCGTCCATTCCCTTGTGGTCGTACGACAGACGAAGCGCCTTCCCGTTGCGACACAAAACAATCCGAGCATCACCAACATTAGCGGTGTAAAGCACTCTCTGTCGCGTGGCCTTTTGCTTGGCTTCTTGGATCGCTGCTGCCGCCGCCTCAGCCGTTGAGTTGGACCTCGGCGTGGAGTCTTTTCCGTCTTTCAGTGGCTCGTTGTTCTTCTCATTCTTTTCCGCCTCTTTAGCTGCTGCTGCGGCCAACGATGCAATAGCTTGAGACCCCGTAGCGGAATGGTTGGTGGGCACGCGGTCCTCCCACCGCAGCACCGCGGTGATCGCTGTACACCCACTATTTTTGAGTGGCAATCTCTCTAACTGATTGTCGGCCGAGGTGTATGTCTGATCGAGCAACTCTGGTACGGGCGTATTGGGGTATTTGCGCATTAGTTCTTCCAGGATGACGTGTAATTTCTTCCCACACCACTCGGCGGCAAAGGTGCCAGCATGTCCGTCAAAAATAGCAAAGTAGCCATTGTCGGTCTCCACCACATGTTGGCCAGAATTGGATGGGATGGTATTGAGACTGTTCCGATCTTCCCTGGAATTTTTCTTGGATAATGAGCTGTCGGAGGAGAGTACGGGCGCAGGCGTGCCGAGAAAGTTGTAGAGATATGAGTGAGTGTCTTCCATGGTGCGGCGACATTTCTTGTTCTTGTCTTCCGTCACGCCCACCAAAAAGGATGAGTTCGGCGTAGGTTGCGACTCGCCGGCCGAGTTGTTCAGCGAGCCTTGTGGCACGCTCAGTGCGGCATCGGTCTTGGACAATCTCTGCATGGGTGTTTGGGGCCCGTCCTTGTCGCCGTGGATTAACGAGTTTTTGGCCTGAGTAAAGATCTCTTTGGCTTTGGCACTACTGCTCCTCCGCTTCTTGGGGTCGGCTGTAGGCGAAGCGGAGGCCTCTTCTGCTGGCTTTCGAGTTTCGGATTTGGGGCTCAAGTCGTTGGTCTTGACTGTGATGGTGCCACCTGGAGAAGTAGGGCCATTTTGGTTGCTGTCGGTGCTGATTCGAGAGGGTGTGCTCTCCGAGTCTGTGTCCTTCTCCTTCTTGCCTCCAAAGACGCGATTGAGAAAGCCTCCCGAGGAGGTTCTCCGATCGGTTGTGCCCGCCAGCTTGAAAGAGACAGGAATGCGCTAGGAGCCTCGGGCCGGATACCAGAAGTGTCTCGAGCGAGCGTGCTTGAGGAAACGAAGGTAGGGAACTTCAAGGAGGACAGGAGAGAGGACTTCCAGGTCGAGTTCTGATCTCTGCTTGAAGGGCTGGGAATACTAGGTAGCTTGAGGATAAAGGGTAAGACGATGAGTCGCAGGTATGTGGCGGTCCGACAAGTGCAGATGTCGGTCTTGACGTTAGTGTCTCGGAGGTTGTTGAGGAAGAGGTTGACTCGAGGCAATGTAAGGCCTAGTCACGAGCGTCGCAAGGTGGTCGAACTAGGTGCAGCAAGAGGAGCGGGATAAAATGAGGTCAGTAGTGATAGCGCTCGCCTGAGGGACTGGTGTAGAGCGCGAGGTAGCAAGGGAGTGGCACAAGCAATTTATTGGTCCAGATGATGAGGATGAGAAGATGGAGGTGGCAGTGCGCCGCGCGCAGCTCAGCAGGAGAATATAACGTAGGTAGGGAATGATGAAATTTGGGCTTGCGATGCTGGTGATGTGTGGTGAAGATGGATGAGGGGTGTGGCTTGCTTTGCGGGCTGTTCCTTTGCCCTCTGCTTTCGGCTTGCTTGTTCTTTCCACCTCTTCTTTGCTCTTCTCAATCGGATCGCTTGTTGTCTGCGCTGGGCTGGAAGTTTGTGGGGGAGGGGAAGACCAAGGGCGGGCGAGAACCAGAGAGGCTGTGGGTGCCGCTCAAAGGATGAACCACATCATCAGACGTCAATAATTTCTTCTCGCCCCTGGGGCCTAGCTGCACGCCCGTGCTAGGGTGGTACCTAAGGTAGCTAACCAATTACCTAGGCAATACGGTTTGGTAGCGAGGGAGGGTGCCTAGACGTCTCGCCACGGGGAGTCTACGGTGGTGACGGCATTCCTTTACCAGGGTTTCTGCCTTCATTACTTGGGGACTCGGTACAGAGCCAAAGCCCGCCTGCTATATTTGTGTTTGGCCACGCACTCACGGGCACATAAAATGCACACTCACGGTCGCACGCACAAACGGAGACGAAGCATGCACAGCACAGGCACCCATCCATCCATCCATCCATCCATCCATCCATCCACATTATTTCGTCCTCCCTCGCCCCCCGGAATCCCTTGACCACCGACACCGTGGGAGCGAGACCCCGCCTGCTTCTAGTACCAGATGGCACCATTGGCGGATGAGTCAGTCAATCTCGTTAGGCGCCCGCTCGCTGGCTACCTGTCCAGCTGTCCAGCTGGTCCCTCGCACCCTTTCGAATGGCCCAGTGGCGACCCTGATTCGGCCGAGCAGCTCGGCAGCCGTTGTTCAACCGACAGGCGCAGTGGATGGTATTGATCAGGAGGCGGGCAGCCGAGAGATACAGAGTACAAGCCATCGATATTCGCCATTGTCCAACACGTCCCTGATCGCCCTGGGCTGCGTGAACCAATATGGCTCGCTTCTACGCGGCGACAACTATGTCCCAATGGCTTACAAACGCTGAACAAGGCGCAGCAAACGCAGTTCAATTATGCGTTAATTCCGTTGCCGAACAGCGAGCCCACACCTGGGTATGGATCCTGGAACATGCGGGCCTTAACCTTGGTTGTTCAATACTCGAATCGGACTACACGGGTCTTGCCATACAGCAGATGGGCCCAGCGATGGGATGGCTAGTTTTTTGCTTGTTGCAGTCGGCAACTTAGAGAGTCGGAAATGTGCTCGTACTGAACTTTGTCGGCTGAGTCGTTCTCCGCCATGCCCAGATTTTCCGGATCAAACATCCAACTCGACTTTCTCCGCCACCATATGGTATGCTCATAGAAATCAGCAGATCTATTTCTGACATTTATTTTCTTCTTGTTGACAGGGGCTTTACTCTGTGCCATGAACAAAGGTGGGCCACAGGACCTGGCCCTAGAGATATTCCCATGCACGGCTTTACTCACCCACGCGATTGTTTTCACGGCTCGAAACGTCTGTTGATCCTACAGGAGGATATGGATGTTATGTCGCCGAAATATTTCTGGACAACCGCTTAAACCCCCACTCCATGTGCACTGATTGACCATTACAAGTGCTATGGACTCCGGGGACACTATCCGGCTGTGAAATCCACTCCTCTAGGTTTGCCTCTTGACATGGACTATCATTGACGCAAGGCTTGCAAGATGACTTTACTGACCACAGAAATGTTGCGTCAAAAGTTCATGTTCAAGAGTAATGAGGGCTCCCTCTTGATATAACACAGCCACCACAACAGTATGGACTTCATGTGCACGGGCTGAAACAGCGCAGTCCGCGAGCTGGTCGTAAGAAAAGAAATGTTCAGCAACTTCCTCCCCAGGATGTTATTCGGATTTTCAACGACGCGAGGTATACGGGTATCAATGATGACATGATTCGAAGCATCAGCTTCTATGTCTCAAGCCTACTTCTTCATGGCTTTCTCTGGACTGTTTTGTTGTTAGCATTCTGTGACATGACCTGGGATGAACTTACTTCTTCTCCAGCAGTCGGCACCACTTTCTCCACTCACTCGCTGCTTTCTTGAATACCGTCTTTAAATCCTCCTTGACTTCCTGTATTTCCCAGTGTTCATCCTCCCAATTCTTCTCCTCGGTGTCACGACTGGGAGTCCAACCTATTGCCTCCAGCACGTCGCTTTCCGTGGGAGAATGCTCATAGTTCGGGAACAGCTTGGAGTCGGCCTTGTGGCATTCTGCATCGAGATATCTGCGAAGGATTTCGAGACGCTGGGAGTGTGTGAATGTGAGCTTCAACTTGTTGGACTCGTCTTCATGGTTGGGAGACAACTGAGTGGAGCTGGTCAGCCTCTTTGTCACGGATCTTGCGGTCTTCGCGCCACGGAAACTTGCGTATGCCCAGACCGTATCGATCTCGCCCAGCCCGCCAAACGGCCAGATGAATGTAGCTAGGATATCGATGCCGTACGCCACTGGCATAAGGCCGGTCGCGATGATGGTGTCTCTCTGCGCCTTGGATTTTGTACGCAGCATCGTGTTGACGAATTCCTCGCGCATCTGTTGGTCGGTGAGGTTGAGGGTGGGTGGATAAATGAGTATCATTTCCTCAACCGCTACCGTCTTGTGCGTTTCAGGGCCTTCGTGGTCTCTCTCGTCATCGGAATGTGCCTGCTGGGGACCAGGAGATATACGGCCGAGAAAGTCCAGGTTGGAGGACGTGGTCTTGTGGATGGCCCAATCAATCCCGCGCGTCGCTTTAGACTTGACACCCTTCCAGCTGGCGGTTTTGGCGGTGCTGGTCTTTGCAGAGCGGACCTCTTCTTGCCATTTCCGCTGGACCTTGTGGAGCTTGGCTTCCTTTTCGCCTTCAGTTGGTTTTTGAAGTGGAGGTGGCGGCGGGGTGTAGATCATAAACCGGGGCGGGATGGTTTCTGGATTAACATTGGGAAGAACTGGGCGCGGAAACGGGACCAAGTATCCTATCAATTTGTGAGGATCGCGGATATAGTGGACGAGGTTGGACGGGTCATCATCAACGGCAAATGTTTGTTTGTAGCGCTTGGGCGGTGGTTGGAACTGCTGGTGTTGTTGGCCAGAAGCGTACGCGGCCGGGTTGTAGACGGGAGGTTGCGGATAAGCGGTAGTTTGAGCTTCAACGTCAAAGTTTCCCTGGGCATTGGGTCTCTGCGGGAGTGGAGGACCCGGAGGATCGTAGCCCGGTGCTGTGGTTTCGTTCGGTCGCGGCGGCTGAGGGGGAGGTGGCGGATAGTTTGATTGTTGTTCTTGTGGATGGTATACAAAAGCTGGATGATTCATGTCCACGGGCTGTTGTTCTGAGTAGTAATTGGGATGCTGCGACGGGTTTGCCATTGTAATCTGGTGCCACACTTGATGGAGTGTTGTCTGATTTTTGTCTGATTCAGGACAAGAACAGGGCATCAACTAGATATAGGCAAATCTCTGTAATGATATGGGCACGTCGTAACCACTAAGCACATTGGGTACGAATGAGCCGCCGATCAGCGAGACGAATGATGGTGGGTGAGGATCGCAGGTGAACGTATACAAAGATGACGTCAATGTCGAGGACACTGCCACCAGCGTCGTTAGCACTTCAAAATGCCACTAAGTTCTACTAAGCTCCTCTAAGCCTCACTAGCCTCTCGCATCCCGCTATTTCCGACGCGGCAAGCCAAGGCAGCCGCGATTCTTGCTCCGTCATGCCTCACATCAGCCTCCATCAGCCACAACAGACGTCGCACGCTATATACCGAGTATTCGTGGACATGAAACCCAATTCAGCGAAACACAGGGTGAAGAAAGGCCTCATATTATCGCTAATTCTACCGCGTGAAGGTTTGAAGCTGGATTTGTACAAGTAGACAACAGTCAAGGGGAGACCAAGTGGAGAAAGTCCAGCGTCGCTCATATACATGCCCGTCACAGTCGTAGCCCACCACCATAGTATTGGAGCACGTCTCTCTTCTTCGTCGCGTCTCCATCTGCTTACTATACCTCTCTCTCAGAGCTGCAAGCACAGAGTGAGCACACTTGGTTACAGGACATAACCACCCACAGCACCAGGGGGACCTCCTTCGAGATCAATGCCCGTCACTCGCCTCCTCGTCTCCTCGCTCTCTCGTACGAGATTTCCAAAGTATTTCCGCGCAACCTCGCTCTCTTTCTTCGTTTTCGTCACCTCTTCTTTCCTCTGTCTTAGCTCTTCCACGTTCTGGGCGAGGTCTGCCGTTAATTGTTGGGCCGGGTAGCGGAGCACGCGACGGACCTCGGAGGCGATTCGGTGGGCGTTGCTGTGCGTGTAGTCCATCTGGGCGAGGGTTGCTGAGAGTTTTTGTGCGAGACGCGGAGGCAGGCTTTGCGGGATGGTAGACAGAACGTAGGCCACTGCCAAGATTGCTGCAAGAACACCACGTTAGTTTGACGCTTTGTATGAAGACAACATAACTCACCAGCAGCAATAGCGCCTGGTAGAATCAACCTCCTCAGATTCCGGCTCCCTAGTATTTTGGCCGCGCCGAACGCTCCATCAACCCAACCGACACCGCCAATTGCCCTGGTGCCTAACGTCCCAGCAACAGTGAGCGCAAGTCCTGTGCCAACGGTCTTCTCCTGTCGCTCCCACAACCCAGCAACGTCGAAGAAATCCCAGATCTCGACGTCTGTATCTACAGATCGCACCAGCGCATCCTTTCGGCGCTGGAACATCTTGTCTGCAGCGAAGTTGAGGTTCTCATAGCTATCGCCCACATGCAATAGGCCAAGTGATTTGATCGTGTTGACGCCCTGCACAGTCCTCGCTCGGCCGTAGTTCTCGCAGCTGGCGACGGCCGCGGAAATTTGATCAAGCATGGCAATGCGCAAGTCTTCCGCGTATTGGAATGCCGAGAATACCCCAGGGTATTCGATGCCGTGGTTTTGATTGCCGACGTTTGCAATAGTGCTGGATAGAGTTGATCGAGTGTGGTTGTACACCTCAGTGGAGGTCGAGTCAATTCCTTTTTCGACTTGTTCCGAAACGGCTCCACGCTGTTTCTGCTTCTCTTCGAATTCCGGTTCGAGATCCGAAAGTTCTTTGGATACTCGGTCAAGCTCCGATTGTGCAACGTCGCGGTTCACCGTGGCGAGGACATTCATGTCGCCCAAGCAGTTCATGAGATAGGTCTTCGCGGGCGCAAGTTTCGAGCGTGCTCTCTTCTCCAAGACAAACCGTCGGAGCGCACTCTCAAGAACTTCAAAATCTCGAATCTTTTCCTTGTCTTTCCCCTTGCCTTTGTCGGAACCGCCATCATCGTCGTCCCCGGGGGGATCCGATCCACCTCCACCTCCACTGCCACCACCGCCAACTCCGTTAGTGATTAGGGAGGGCACCATAGGAATAGCATTGCTCGACACGAAATGGACCAGTTCCTGGGCTTCCTTGAAGGTCTGTGGGCTCAATTTGGCCAATTGGTCCAGAATCATCTTCTGACATCGTTCTTTATCACGGATATTGTCAAACCCATTGACCACCATGAAGATGTAGGCTTTCTCATGAGCGGCTTGCCAAATGAACTCCTTGGCAGACAGGGTAAAGTGATTTGCTGCTGAGACCACAAAGACAACGACGTCAATCTCTTCTTGTCGGGCGAATACAGCCGTGGTCTTCACTGAGTCCGAATTCAAACCGGGAGCATCAATCAGCGCGATGTCGACGACGCCATTATTCAGTAACGACTGGTCGATCGTTCGGATATCTTTGACGTAGACCTTGCACTGCATATATCGGTCGTTGTCAATGACTATCTTCTCCAGGTCTTTCAGGGAATAAGAGTCATAGGTGCTTTCATCATTCCGATCGTAGACGGAGTCCTTGTGGACAGCATGGACCTCTTCGATGCCACCATTTTCTTTAGCATCCAGCACTTCACAGAAGATACTGGTACATGGTTGCTGATCCTCAGGCAGAATCTTGCGGCGCAGGAGGGCGTTACAGAAGGTCGACTTTCCCGCATTTAGATCTCCGGTAACCAAGACTTTGCTTGACGTATCTTCTATCCGGTCCCGGAGTGCCAGTAAATGCCGAACGCTCTGACTTATCTTACCGTCCAGTAATGACGCGATTGACTTCTTTTCCAGAGAATGAACAAGTTCCGTTTGAGATAGCGCGCCGACTTTGAGGTCAAGTTTGAGGATGGAAAACTCTTGCGCGATTTGTGGTGTGATGAGCCGTGGTTCCGGTGTCGGTCTATGTTGTACTTGCGAACTTGACTCTCCCGTCGCATCTTCTCCCACTGAAGTCCCAGCTCTTCTCAACGCTCCGGGCCGATCTTGTGCTGCCTTTTTGAGAAACATCTGCCGTGACAGATCCGCCGCTTGCCTTGTTGACTGGACTTCTCGCAGGACTGGTCTGACTGACTGGCTGTCTTTCTCATCTTTCTGAACAGAAGGGTAGTGCGCAGGCCATTGAGCGTTCATCTCTTGTAATTGCTTCAGCAGTTCGACGGTCTGGGAGATTGCTTTCGCAAGGGCGACGCGATTTTGATTGTAATAGAGTTGATGCACATGGCTGGCGAGCGATCGTTTCTCTGTTTCCGACATCTTCGCGGGTTGTCCATGGATCTGGGGAGTATGGGCAGGTGTCGGTCTGTCTCTCAGCAGTTCATCCTCCCACGCACGCATCTCGCCACCAGACTGTTGCACGTCACTTGCCATGCTGCCATAGCCAGAATCTTGTTCTAGCTGTTGCATAAGAGCTGCAGCATGAGATGGCTGTGATCCAGTTCCTACGGTCATGTACTCGGGCCGGTAAATAGGTGGGTGGATAGGGCTGGGCGATGTCAATTCGTCCTGGTCCATGGAGGGCGCGAAATCAGGATCAAGGGGAGCGCGCGATGATCCTTCGCCAGATTCATTGGTGTCGCTCATTTTGGAAATGGTGTTCAGTAGTCCCTAATTGATCATTGCAAGATTCGTCGGATCGAAGGGCTCGTCTAGGTCCATGATAGTGACTGTAGCTGAACCTGCGAATAATCTGTAGATGTTTTCGTCTGCGGATGGAGAAAAAGAAGACGGAGGTCGCAGTCTGGGGTGATCGGAGGAACAGCCGATGTTCTTCCGGCAGCGTCAGTGGCTGCTGCACCGACGCTCTAGTTCACGCTTCTAAGACCGCAGCCTCGAGTTGATCTCTGTGACAGACTCTATTGCACGGATTCTTTGATTGCAGTCTAATACTTGGTAGACTCTGCGCCATCTTGCCTTTGTATTCCGGCCACTCTTCGAACACCTCACCATGAATGTGAGTCTCTGTCGTCTCTCTGCCCACCACCGCTTCGACCCCACTAACCTCTCGATATCAGATAATAGAATGGGCCTTTGGCAAACGCATGACCCCAGCCGAGAGGCTACGCAAACACCAACGCGCTCTGGAGAAGACCCAACGTGAACTGGACCGTGAGCGTGTAAAACTAGAGAATCAAGAGAAAAAGCTTGTGGCAGACATCAAGAAGAGTGCAAAGAATGGGCAGATTGGAGCCTGCAAGATCCAGGCAAAGGACCTGGTCAGAACGAGGAGGTATATTCAGAAGTTCTACCAGATGAGGACGCAACTGCAGGCAATTAGCTTGAGGATACAGGTAGACACCCCTGGATCCTTTTTACAGTGCGAATATCGGCTGACCAACGGCGTTACGTGCGGAAGACTGTCCGGAGCAATGAACAAATGATGCAGTCCATGAAAGGAGCTACTATGCTACTTGGGAGCATGAATCGTCAGATGAACCTGCCTGCTCTACAGCGAATCGCTATGGAGTTTGAACGCGAGAACGATATCATGGATCAGCGCCAGGAGATGATGGACGATGCTATTGACGATGTCACCGGGTTGGAAGATGAAGAGGAAGGGGAAGAAGTGGTGAATCAGGTGCTGGATGAAATCGGTGTCGATCTGAATAACGCGGTAGGACCGATTCCACGTTTTGAATACCGGAGACTAATGCTATGCTACAGCTCGGTGAAACGCCAACTGGGATACAGAAGGCGGCAGTACCGGAAGGCCGCGTTGCTCAGGCAATAGGAGGCGGAGGCGAGGATGACGACTTGCAAGCTCGCTTGGATAGTCTGCGGAAGTAGGACTGAGAGCAGGAATCTCTGGAAAGAAGCTTTGCATGTTGAGCACGGCGCCAGGCGTCAGAGTAGACGGGATATGTCTTGGCCTATTATTTCCTTATTGCAAATAACTGTCTACAGTTACGACTCAGTGCCACCAGGGAGGCTTTACGCCAATCTATTTCTTTTCCTCTTGACTGGGACATCGCAAGAGCTGAAGTGTTGCATTGCGAATGGCTACATACTTAGGAAAGTTGCCGCGACTAGCACTTAACGCTGCTATCACAGAGAAGACACAATGTTCCCTTCGCATCAGAAATTGTAACTTATGATCAATAGACGGGTGAGACTCATCAAGTAACTCCGCAGACAAGCCTTGAGCAAAATGTCGAGGTCTAGCTTCGGGTCCTTTTCACCATGACGCCCTCATATTCACCGCCCCATAACCAACATCGGCTGCCAGCGCCGATGCTCTAACCCTTTGGACAGAAAACCAAATAAGTCTTTGTAGGACTCCCCTGTTGTTACAGTCTAGCTACAGTGGCCGAAGTATATCAGACGCCCGCATCTTCTCTCAATTGGTCAGCTCCACTGTGACAGGTTGACCTAGCGGCGCGCCCACGTTGCTGTAAGCTCCCTGGACATTTCCTAGTTCTCTAATCAGCAACTTGTACAACTCGACAGAACGACTTAGCGATAACGAAAGGGGGCCTTGTAGTGGTGCACGTACCAGGAGGATAATAGTTGCAAACCGTGAAATATTGTGTAAACTCGGCACCCACCACTCCGTTGGGGCAAAACTGCGTCGCGCAGCCTACTTGTTGAGTCTCTTTCCACACAATCTGCGAGAAGTGGCCCCATGAGTCGAAGTTGCTTGTATCCGGATTGTCCACACCGTAAGGGAGTGGGTAGTGTGGCATCTCCTTGTTGTACATGTCATTACCGATCATGGCCGGTACCTGTGCAGGTGTGTATCCGGCTCCGATGTTCTGACCATAGCTGCCGCCACCAGCTGTGCTGTAAAGAGTAGAATGGTTTAGCATAGGGCTAGTCAACGGCGCAATGCAAAAGGACGGCAATACAATTACTTACGTGTTGTGGCCATATACGCAGCTGGCGGCAATCTGGGCAGCAATAGTCGCCAAGTTGTCGGACCAAGTCAAATCGGATGCAGAGTGATTTCGACGGTGAATGTTGTGGGCTTGAAGTATGGCATCGTTATAGGATAAAGAGCGAACATCATCCGTCACGACTGCCCCTTGTGCAACAGTTGTGGTCGTGGAGGTAGATGTAGATGAGGTGGACAGCAAAGTAGTGCTGGAAGGGGACAATGTGGTTGCTGAGGAGACTATCGAGGTAGTTGTCGAAAATGTCGTGCTAGAGGTAGAAGAGGTATCTGATGTGACTGAGGAAGAGCTGCTTGTGGAACTGCTGCTGGCGGACACACTTGAGCTGCTGGTTGAACTGTCAGTGCGACTGCTAGAAGTGCTGTCCGATGACGACGTGTCGAGAGTCGAACTGGAAGTTGTCGAAACACTGGGTGTGGAGGTGGACGTGAAAGAGCTACTGCTAGCACTTAAAGAGGTCGTGGTGCTTCCCCCAATAGGACCACCACTATTGCTACTTGAGCTGAACGTTGTTGTGGTACTGAAGCTGGTGGAAGTCAAGCTGCTACTTCCTCCGCCAGTTGAGCTGGTCGACGTGCTAGAGGAGGCTGAGGTGAGTGATGAGCTTGATGTCGTCAAGGATCCGGTGCTGCTCCCAGAAGGACTCGTTGACGTGCCGGAGGTACGGGATGAGGAAGAAGTTGAGACGCCAGAAGTGCTAGATGACCATTGAGGATTGGTCGGATAGCCATAAGTAGTTGCACTCGATCTTGTGGAACTACCAATAGGACCAACGCCGGATGATGAACTGGATAATTTTGAAGAAGTCGACGTCCTGCTAGATGTAGAAGACTCCTTAGTGTGAGGAGGCTCGAGCCAATCGGCCCATGGTTCATGCTCTGCATTTGTCGGGGCAGGGCCATAAATGGTCGTAAACTTCGTTTGAGTTCGTGTCAATGTACCGGCGTCATTTCCACGCCCGGGGTTCCAGTCTATCCAAGCCAGATCATCAGTGGGCTGAGGACCTGTCCAGATCGTCGTCGTCAATCCCGGACCATGGCCACCACGACTGGGCTCCAATTCAATGACAATGCCGGTCTTGGTCGTTATTGTTCCCGCGGTGCTGTAGACTGCTACTATAGGACCGGCCTTGGTAACAATCCTTCCAGCTGCAGCAGGGAAATGGGGACCAACCGGCCCAAATTGTGACCCTGGCTTTGGGAAGTTCTGGAGCTCTTGCCCTCGAACAACGGGCGTGACTTTCACTTCCCCATTGCAAGGGCATGATTGAACTATCCTTGTAGCTGTTTCCGTCACAGTAACGTCTCTGAGCCAGTCCACCCAGGAGCCTAGGGCCCGGCCGCTGGCAGCCAGCACAATAAGCATCGTTGTTGGGAACTTCATTTTGAGGATCTGTGGGTTGTGATATGTCTTTGTTAGGGATGTTCTTCGCCGGTTCAAGCTCAAGAAGAAGTCAAATACTGACAACCGTGCAAGGGCAGCGAATATGAAGACAGAGGGAGAGAACGCAAAGGAAAGAAAAGCGAGTTGTGGGAGGGCCGCGAGAAATCATTGCGGTGTCCGAGGGATTTATGTGTTCTCACTCTTCTCTTCCAACACGAGTAAAACCTGGCGCATTGTGATGCCAGGGCCTTGTTCGACAATGTATTCGACGCCCCTCATCCGGTGGGTGAGCCGAAAGAAATTAGACAGCTGATATGGACTGCTGTCATAGCAACTGTTGAAGTTGCGTATGCAAAGGCTCCCGGGCCTGTCCGTCTGGACCGCCCGAATAGAACGGAATGCACCGAGAACATGAACGGAGTCGAAGAACATGTCGTCCAGGAAACCACACTGCAGCTCTGGAGGAGAACAGGTTCTGCGTCGATGACAGAAACGGTGCCGAAGAGGTGTAGACGTGGTATTTATCATTGGGTATCAGACCGTGCTCATACAGATGAGTTACAAAAGGGGGTTCGGACCAAGGGGAAAGGGAGGATTCCAGCCGTTTGGGTGTGGACGGTGGCTTGCTGTCTGGTGCTACTTGAGTGCTTGGTTTAAAGCTCACGTACCATTCCCAAAATGGCCACGACAAGTCGAGGACGTGACACATATGCAAGGGAGGAGATTGCGGACTGGTAGATAGACAGTTGGGTGGGGGTGTGTAACAACATGCTGGGTGGTGTGGGCGACGGTGTGGAAGGCCCCAGGGCCTCAGTAACAGATTTGTATAGAGAGCACATTGTCTCCAATGTCATCTGTACGGTCAAATGGGCTTGCAGGCCAGAATACCAGGAGTTGTCCATGGCGATGCCCGTCAGGGGAGCTCATTGCCTTTCCGTGACACGAGGTGAAACCGGAATGTGCAGGTCTCATCTGGGAATTCGCAACTATGGGAGGTCTGGGGGTTTGTATCGGAAGCAGCTACCTCGTCAAAATCTCTTTTCTGTCGATGTGGTAAGAATGCCTGCAGCCAGTTCATGCTCGGGTTTGAGGTTGTCGTTTGATACTCGCATCGCAAACTCAGGGGCCAGCCTCGCACGACGTCAGCCAAGGAAATGCTTCGGATGATTGATACTCCGCCCGGCCCTTCGAATCAGGGTCGATCATTGGTGGCAGGCTGACTTCAAACCCGCAGAATGCAGGTGATGCCCAATTCTGCGGACAGAAATGCATAAGTGCATCCAAACCCCAGCACAGACGGGTAGCGTCCCTGGTCAATCCTGCTCAATGTAGACCTGCACGGCTTTTCACGACCCGAAGCTCCTACAACGCTTTATCAGCAATGCGTCGCGCCAGCACTGGAAGCAATGGCTGATCGTGGAGATGATTCGGGCGTCCATTCCAGAGTCCAAGGGCGGCCATTCCTGTATCCATGGGTCAGTGGGATTTCCCTGCCTCTTTCACCCTGCTCACGTTGCGCATAGAATCGCCGCCTGCGTCATCTACATGGAATATCCTTGCGAAATCTTCACGTAACCTCGAGCAGTCCCAAGCGACAGGGCAAGACTACCACCGACGACGACGCCCCCTACAACCTTATTAGCCCAGCCAAGCGCGCGTTGCACGAAGAGTCGAATCCGCCGCATCTCACCCACTCGCGTTCATTCACAAACCTCCCTACTGTGGCCGACGAGGCTGCAATTCTCGGTAGTCCCCAAAGAGCTGCCACTTCCTTCGAGAGAAATGAGAAAGGACAAGCCAGGCCCGGCGGGGCGAGACTTCGCCGAAGAAGCACTCTACATTGGGCTACGACCAGTCCCCGCGTGCGTCAGTCAACGCTGGAAGACATGGTCGTCAAGCGCCTTGCCGATACATGGGTATCAGTGCATTGTGCAGGCATTTCCGAACCTGTATACATCAGCGAGGTCATAGAAAAATCCATGAATCCGAGTTTTGCATTCTTCGATTTGGACAACAGCGGACCAGGAATATCAAGATCCGATGAATGTACCATTCGAGTTTGGGCCCGACCTTCCAAGACTCAAGACTACTCTCTGCTTGTTGAACTGGACTTGAACCTGCGATCATTGCAATTCATTGGACGGAGCCTGGAGAATTTCCACCACCCTTTGCCTCAAAACTGCATCTTGCTACACCTATCTGATGGAATTTACACCAGCTTCACAGACTTGCCTGCAGAGCCCCATCCTACTGTCGAGCATTCAGTTGATCATAGAGCCGGCACTAGCAAACCGGGCTCTACTTTTGACGCCCTGATGCAGCTTGCGAACTTGGATGAGTGTATTCAAGACGCCATCAAGGTGCGCTCACAACTTGAGAAGGATATCAACAATGTCCTTGCGAAGGCGCGCGTTCTCACGCTTGAGGAGGAGGCAGAACCTAAGATTGATGACGAGAACCCCCAGGTAAAGGCGGCCTTGGCAGCAGAGCAAAAGCAACTCAGACAGTTGAAGAAACGGCGGGAAGAGTTACAAGAATCTCTGGCACAGCAAAGACACGCGCTTACGTTGGGGCGCGAAGCCGAAGTCGAATTCAGGAGGTTGGTACAAGAAAGAGCAAAGGAATCCAGGGAGCTCGAAGCGCAGCTTAAACAGATTGGAGCAGAGTCGAGCGGCCAGGTTAGGCGAATATGCGAGTCGCTTCTTGCTATCTTCCCAATTGAACCACTCAAGAATCGGACTCTTCAGTTCACAATCCGCGGCCTCCACCTCCCCAATTCCGTCTACAACGACACAAACCGAGACGAGATTGCTGCAGCTCTTGGGTTTACCGCCCAGATGGTACATCAGTTGGCGCTCTACCTGTCAGTTCCTTTGCCGTATCCACTTGAGCCGTATGGGTCAGCGTCCTACATCACCGATCCGATATCTATCGGGCTCGGCCAACGAAGATACCCACTGCATCCAACAACCGTCCCTTACAAGTTTGAATACGGGGTCTTTTTATTGAATAAGGATATCGAGTTTCTAATGAATCGACAAGGTCTGAGGGTTCTTGATATTCGGCACACGCTTCCAAATCTCAAGTACCTGCTTTATGTCTTGACAGCAGGTACAGGTGAGATGCCCTCGCGGAAAGCTGGTGGTGTTAGAGGATTGATGGGAGGCCGCATGACACCGGACATATTACGACGAGCGAGCGAAGATAGTGTCCGGAGTCTGCCGACGCCGCTGAAACAGGAACCCGACGATAAGAAGACTATTGTTGGCAGCAGAGAAAAGGAGACTGATCCCTTTGTAACAACATCCCCGGCAGTGGGTCTGCCGTACCGACAAGGCTTACCGGGGACAAGGAACAGGTGACAAAAGTCAGACCAATGCTCTGGCATGAATAGCAGCATAGCAGCTTGATGTCATGGCCAGTCTTTAAATCTCTCTAGCAAGAGATCTGCTTCTCACATGCTCTGTGGTCGTCTTTACCGATCAAAGCGGAACATGATGGTACGTGAATAAGTGACAAGGGTTCGATCACGCGTAGCTTGTGTACGTGTTCTGTAGTGAATTTCAACACAAATCCCGGGGTAACAAAAGGCACGTCGCGCTTCTACTGGCACAACCTGTCTGACCGTACCCATGATTCTTTCTCAACCGATCTCAGGGGCGTCATGGATTACCAGTTCCACTCCGGGGTGACCGGATTACCAGATGTCCAAAACACTCAACAATTCTGGTATGACGAGTTGATGGAGAGTGTCGATGTTGGCGCTTTTGATGATATGGACATGCTGATGCCAAACGATGTCTCTACACCACCCGCAGCCTTGCCGTCGGCTATGCTGGGCATGTCCTGTTTCGAGACCGGAGTGGGTGTCAGTGTGGCGTCCCCGATTGGTGGCGCAGCAGTCATGGTGGGGCACGGCCTCGGCTCTGCCCAAGTGCAGCCTCAACCTCCGCTTGGCCTCGCTCCTCCGGACGGCTATCTCGGTGTCGGTGTCGCGACTCTATCAGCATTCCAACCTGCTGCTCCACATTATAGTAGTGCCTTGCCTGCTATGGCCTACAATGCTCATCCTCAATTGCCCACGACCAGCGTGATCCATCCAAACACCTTCAAGAACAGCTCTTCTCCAGAACCTGGGGATCTTCATGCTGCGCAACCCCGCGAAGGCAAGCCTCACCGACGGGGCTATCAAGCCTGCCAGCGATGTCGCGAGCGCAAGGTCAAGTGTGACCTAGGCAGTACGTTACACAGACGAGAGTTGCTCGTATTGCCACTGACCATGTCATGTTCCAGGTGTTGATGCGCCCACGGATCCCCCTTGCAAGCGATGCCTCCGCGAGCGTCTGCAGTGTGAATTTGCGCCCACCAGAAAGAAGCAAAAGAGGTCGGACGGCACAGCGAGAGAGGTTTCCGAAACATATGACAATGGTGAAGCGCCGACTATAAACGATGGACTGTCCTCCTATGGCCTTCCACCGGGCTCCCGACAGTCAGCTCCTGCCGCGCCAACAACCAACGGCTTTGGCCGTCACTCTTGGTCACCTCAAATGTCTCAGAACGTCGGAGCATCAGTCACCTCTCAACCTCGCAACGATCCACGTCGCTCTCAGATTCCTTCCATGTATCCCGCATCTGCAGGGAACAAGCCTGCATCTGATGTCCAGCTGCACAGTCAGGTAGCGGCTGCAACTTTGGGCGCTCCAGTGTCAAGTACTCAAGATAGTATCATGCTCCTGGTTGATGCTGCAAACGTCTTTGAAGATGTTGCTCCTGGCGACAAAGACAGCCCAGTCTCCGATCGCGTTCGGAAGAAGACGATTTCGAGTCTTGGTCATGGCGGCCCTGAGGAGCCTCCGGGTGTAGGCCTGTCCCCAACGGAGCAAGCGGAACAGGAAGCGGGTCTGAAGACCTGGTCACAAATGCGATTCGTTCGCAACGGTTGGTTCACCGCTTGGGAAGCTATGCAGTATGTTGAATATTTCTACGACAAGCTGGCTCCCATGACTCCAGTCGTGTTTCCAGACTTCAGATCGCCCATAAAGCATCACGTCCTGCTCGCTGATGAGCCCATTTTAGCGCTGGCCATCCTCGCCATTGCTTCGCGCCATATGCGTCTCTCTGGTCACGCCGCAATGTCTCGATCATATCAGATTCACGACAAGCTCTGGACTCACCTTCGTCGCCAGGTGGAGCGGCTTCTTTGGGGTCAGGAACAGTTTGGGGGAGGGTTCTGTGGAGGTGGGAATAATGCGAAAATCCATGAGTCTAACACAGGACAAATCACATGGCAGGGCAGCCTTCGCACCTTGGGCACCATCGAAGCTCTCCTGTTGCTCACCGACTGGCAACCACGCGCGTTGCACTTCCCACCTGGAGACGAAGAAAATGGTCTTCTTGATCACAGCCTCATCGTAACAAGCGAAGTGAATACCCAGGCGGCCGCACAAAACGATGAGCGGAGAGACACGAGGGACTATGACAATCTCCCCTATGCAAGCTGGCTTGAACCTGCGTGGAGGTCAGACAGGATGTCGTGGATGCTTCTTGGACTTGCTCAAAGTCTTGCGTTTGAACTTGGTGTCTTCGACACGAACCACTTCTACTGCCGTCACCAGCATGGACCTGAGTCCGATTGTGCGCGGAAGAGACGCATCCGACGTCTAGTGCTTGTCTATGTCGCGCAGACCAGCGGCAGAATGGGCGTTCAGTCTTCTCTCAGTGTCGACGAGTGGGAGACTGACGTGATCTGGGACAAAATCAGCCCCAAACAAGACCATCCGATTGATATTATGCAAGGGTGTTGGGTGCACGTGGCCAAGATCATGAACCAGGCAAACCGGCAAATCTTCTCGTCGCACCAATACACGAGAGAGCTTACAACAACTGGAAAGTACAAGGAAGCGATTGCTAATATTGCCCCTCTACTCCAGCACTGGAAAACCGAGTTTGAGAAAGTGAATTCACACATCCACCCAGTCATGCAATGCATCTTGCTCATGGAATACGAATATGCTCGCCTCTATATCAATTCGCTCGGCCTCCAGAAGGTTGTGGAGTCTTGGGTAGAGGGCGGGGCAACCATGCGCAAGGCTACCCTACTCAGGATTTCGGAAGAGAACAAGCCCTACATCGATGAAGTCACCGAAGCCGCCCTCAATATCCTTAGCCTCGTTATTGACGGCATCGCGGCCAAAGGCTTCTTGAGAAACGCGCCGGTCCGCACGTACCTTCGAAGCCTATCGGGCATGATGTTTACTCTGAAGGTGAGAAGCCCCACGCCGCTGTCCCTAGCGCCAGAAGCAACTAACCTCACACTACACAGCGCTTCAGCTTGGGCACCCACGAAGGGTTGGTGCGAAAATGCCTCCAACAGCTGGATCAGATTACGGAGCTTTTATCCAAGGAAGTCGTTGACGACGTACACCTAGCCTCGTCAACATCTCGACTCGTGCAAAATATCGTACGCAACGTGAAGCAGACAATGATCCGAGTGCAGCACCCTGGTACCGGATCAGCAGGTCCAAGCCGTGAACAGTCCCGCCCACAGTCTCCTCACCCTCACGGCCATGATGGCGCAAATGAACAGCAGCAACAACAGCCCCACCACCACCACCACCAACACCACCAGCAACAGCAACCTCTACCCCAAGCTAGCAGCTCCATCCAACCCAAGCTCGAGTTCTACATGAATGATCCTCTCGCCGGCATTCAAGCAAGACCCATGGCAGACTTGGACTCCCAGACATTTGTACCTCCTCCCAATTTCGGTGGAGAACATGACATTGACTTTCCCTTACCCGATGATGTTAACATGGGCTCTGCGATGTCTGATATTACGGGCGATTGGCTTGCACTGCCCCTTGACAACCTATGGGGAGGTGACGAAGCGACTGTGGATCAAGGATTTGGTGGCATCGGGCCTACGCTCGGTGGACGAGACTTGCTTGAGGCAATCACCAACCGAAACTACAGCCAGATGCAGTGGGGTGGCAATACGTTTGGCTACGGAAACTTGTGACGTGGATGCTGAGTGTTGGGTTTCTTCCCCTTTTCACGCAAGAGCCCATTCAACCAAGCTCTGCGAGACAGTGGTGGAAAAACCGTGTGGACGATCCCATGCAACTCAGTTTCCTTTCGCCATAGCATCAATGACTTGGGGAATCCTGGAGGAACGAACATTTATGGACACCGATAATGGTATGGATGACCTTCTTGAACCATAAGGTGCCAGCTGAAGCCCTGCGTTGGCGGCACTGGCGTACATAGTTCTTCCTTCAATCTACACAACGCAGTGACAGTGAAAATATGTCAAAAGTCAGGACTTGCTTCCCCCAGGACCTGGAGCTTACAGCGATCGAATTTCCCGTTCCAGGCGAGCAGGGGAAGTATTATTGGGGCGGGAGCATGTGCCTGCGTAGGCGTGGGTGCATTCCACTCCCTGGCACGTGCCTGGGTACCTACCTCGTAGAGAGCTAGGCCCGCTGGGTACAGAAGGTGTGGCGAGGGGTGGTTTGATCTAACTTTGCCCGTAGCTCCCCCCTGCCAGTGCGAGGCCAGACCACCAAGGAAAGCGGAAAGAGGAAAAGAGGAAAGACGGCCCCGCCACCCGCCGCTGCGCCATCCTCCATCTTCGCATGATTCCCATCAACCTTCACCACCTGCATCTCTTGTCCCGGTAACAGTTCTCACTCACACATCCCATATGATACGCCTGTAGTGATGTCCATACTTGATTCCATTTCCACTCATTTTATTTGAGCATCGTCATTTCCCTCTCTCAAACCGAACCTGAGCCCGGCAGTGTCCCTTCGCTGATGCTCGCATGACCACAGCCTGCGGCGCGTCCGCAGCCTCGCAAACCTCCTCCGAGTCTCGGTGCATTGACAATGCGGAAACCGGAGTCGTTTGCTGGCGCTATACAACTACGACGGTAGTCGCGGCATGTCCACTGATGCTTCAATCACTGCTCGCCAACTATGGGGCCAGTCGAGTACTACCCACACCAGCCACACGGTGTCCGACGCTTGGTGTACGCCTTTAATTCTACCCAGTGGAGGTGTGCAATGACTATGAATACTTGAGTATGTGTGAGACGAGACGCTGACCCAAGTGGCAGGAATCTTCATCTTCAATGATGATACCACAACCACTCTTTCCGCTAAAGTCACCTTCAAACTCCCTTGCGAAAACCCCGAGCCGATCATCAGCCCGGACACCACCGGCAATTCGTCAGTCATAGGCTTCTCCAACCCCTTTTATGCCTCGATATCACCTCAGATCTTCGCCCTTGCCACCGCGACGGTCATCAGCTATATCCTCGTCATCCTCATTTTCATTACTCCAAGAACGTTCTATGTTGGAAGTCCAGGAGGAGGAGGGGGAGCCCGCTTCTTGGGTCGTCGTGGCATGATAACAGGATCATATGGATCGTCCTCCATTGTCGGCGTCGGACGAAGACCACTTCTCCAGAAGATTGCTGCTGTCACTGTGGCAATCTCTCTGACGATAGCCACGGCGGACACTTTCCACGTAGCGGAGCAACAATACAACGAGGGATATATTGACTCAAGCCAGTTGGTTGACAATGTGGTGGACAGTTTGGAAATTCGCATCATCCGAGTCATATCTGACACGTTCTTGTGGCTGGCTCAGGTTCAAACGCTGATACGACTGTTTCCGCGGCACAAAGAGAAGGTCACCATCAAATGGCTCGGGTTTGCCATGGTATCCTTCGACACGATCTTCAGTATTTTGGATTCATTTGTTAGCGGCAACCCAAGGACCAGGCCGAGGAGCTTTTCGGACGCGATCCCGGCCCTGAATTATTTGTTCGAACTGGCAATTTCGCTGATCTACGCTTCTTGTGTGGTGTATTATTGTCTGTCAAAGAGGCGCTTTGCATTTTGGCATCCGAAGATGAAGAATATCTGTCTGGTGGCGCTCCTGTCACTGGTCTCGGTTGTGATTCCTGTGGTCTTTTTCATCCTGGATATATCGCAGCCGGATTTGGCAGGATGGGGCGAGTATATTCGATGGGTCGGCGCTGCGGCTGCAAGTGTCGTGGTTTGGGAATGGGTGGAGCGGATTGAATCACTGGAGCGAGATGAAAGGAAGGATGGCATTCTTGGACGGGAAATCTTCGACGGCGATGAGATGCTTAACATGACACCCTCGGAGGACGCAAGTTGGCGTGGCGACGATTCGAGGCCTGATCAGGAAGGCGGTGGGCGGAAGGGGATATCGGAAGGCATGGCATCCCACTATCAACGCCTTCGCGTCCGCCTGCCGCTGCGAAAGAGACGTAAGAGGCCTCCCGCGGACGGCATTGCCACTGGTGCAGACGCGACTGATACAGTCGGTCAAACCATACCAGATTCACAGTATGTGATTCCCCAGCCAGTCATGACGCCTCCCAGCAGAAGTGACACGGGGAGCGCTGCTAGCACGGTTTATGCCGTACGCTATCACAACTTGACGAGTCCATCACCCAACCCACAGGCAGAATTGCGATCCCAACCCGAAGGATCTACCGCCGTCGATGTTCCCAAAGTGTCCGATGACTCTGGATCTTCTCCCTCTGATGCAGAAAAGGACCTCGCTCTGGAAACAGTACTTCCAACAGAGTCAATGCCCCCAGGTCGAACAATTTGGCAGGCAATGCCTAATCCTTTCAAACGACGGCGATCTGAACCCCCAGCAGAAGTGGCTGACGCACAGAATGCCAATGGTGTGCGACGGTCACCAATCGATCGCACCCTCAATCTAAGAGATCGTCTAGGGGCATTTGCTTCTGCCCAAAGAGATCGGCTTACCAGTCGAGGAAATGTATCCGCAGCCGCCTTGCCAGTCACGGTCATTCCTGCGCCGAAAAGTAATGATCGGACATGGTCCCCCGACGATATTCGTGACCGATCAATAGACGACGATTCCATCCGCGTGGGAACAACAGATGCTTCGAGACAGAGACCAGGAAATGCTGTGGCGGAGTCGACCGCCCCTGACTCGAGCCAGGCTGTTGTCATCCCACCCCCTATGAACGGTCGAACTTGGAGTCCAGACGAGGCACATTCGCACTCTCAGCTCTCTCCAGGTCCTCAGCGCTCCGACGGCGCGGCGTTTCGAAGCCCCTCAGCGAGAGCCAGTGAGCTCCAGCGAGCCACGCAAACATACATTCCTCGAGGCTCACTCTCCATCTCGGAGCCAGAGGGCAGGACGAGCCGGATGGCGGACCCATTTAATACAGCTTTGCCACGGTCCACAATGTACGCCCGGCCTCCAGCCATCGCTCCAATTGCGGAAGACGCAACAAATGAGGTGGCTAGTGAACTCTCACAGCCCAGTCAAAAGCAGCAAAGCCCCCCTGTGCCTTCAGAACACTGTCAGATGGCTGACAATACAGGTGAATCCGGACATATTGATATGGAATCGTCTGCTCGTGATGCAACTGTGGGCAACCCCTCGTCTGTCATGGTCAAGGCTGGTCAGGCTCCTCATGACGAGCAGCATACTCCAGAAAGCCAGGGAAATCAGGATGGTGATGCGAGAGACACGGGTGGGACGGCATCACAATCCATTTAGTTTATCAAAGTAGCTACCCATGAATCTTATGCATTATGGTTGAGTCTAGACGACACTCATGGGGTTAGGGAAATAAACAGACTCACATTCTCGGCCTAAAAGATGGGCACATCATTAATGGTTCCTGCAATGCGCCATTGCTACTCAGAAGCAGGGCTGTGGACCGCAGCATCGGAGTGTTTACTGCGCTTTGGCCGCCATACGCCGGACTAGACATCTCTACTGCGGACCATAGGAGCGATAACTAGGGCAGATATGACGAATTATTCTGCCTGCACCACCATGTGATTCTTCGACTGCCATCCTTTGGCCCATCAAATCTGTGGATGCATTGAGAGTACGCATGCCCCTCAAACAAGGGGCATGTACTGACTACCTAGGTACCTGGATATCGCTGCTTTCCTCAATGACGCTCCAGCATGACTTTGCGCGCCAACCATCTGTACTGTAATGGTCCTGAAGTACAAGGCGCGTTTGGCGTGGACACGCTCCCTCTCACCACAGTTGCCCACATCATCTCATACCTGGATGACGATGTCGCGTCCCTTGCGCGACTTTGTCGCACCTCGCGCGTCCTTTGGTACATGACCCTGCCGCATCTGTGGAAAAATGTCACCTTGAAATCATACAGCACTATTCGCTACAAGGACGAGGTGCCCGAGGGATTTGGGAGTGCGAGTCCTTTCTCCATGGGTCTCAATGCCTTGGTAACAAGAAATGTGTCGGGTTTGGTTCGCTCCCTGACATTGGACGGAGAATACAGTGCTTCGGATCTACATGAATATTCAAGAGCTGGTCGCGTCTCGGAGAGCATTATGGTGCTGAACATCGCTCTTCGGGCAGCTATTGACCAATGTACCCATCTCGAGCGATTTCGGTGGGATATGGACGTCAGACTACAGCCAAACATGTATGCTGGACTGGCGAAGCTTTCTCGACTGGAGGAACTTTGGCTTCGCTTCCCTACGAACCGCTCCCCCCAGCCATCACACGACATCCCGCCTTTGCCGAATCTCAAGTCCTTGACAATAACACACTACGATCCTCTATGTTTTCCCGATGACATCTCCACCCTGCTCCTCCACGCGACACGCCTCTCGAGCCTTATCTTGCACTTCTCACCCCGCATGCGCGAACAGGGAGAACCTTCTGTTGTGCTTACGCATTTCTTTCGGAAGAACGCTGCGGCAAAACGGAAACTTCGTCTGCGCAAAATGGGTGTGTATAACCTCTTCGCCAATGCCGACACAACAGAGTGCCTTGCTGCATTTGATCCCAGCACTATCAAGGATGTGACGGTATTAAATACGTTTGGGTTGGATGGGGACGCCGTTGTAGCCGGGCGGGAAAGCACAACCCATTTTATCGACCGCACATGGCATATGATGGTGAACACCAAAGAAAATCAACCGAAGCCCAAATCGCTGAGGTTAGATCAGTTGCATAAAAGACATGCGATGGATTTGGCTCAGTTCGTTGGCTTGGAAAGATTGTATCTTGTCAATGCAAGATATAAACCAAGCAGGTCTAATGGCACCATGGCAGATTGCAATGGGCAAGACCGCAGCAATGACATAGGCAGTTCGGACTCTACCCCTACCTCCGCCGAGCACTCCCCTTGGTCCAGATCAATTGGTAACGGAACCGCCTCTGCCAGGAATACGCCTAGCAGCTCGACCTCCTGTTCGGCGACAATCTCCCTGAGGGACCTCTACATCACCAACATCTGCACCGTCTGTGGTCCTACGCTTCAACACCTCATTTTGCCTTCTCGTTGGCCTCTGCCGACCTCCATAACCGCCCGCCTCATCCGCTCGTGCCCGAACCTAACACAGCTCGCCGCCGCAATTGATTGTCTTGAGGAGTCGCAGGCAGAGATGTTGAGGTTACTGATGCCGTTTCTAAGCGAACTGTGGGCTATCCGCGTGCTTGCTCCTTCATTTCCGCCGGATCTCGCTGTCGGTGGAGAGGATGGAAGGAAAAGCAGAGAAGCGCACGACAATTTCGTGGCTCTCTCGGATTATATGCACGAGCAGAAGATAAGTGAGGCTCTGTCCGAGCACATTGGCCCAGGAGGAATTGAGCCGCCGGACTTTCCCAAATTGAAGTATATTGGGCTGGGAAATAAGATTTGGGAAATTGGAGGAGTTGTGGAGGAGGCGGTTGGAGAGAAATCCAATTCAGGAGAGGAGCTCCGCGAAATCAACGGTAATGGCCACCATGGGGAGGGAAACAAGTCGAAGGAGGGAACCGTATACAGGCGGCGAGTGAGGAGAGTGGAGGAGAAGGACGTACAACACGTTGAGATATGGAAGATGGATACGTTGGATATCGTTTGACCTAACGGAGTCCGGCAAAAGTTTCTCCTGGCACCATAATATCCAAAGCGGTTTCTCTTGGGGGAATAGATGCATGGATGGACTGTATCAGCTGATCTGGACGATGTTGCCACGCACCGAAGATTTGGGACTCTCACCTCTTGCTCGTGCCTGTGGGTTAGACCTTTGGCTGGCACAGCCAGAAAAGCCGGGCGAAAAGTCGACATAGTTAGACATTGTACGCTTATGACCAATTTTCCCATAGGAGCCGTAGTGATCAAGCGCACAAAAGGCATGTGATGGCTTGATGCGCTATCAGTGCAAAAAGGGGGCCGCAGGATCAGATTCAGGGAGGCAGCTCTCTTATGCGTTGTATCTCGAAGTAACGATAGAAGGAAGGAAAGGCGAAGAATTAAGCTTGTCCGTTATAGCGCGAGGGGCGATCTTAGGGGGCAAAGGGTCGAGTGTATCCTGCATTAATTACGGGCTGTTTCCCAGAATGGTGGTCGGAAAGTTGGAAATTCTCTTAAGACAGGACACTTCATGCTTGTGTATTGCATCCACCCCATCTATGTAGGTCACAAGGTATTGAGAATCATTCTCCCATATGTGGACGAGGGCCGCACCGGGACAATCAACTGTGGTTAGCTGAAGCACACTCGCAACTGGTAATCAGCCCGCCACAGGTCTGAGAACAGAATGGTGGCCTCTTTTGAGCATCCAGAGGCGACGAGCAGCATTCAGTCTCAACCGGCCTTCCACATAACATGGATCAAGTTCCGGGATTCCTGTGTAACTCGATAGGGAAAGTGCACTCATCTATGTTATTGGCTGTTTCGTGGACAAAGGATGGCTTTTCGTGACTGTAGGGTCAGCCCGATCAATACCGCGGATACTCGCGCCGGTGACCATCGTCCTCATCGACTGCAGGACCAAATGTTCGTCGGCACTTAAATTGCCACCACTTCGACAGAGCGTAGTAGAGATAACTGTCGGCGTTATTCAAGGATGGCCACCCCGAGGATGATTGCTGTGGTTGGAGGTTGTTGATTTGCATGGCGTGATAGGGGCCATAACCGTCCGTTGGGAATGGCCCGTCCCAGTCCTGAATTGCGAGCTGGTCATCTTGGTACAGGGAAATGTAGGTGTCATAGCCCGGAATGTCCCGCAGGAGATAGGGCCAATGGAAAATCTCATGCAGCATGATCCCACTGAGGCTCAGCATGTAGTCGTTGTCGTGATCAAGCAGACCGTCACACCCAAAGCCCGGTTCGGGAGCCCCCGTCGTCGGATCTCTGGCCCAGCTTGGCGGGTTCTCGATGTCGGCAAGGGACGGGAAATTGAAGGCGTAATCGCAGACAGATATGAAGCCCAGGTCTCCCAGTGTGTCGTATTTCTGGTCGAAGTATGCCTGGAAGCCCGGGACAGTCGCACACAATGGGGTGTATTCACCAATTGCACTGTTGTCATTGATCGATATCGACAGCTGGTCGAATTTGGGATTGACTGCGTTCTGTCCGAAGCCGGAGACGAATTGGTTGAATGCGTTGAAATCTTGCAGATTCGGTGGAAGGCCCCCGAGCGGGATGTTGGCAATTGTGTAGAAGACGTCCCTGACGAAATCCGCGTCGGCTCGTTTGAAATAGCGGAGAAAGACCTGTGTCCTGTGTCAGGGTCATACGTTATTGCCAGAGTGTCGTGCACAAAAGGGCATCAGGCATATTTCACTCACCGGCTCGCAAGGGTTGAAGGTTACCGACACCATTCTGGCCAGCATCAGCGCCTCGTGAAAACCCCAATGAAGATCATTCTGTCGCTGTTGGGGGGTTTCGGGCAGGTCCTCGCCATTTCCGTTGTCCTGGTTGTCAAAGCGAAATCGAGGGCCGTAATTCTGACATAGTGCGATCTGAGCAATGAGCAAGAAGGAGAGTGGTGCCAACAAGCAATAGAGACGATAGAGGGAACGCATGTTTCGAAGGTAGACACAGAAGGCCGGTGGAGGGGTGGGTAAGAGGAGAAGCACTTGAGTCTCGATTCGAGCTCGAAGTCTGGCAGGCTTTCAAAGGTGCGGTTGCGTCTCTCGTCTCATTTTATCATTTATTTTGAAGGGAGAAAATCCCCCCATTACGGTCATATCGTGAAGTGAAGTGAGCATCACTTGGTGACAGGTCGGTTTTCGCCCGATCAGCTGTCTGCGCAGATCAATGCGTGTCCTTTGCAGTGCGATTGTCGATCGATGGAGGGTCAGAGGTCGAGGATTGGGCAATGTTCATGATGCATGCTGTGCGTCTGCTCAGGAGGTCTCTTGTTTCGTCACGTCTCTTGCCTCGGAAGCAAAGAGTTGTGAGCCATGAGGTCTGAAGAATGCACCTCAATAGAGCCTTTTCGCCTCCCAAAAGCTCGGCGCCGAAAGCGTCAGACACAAACTTTTGAAATATTTTGCACCTTCAATTTCTGCACCTTTCTGTCTTTGTTTCTCGAGCTGCAATCAAGTTCTCTGGAGCAGCGTCCACGCAAAACAAGATCGGTTGATGGCCGTCGATCTCGTACTAATGTCGAAGGCTTCGTGCATTCATAGACGGTATCGGCTCGAGCATCGCACCCTCGACCAGAGCTCGCCGCTGTCGACCCCGAGTCCTGAGCCTTCTTAGATGCCTCTTGATCTCGTTCGCTTCTATCTATGCTAGAGCTGGCCGTTTAATTTCGCTCCAAAGCGAGCCAGTGTGGACAGGGAAGCTAGAAAAGTATCAGGTCTCGATTCAACGCCCAGAAGACAATATCTGGTCGCGAGACTTCCACGGATCTCTACTGTCGTGGCTGTATCATGGGCTGCGGTCTGATTTGTGTGGAGACATTGGTGCCTCGATATCTCGTCGCTTGCTGTACAGTTTGATATTTTGATATCAATCAAACCTCCATAGCCCCAGCAACAAGCTATTGAAATACACCAGCCCGGGTCATGATTGCTTGGAATTCGTCCATGTTCACCCCCCTGCCGACACCCTTGCCTCCGTTCGCCTCCAATATCATGGCTTTCAATACATCGTCATCGACCTGCTCCTTCAGTGTTTTGGCCACTGCCCGTAAGTCCTGCAGCCGAATCACTTGCTCGTGTCCGCCAGCGCCTTGACCAGGATGGAAGAGATTAAAGGCAGTCTCGACTTCTTCTGCCTTGGTCTCATCGGTCTTGGATTTCAGCTGAATAGCGCACAAGGCAAGAAAGTGCGGATACGTCACGTAGCCTTCCGACTCGGGATCAAGGGTTTCGATGAATTCTTGCATCTGTGATTGACTGCTGGGAGCGAGACCTTGCGCTCTGTCAGAGGAGAAAGTTAAGTTGTCAGTTCACAGTATGTCACATCGAATACCCCAGGATGCTGTCCTCCCCTGTTCCTGACTTACTTCAACGCATTCTGCACGTCGCTCGTCCGAATCACACCCCCCTTTTCGTCTTCGTACTCCTCGACCTCGTCCAAGCAAAAGAGGCTCCATGCTTCTTTAATCCCAGCCTCTTCTTCTGCTGTGATATCGTTCTCCTTTGCAAGCTTTGACCGGCGTGATTTTGAAGTAGCAGATGGATTCGTATCTCGGGCAGGTCTGACAACGGCCTTGCCCTTGGCTGGGGTCTTGCGGGGCGCCATGGTGAATTCTCAAGGCAGAGCGAGGCGTTCTAGGATGCCATCCATTTGCTCCCGAATCTAAATGATCGTGTTCCTCGCTTGCACAAAACAGATCGAGATGGGTTTTGTGAAGAAGCAATCCTGTAACAGTGGGGAGTGATGGCGGGATTTCTTGATTACTCGGTGACGCCACACATTTCCAGCCTGCACGAGGCTGCGGCGGCTTACGTACTTTTGTCGCCTGCGATGAGACTACACACAACATCCCTCGACATTCCAAATACATATATCGATTCCTCAATCCGCATGATGGGATAGCGCCATCAGACACTCACATTCCAACGGCCATGGAGGTCCAGCTGTACATCTACGACCTGTCGCAGGTAACATCCCGCCCGTACAGAGACATCGCCAGAACAAGCTAATGGCATCTAGGGCCTCGCCCGTCAATTCTCTCAAGCCTTGACAGGCATTCACATCGACGCCATTTATCACACGGCAATCGTCTTCGATAATGTCGAGTATTTCTTCGGCCAGGGCATTCACCGGAAAATCCCTGGCTCAACCCACCATGGCCGACCGATGAAGATCATGAGTTTGGGTCAGACGCATCTACCCCTCGATGTCGTCGACGAATACATCGAGTCGCTGGAGACAATCTACACGCCCGAATCGTATGATTTGTTTTTGCACAACTGCAACAACTTCACGCAGGATCTCGCCATGTTTCTCGTCGGTAAGAGCATTCCTGACGAGATTCGAAGCCTGCCGGAGACATTCTTGAATACTCCTATCGGACAGATGTTGAGAGGCCAGATTGACGAGTCGATGAGAGCCATGACCCAGGCACCCGATGCTGTCGCAGGTCAGAATACTGGCCGCACTCAGTTGGCGGCGCAGCAAACCTCTAAGGCCGATCACAAGGAAGTTTTATCCTCTTCATTATCCAATGGCTCGTCTCACAAACTCACCGCTCCCGCCATTATCAATGCTCAACCACCCGCAGACGGTCCCGGCAAGGTCCACAACATCACCACTCTCTCTGAATTGGATTCCCTGCTCTCCTCAGCCTCACAATCTTTTGCCGTCATATTCTTCACCTCAGCGACATGCCCGCCTTGTAAAATCGTCTATCCGACTTACGACGACTTGGCTGCCGAAGCAGGCACGCGTTCAGGTGCAAAGTTGATCAAGATCGACATCTCGGCGTCCCCTTCCGCTCATGCAGTGGCACAGAGATATAGTGTCCGCGCGACACCGACATTTATAACGTTCCTTCGGGGCCAGAAGCAGGATGAATGGGCCGGTGCGAATCCGGCTCAATTAAGAGGCAATGTTCAGTTGCTGTTGCAGATGGCGAAGCCGCCACAACATCAGCATTCAAACTTGAGACTGCCAACGTTCCAACATGTTATCGATACACCGATTCTCTACACGAAGACGCCACCTTTGGAGAAGCTGCTCGGGAAGTTAGGCAGAACCTTCTCAGACGACAAATCGGTACAGGACCTCGTGAGCTACATCAAAATGCGCGACGCCAAGGGCATGACAGAAGCTGCACTCCCAGATCTGCACGCCTTCAGTGAGCACATTGCCTCCAAATTCACCGGCCTTCCAAAAGAGAGCGTTTTTGCAGCCATCGACCTTGTCCGCGTTGCGGCGGCCGATCCTCGTGTCGCGAGTTTCCTGACCACTGAACGCGAACATCGCACACTTTTGGCACTCTTCAGTACAATCCAGACCTCCCAAGGTGATTTCACGAAGGCACCATACAATATTCAATCTGTCACTCTCCAACTTGGGTGCAACTTGTTCTCCTCCAATATCTTCCAGGAGCAGATCTTCAAATCGCACTCGTCCTCGTCACCTTCTCCTTCTACAAGCAACGTTTTGAAAGAAAGGCTAGAAGACCTTGCGGCGCAGTGCCTGCTATCACCACATCTGAACTCGAGGTCTTTGGCTGCAGTTTTGGTATACAACCTTGCAAGTTGGACGCATAACGTGCGGTTTTACGCGCACAGCTTCCCAACCACGTCCCCCGACACACCCGCCGAAGAGGGAGGAGCCGTGAGCGACGACCTTGCCGCCGCTTTGCTCGAGAGCATTTCGTCCCTGGCAGCTCTCGCACCCGCCCCAACCACGACCACTCCTTCGGGAAGCGGTAATCTCAAAGAAACGCTCCACGCCCTCCTGCTTACCCTCGGGGTGCTTCTCTACTCAGCACCTGCTGGCGACATGCTTTGGGATCTGTGTCGGGCAATGGAGCTCAAGGATGTACTGAAGGAGCTGGGGAAGAGGGCTGACTGTAAAGGAGAGAAGCTGTTGAAAGAGGTTGGGGAGGAATTGTTGGGCAAAGGCGGGTTTTGAATGCTAAGATACGACGCCTCGGAAGATGCACATTGGACATCGCCTATAAGAGGAAGACGTGAAGGGGACTCTTTGTGTTGTATTGGCGGCGGCGCGTTTGGATTGATTCACTTCTAGATCGAAGTAGAATACGAGCCAGAGAGAAAGAGGCAAATGGATCGCGGACTATCACCACCACCACCGACAAGAAGCGATGGCCCTGCACTCTCGTTACGTGAATCAAGTTTTGTTTATCATTCTACACCCTAAGAGCGAGGTGCCTCGATCTCTGTCGTGTCTAGTCGAACCGAAGTGACATCAAATCTTATGTAGACCATAACGCAATATAATCGTGTGTGAACCATGTCCCGTGCGCCCATTCCGGTCCAGGCCCGTATCGACCCATCCAGAAGACCATGAAGCAATAGAGGCTCGTAAGAAAAGCCCCAGAATCATGCCGCTTCGCTATTACGAAACCTCTTTGATGCGACACTGCCAGCCACTCTCCTTCTCGAGCAGTGGCAAACTCGCGCCTAGGCACCATCCCAATTCGTTGCCCTTGATCTTCTTTGCAATCTTGACCTCTCTGTCAATTGGCATCTCATAGCCTGTATGCAGGAGCGCCGACATGAAATTCAAATCCAAACACCACTCGGGCCTCTCTCGGAGATCGTCTAGAACACCCTCGATCCCGGCAAACGCATCCCACGAGCCTTCTCCCCCGCAGACTCTGGCGGTAAGGTCTTGGAGTTCGCGCAAAGTGAATGATTCAGGCATACCCAAGTCGTGCGTGCGGTCATAGAAGTACGAGAAGATGTAGACATCCTCCCTAGCGAAGGTCTTTTCGAGTGACGGTTGGTGCACACCATTAAAGGAGCAGGGAGCAATTGTGCATTCTTTGTCCTTGTAAAGGATGGCTTCGGCGAGAGCTCGACATTGAGCTGGAATGGCGTCGACGGGACCCTCCATTATCACTGTGTGCTCTCCTGACAATTCGTGATCGGCAGGCATCTCAACGACGACTTTTTTCTGTATGCCGGGAGTGATGCAGCTGTTCGGGATGGGATTGCTGAGCCACGCCTTAGAATCGGGATTCTGCTTGTGCATGCGGTCGAGGACCAGCTGGTGCAAGGCTTTCCGCGCTGACATGAGTCCGTAGCCGAGATGCGAGTGCTGATATAGCTCAAATTCTCGCCCTCCGAACTTCAGGTTGTACTTGTGGTCGCCCTCTTCCATTTTCTGTGGCATGCCTCCATGGGGACTGTTCTTAAAAGTCGGCTGGAAGACAATCTGAGTTGAACCGCCACCGAGGTCAAAGACGGCTGCCGTTGGAGTTTCATCGGGCCCTCCAATCTTGCCTAACAGATAGTTGGTAGTGATCCAAGCGAAGACGCCTTCATCCTCCCCTTTCATAATTTCCACGCCGCCTTTTTCGCGAGACACCACGGGGAAAGGATAATGAGTCTCTAGTCTATTTCGAACGGCTTCAAGGATCTTGGCGCTCATCTCGTCCCCCAAGAGTCGTAGACCCGCAGTCGCCTTGACGGCGATAGGCGTGCATGACTTGTACTCGTTTGGCACGGAAGCCATTGCCACTTCCATGAGGGGGTCGAGACTCCTGGCGGCTCCCTCGGCATCTGTCTTGTATGAACTCAACCCGGAGCCCTCTGGCCTCTTCTCAGTCATCTTGAACTCTTCATTCTCCAGTTCCGGGGTTGGCCCGCAATTGTTGAATTTGTACACATGTATTCTGCTTCCTGTGCTGCCCGCGTCGATCATAATAGCATACTGCACAAGGGGCCGCGAAGGGTCATAAGGTTTCGAGCATCTTGAAGTCGGAGAATTGGCTGGAGTGTAGACATTCTGGACAGAGCTATAGGTGCTCTCATTTCCTCCCGAGAGGACCCAGTAGAGGAGAACGATCAGGGTAAGGACCCCTCCTGTCTTGAAATAGCGAGCCTGACGACTTTGAGTCATCCAGGCTTTCTGAGCGGACTCCAGGATGGATGGTCGGCTTGCGCCCGAGCCGCTTGTTTGTCGATCTGTTTTTTCAAAGGGATCCCAGGGGTGGTTGTTGGCTGCGGCGCGAGGAAGTCCGCTACTAACAGATCGGCGGCGAGGCGAGGCACTGAAAGGAACGTATGACCAGATGCCGGATCGGTCGGAGGATTTGGCAAAAGAGGACATGGAAGTCGGCAAAGCGAGCGAAATAGAACGAAAAGGGAGAACGTGCAATCTAGAATTCTTGAAATTAGTCGTAGAGGCTGCGGATGGACAGGGACCCGTCAATGCGGAGAAATTTGTGAGGCTGTGCCTCTCGCTACTTTGAAGATTTGGGGTTGCAAGTGACAAGAATTGAGCTGGGAATTTTGCAGCAATCCCCTTCTCTTAACAGGATTCCTCGATTGATACTTGGATGCGGCGGTCCCTATTGTTCGCTCGGCCGCTGCTGCGGGCTCTCGCACCTGTTCAACGCTTTCAGCTAGCATCACACAGATGCTTTGCGGCCACGCCCGATCTCACCATCGATCAACGACGCGTCGCTGGGAAAATTGAAATCAAAACCATCGACGACAAAATCGCGGCTTTCACTCTGAACGAGAAAATCCGTTCCTCCAAAGTCCAACTCAAAGGCCCCGACGGGAAGCTCTCTGAGCCGCAGCCCCTCTCCAAATTGCTCGATTCCATTGACCGCGCTACCCAATATGTGCTACAAATGAACAAGCCCGCAGAAGGCGAGATGGCTATTGTGCAGATTGTCACACGTGCAGAGCTAATCCAGAGGATAAATCGCCAAGAAGACTTGTTGAAGAACCAGAAACGCCTGGAGAAGGAGAAGAGACCGAAGCAGTTGGAGCTCAACTGGGCCATCAGCGCCAACGACCTCCAGCTCAAGATGAAGCAGATGCAAGAGTTTCTAAAGAAAGGAAAGAAGGTTGAGCTACTATTGGCAAACAAAAGACATCAGAGGAAAGCCTCGCAGGCGGAAGCAGAGGCGTTGCTGAAGGCTGTTAGAGAAAAGATCGAGGAAGTCGGTGCCGCCGAAGTCGTGCCTATGGAGGGTGCGATTCTCAGGCAGGCTCTCTTGACTGTCAAGATGCGTGGAAGTTGAACAAGGAGTCTACCAGTATCCGCCTGCGGTGGCACACATAACGACCCTCTGGCCCCGTTACAGACGTCGAAATCCGCTGTATCAGTCCAGGGGTCGAGCTATGGTCCTCTGGGAGTCTTGTGTCGACAGCATGAAGGCAGAGTGGGCTCATTGGAACAAATCGCTGGAGGCACGGTTGTTGTCATTCGAACCATCCCCGGCGGGCGATTTTCGCAGAACCTGATGCGGCAAGAATATACCTTTGCCAGCGTGGCGATCGATCAGAAGTCCTAAGCGAGAAGGTCTTCAACTGACGCGCTGCGGGAACCAGGTTTCAAGAATTTGGGTACCATGAACGTCAAATCTGTAAATTTACATTGTCCCACGACATTGAGGGCTATTTTGCCTCGGCGTATCACAGTCGTAAAGTCATCAGGGATAATTGTACATATACCAAAACCAGCTATCTCCGGTTCAAGTGGTCATTCCCACCCATGATTGGGGACTCATGAAGTGGCTATGACTCGCACTCATCGCCGTTTCCACATCGACCTTGAATTGAACGCTTACCTCCCATTTCTGCCCACTACTACCCAAACCATACCCGCCGCTCAGCTTGTTGCGGACAATACTCGTGATCCGCTCCCTGAGCTTCACCAGGTTCTCTTCGCTGCCAACGACTCTCAGCCGCAGATTCGCCATTCCTGTTCCATAATGTGCTTGCCAGAACTTGGCCTGCTCCACTGCCCGCACCAAAGGGTCCGCTTCAATGGTCGCCACCACTTCGGACAGAGCGGAGGCGGATTTGGAAGGAAGAGACATCAGGAGCATCGAGCCAACATTGCGACCAAGGTGGAAGCCCAGAAAGAGCATGGAAAATGCGATGCTCAGCGACAGGGCCTTGTCCATCCATTCATAAGTATGCAAGTCGAGGAGCGGGAGCAGCAGGACAGTTGCCGAACAGGAGAGTGTCAGAAAATGACAGGGGTTGCTGAGAAGAGATGGCAAGTTCTCCATGGCTGCGAAACGCATTGCCTTGCCAATTCGTGCGTGGTTCTGCAGGCCAACTGCGGATATCAACGTCGCGACTAAAGCCAGAATCGCAGTCACGTCGACTGTTCCAGCTGTAACTTGTTCGTGGGTGTGGGGATGGTGCGGCTCGTGCCCAATGCCTTCCAGGGCGTGCTTTACGTTATGCGAGATAAGGTCAAAGCCAAAGAAAATCAACAGGACAGATAGGGCGAATCCAGCAATGACTTCCATGCGCTGCAGACCGAATGGATGTCGCACACTCGACCGTCCCCAGACTTCAAAATTGGAAAGGACCTCCACCAAAACACACAGCAATGCCCCCAACGAATCGTAGAATATCAGATGTGATAGGGCTTCCATAGCAGACGAACCATGTGAGTTCCATGCCGTGTAGCCTGCGATAGCCATGTGGCATATACTCCAGTAGAAGCGGACTTTTTGATCTTTGGTCATACTAGCTCGACATTCCGCGAATGTAGGAATCGGAAGTGAATTGGGTAGTGCTAAAGGCGCCCGTGGAGGTGGTTCGAGGAAGATCTGGTGTGAAACACTGCTGTGTTTGTATTTATGGCCGCGTCTCTGGCCGATGTTCTATAGGAGTGAAGTCCGTTCGTCAGTAACGTCTCGATCCCCTGGGAAGTGCACAAGTCTGGGACAATTACGAACAGATTTGATCACTGGTGACTTGGCCAGCGTTGATGGCTGGAAGTTGAAGGGGCCTGCTCCATTTCCGCCTGCGTTTTGTTTTTCAGGGGTCGTGGGAGAGAAGTATGCGACTCCGGATGAGGGCATGTAATCGGGGTCGTACTGGTGTGGTGACAGTGATGTTGGGTCATGTGGAGGATCTGGATCGCAGGCTGCGGGTTTCTGAGGAGAGGATGTCTCGTCAGGGGGAGGTGTAGGTGTTCGAGGAGGTAGAGGGATGGGCATTGTGTTCGCCATGGGGGGCAAGGGTGCTGTTGCCGTCTGGAGGAACAGGTGCCCAGGCTGATGTGGAATGCAACAGCAGTGTCTGTGCCCTGCTTCCTGCGTACAGAGTAAATGCTATGTGGTGCCCATGATCTAAGAATCCGTCCTTGAGCTGTTTGACTCGATACCTAACGGTACCCAAGTCCATAAGAGGAGGGCGGGATGATGCGCTGCGGCTTAAAGGGGGAGCCTCGGTTTGCGGAGAAACTCATTATCCGGCCACAGGTGCGTGTCGCCTTTTAAACTGTCTCACGACAGCTCATCATCTAAAGTCAATCTCAAATATTATCATAGCCAAACCCTGCGATGAGTCGCAGAAGGTTACAACCCGGTGGATGGAGAGTCCACGGGTCGCACTGTTGATCATCTTACTCCTTTTCGTCTTCCTTACTCCCGAACAGCCTGCGCGGCGCTTGCGCCAAATCGACTCGGATCGCATCGAGGACGAGCGCCGAGCAGGACTTGACGTTTTGGCAAATTCATCCTATGGTCAACTCAACCCAAAAGCAAACAGCTGGTTGAACCTAACAGGCTTTCGAGAAGTCGATGGCTACAAATGGGATTCCCTACCAGCCGCGCAGGACCTGAGCCTGGGTCAGTTCCAAAGCAACTGGGATGGCATCGATGTGACTGAGAACTTGCCCATCTTCCAACGGGTCACTGGGGAGATTCGTGGCAAGTTCTATCACAATGATATCTCGGGCATCTCCCCGGTCATCAACCTAACCGCGCTGGACCCGAAAATGGACTATCTCACAGCCAGGTTCGAGAGGAATATCACCGAACGTGAAGGCGAACTCAGTCTATCCATCTATGATTCCCAGGACAGGCCTGTTCAAGAGGCTTCCTCGATCAAAGCCGACATTTCCATTTGGACAGACTCCTCTCCCGGGAATGGTTGGCAGGCCAAGCTCCAGGGCGTCCATCTTTCTCCGGGCCAGATCATCATGTCTACAGCGAGCTCCAAGTTCGACTCCGTACCTGCGCTTCCACATTTTGCTCTGGATGTCGGCGCTTTCAACGCATCAGTACCTGTGATGAACGAGACGATGCACAAAATTTGGGATAGAGTCTTTGATGACGGAGCCGATGGACTGGCATTTGCGCCTCAATGTGAACTCATCGTCTGGCTGCAGCCGATACCATATAGGTTCCCCAGCCTAGATTCGACCAGAGCCAGTGATTTCCTTCATCGAGTCGAACAGGAACTTTCTCAGCCAGATGGCGCTCCCGTTGGACAGCCTCCGCCACTAAGCTTTTCAGCCGTCATCTTTTCACCCGACTGCGGCTACATCTTGTCGTCGCCCACAATTTTCGGACCCAAGATCGAGACATATTGGACTCTCGCACAGCGCTTACTGTTTGCGTACGTCATCTCCATTGGGATGCAAATCGCTCTCCTCAAACGGCAAATGGAAAAGGCTTCGACGCCCTCGACTCGAAGCCGCATCGCTTATCAGAGTATCGTCATTGCTGCCCTCGGTGATGGCTTGCTTTTGTTTGCGCTTATGGCACTGCTCATGATAGATGATGCGGCCTTTCTAATGGTGGCAGCCGCTGCTTATCTAGCCTGCATACACGTTGCCTTTTTGGAGGTCAAGTTCGTCTTTGACATATGGACAGTCCAAGTCGGCGACCCTGCACGTGCGGAACAGGAACGTCAACAGAGAACCGCTACAAATACTACAGCCGCCCCTACTCCGGCTCCTGCACCTACAGGTGGACAGGCAACAAGCGCCGACGACACGGTTGGCCTCCCACTTCCAGCTACAGCTCCAAGGCCAGAAGGGGCTACTCCAGTAATTATTCCCTCCGATCAGGGCAACCCCGTGCCAGCAGAGATTCCGAGCCCGCGCGCGTCATTTGCCGCCATTTACAGCCGATTTTACTTCTCGCTCGTGATGCTCATGTTCTTTTCTCTCTGGGCCACGACATGGCCAAGAGCCTTACGATCGGCTTATGTCAACCTCTTGGTATTCTGTTACTTCTCCTACTGGTGGCCACAGATCTATCGCAACGCGATGCGCAACTGTCGAAAAGCCTTGAGCTGGGAGTATGTGGTCGGAACGAGTGTCCTTCGCGCAGTGCCCATCCTCTATTGGTATTTCGCAAACAACAACCTCCTTTCCATCGACACGAGCCCGACCGCCGCTGTCATCTTGCTTGGCTGGTTGTGGCTTCAAGTCACGCTTCTTGCGAGTCAACAGTTCCTGGGACCTCGTCTACTCGTGCAAGATTCTTGGTGCCCACCGGCTTACGATTACCACCCCCTGCTACGCGAGGATGACGTCGAAGCAAATGGGATGTCCATTGGGCGGCTCGCCTCTGCTTCTGAGGCCAAAGACAAAGACGATAGAACGCGCAAAGTGTTCGATTGCGCCATTTGTATGAACGAGATCGATGTGCCTGTTCTGTCAAAGGCAGACAACACAAGTGGAAGACCACTTACCAGGGGTACCGGGGTGGCGTGGCTTGAGCAGAGAAATTATATGGTGACGCCTTGTAGGCATATTTTTCATGCCGAGTGTCTCGAGGGTTGGATGAATCTCAGACTCGTTTGCCCTGTTTGCAGAGAAGGCCTGCCTCCACTCTAAGTACGACGCTCGAGGCATCATTAAATGCAGGCCATCTGGGTGGAAAGAAGGAAACGGATCTTACAGTCCCTGATAGCTTAATTACGGGCAAAAGCCGCGGCTTCTATCCCACTGACTTGATTTCCGAGAAGTTGCGTATCCTCTCTTCTATCCCTTGGCTCCGTACAATATGCATCGCAAGTCGAATCTCCACGCAGATGCAATCTCATCCTACAACATCCAAATGCTGCTTCAGTCGCAGATCCCTCGAACTGAATCCAAGGCTCATGACAAAGGTCCCGCCAGGAATCACCCACTCCTGCTTCTTGACGTTCCAATAGCTCAAATCTCGCCTTGTCAATGAAAAGCTGACGGTCTGCGATTCGTCGGGTGCGAGCCATAATTTGTCGAAGCCACGGAGTACGTTCCGTGGGGTGGGTATGGAGCTGGGAACTGATGGGAATGACAGGTAAAGCTGCGGCACCGCTGCACCTGTCACATTGCCGGTGTTTGCAACCGTAAAATTCGCCGTGCAGAGTATCTGCCACAGTGAAGGGTTCCCACCTGGGGCGATAGGGAGATCCTCCGGAAGAGGATTGATTGTCGCATTGTGCTTGTCCACGCTCAAATCAGACACATCGAAAGTAGTATAGGACAGGCCGAATCCGAACTCATATAAGACTGATTTGTTATAATAGTCGAAATGCCGGTAATCGATCAGCAAACCCTCGGTGAAGTTTGATTGCCATGCGTTTGGATCCTCGGTCCGCAGCAGTTTAGTGGAATTGGTGATATCGCTAAACCTGTAATCACTCTCATTCAAGGCGATGGTATAAGGTAATTTGCCACTCGGATTGACCGCCCCGTAGAGGATGTCGACGATTGAGTTGCCAGATTCTTGTCCAGGAAGATGTGCCGCAAGAATGCCCGTAACGTTGGGGTTGTTCGCCCAGGGCATCACGTTCAGACCGGCCGAGTGCGTGATGACCACGGTGTTGTTGCAGAATGCAGCAACAGAGCTGACGACGGCTGTGCTGTCCCAATCTGCTTCAAGACTGCGCCTGTCACTTCCCTCAGCTGCCCAGGACTTGAGGAACACAAGGCAAACTTCTGGGACAGGCATGATCGCACCGAGGCCACTGGGTTGAGTAACCAGATCGTTGTTTAGGATGTACTGTACAAGGGTGCCATCTAGGGCAGCGCGTGCTTTGAGCGCTTCAAGGGGAGAGACGAGATATGAGAGTCGACCAGCACCACTGCCACCAGCAACAGGGAGGGTTCCATACTCTAGCATACCGTCCATTAGTGTATGTTGAAAAGAGGGCATGTCAGGTTTTCTTACCGTAGCCGAAGGGCGTCTGGAAGGCAGACGTCAAGAAATACTGTCCATTCACCAAGTCTCCGGCATCATTGCCGAATACACCTAGTGTTTTCGGCGTTGTGAGGGGCAAGACATCATTCGTGTTCTTCAGCAGTACAGTACCCGCAGCAGCAATATCGCGGATGAGTTGACCGTGGCCGCTTCGAACGTCCACGTTAGAGGCTCCGAGCGTAAACGGATGTTGATAAGGCGGATGGTCTGAGTTGAGCGTTGGTTCTGTTCCGTCGATTGGGGGGTATTCGTTTTGATGAAGATAGAAGTACGGGGTCATGATTCGCTTGACCATATCGTCGAGCCGATCCTGGTCGAGCGTACCGTTTTGAACCGCGTGAGTGACGTTGCCGCCAAAGAATGAGGTGTCGCGCGAGCTGCCAATAGACCCTATGGATTTTTTGTGAGAAGGTTTTCTGGAGCACGAAGGAGGGTTTTGCACTGACCAGGCATGTCCATGTCTAATCCGGCCTTGATCGCAGGTACGCCGGCATGCGTTGCTTGCCAGTCCGACATTACATAGCCTTGAAACCCCAGCTCTGTTTTGAGCAATCCATTCAGCGTCTTGGAATTCTGACACCCGTAGGAGCCATTCACTCGGTTGTATGAGCACATGATGGAGGCCGTGCCCGCGCGGACGCCATTGGCGAATGGCCATAGATACAACTCGTGCATGGTCCGATCGTCAATGTTGGAAGAGACAGCTTCTATTGTGGTGCCGGACGGAGACAACCGTGGGTTCCGTTGTGTCTCCTGCTCGTTGCCAATGTAATGCTTGAGACAGGCCTGGACGCCGCTCTGCTGCATACCCCTAATGGTCTCCTCGGCTGCAATACCAGTCAAGTACGGGTCTGGTGAGAAGCCCTCCCAACCGCGTCCACCATAGGCAGAGCGACCCAGAGGGCCGACAACGGGTCCAAGGGCAACATGACTTCCCTTGTCTTTGAATTCTGCTCCCAGGAACAGACCCCGGAAGAATATGAGGTACCTGTCCCATGACGCCGCAGCGGTTAGCCCTGCAGGGAAAACAGAGGCATATGTCGCTTGTCTGATAGCAAGGGGACCGTCTTGGAGACAGAGCCCGTCAAATCCGACCCGCGGAATTCCGCCAATATTGCCCACGCACGGACCCTCGATACCAGTCACCAATTGAGTCTTCTCTTCAAGTGTCAGGTTGGACACGAATGCCTGGGCTTGAGCGAAGGCTGCTTCCCAGCCAATCCCGGTGCCTGGGGGGCTGGGATAGACTGGGGGCGAGGTGCCATAATCTTGCGCAACACTTTGAGCTGTCAAGGCCAGCAGGCTCGACCAGAGAGTGACCAGTAACATTTTGGGCGAACGACCGGCGGTCAACAAGATTTGTCGAGAGAGCGACATGGTGGCGTGTTGTTCGCCCTGCCAACCTTTATATCCGAACAAGGTTGAGAGAAATTTCATTTCCTCTGCCAAACGCACTGGAGTCGACTATAGTCCATGCATGCAGTCTGGTAGTGTATGAATCCACACAGGATCTCTTCAAGGACACAGGGAAGAAGAGAAAGGGAGGAGAATTTGATCGAGTCGGTCATACGTCGAGCTTGCGGTTACACTTGGGCCGACTGGGGGCGGGAGATCAACCGCCCGACAACTGTCATGATGAAGCAAACAATTGCAAAATGTGGCTGTGCAACCTCGTTAGAAATGCTCCGTCCTCCAACATACAAAAAAAGGGAAGAAGCTGGCAGGATTCTCAGAGAGCAACCTCATCGTGAATTGATTACAAAAGGGGCCCAGATAGCCACTTGACCTCAAATAAACCTTGCACCTTCGCTGAAATGCTTGCAACCGCGCGCTTTCCGATATCAAGGTCGTACGCGGGAACTGGAGCGGGAAATGACCAATGCAATCGGTCTGATGAGATAGAATCATTTCCCCGTCGCCCTGTGCGATATAGTTCCTTGGGAGCGGCTAGACCACTAGATACCGACTTAAGCAAACACAATCCGTATCTATCTCGCCGTGACCAGGCACGAATTTCTTATCATTGGATGCCAGATCTAGGCCTCAACTAGCCCATGGTCGCTTCGGAGCTACAGATCTCACCTTCTTGCCACCATCTCGGTCGTAAAGGCAGGCCGCTCCCCACGTCGGATCTATAGAGATCCAATGAAATCTCGTCAGATAGGATGCAACCCTGAATCTTGGTGAGTCAGCCTGGACAACAATGCAAAAGTCCGGAGCGAGAGCCGCAGGGAGACGATGGGCTAGTCATTAAAATGCCAGTGCCTCTGCAGCTGCATCGTCGAAGGCAACCGACATGGGCTGTTCCAACATGACGATATTCCAAGATGACAATCTCGAGGCAGTCAAACTTCTCGAACAGCCATGGAAAGCCGAGAAGCTGCTTGAAGTCAGGACTGGCAGAGTAAGGCCTGTTTTCGGCATCCAGGTCCAATCTGCCATTTTCAAGAACGTCCGACGAGGTCCCGTCGCGGTCAATCAGTTGGGATGTGAAGGCGACCAGCACGCCTTCGAGCTCCATGGCGGCCCTGACATGGCCTTACTGCAATACAGTACACTCCACTATCGCCGATGGAAGGAAGAGCTGCCTGACAGCGCCCATTTGTTTGTCCCAGGCGGATTCGGTGAAAACCTCGTGGCAGCGCACGCCAACGAACGGAACATTTGCATCGGCGATGTCATCCAGATTGGAACGGTGGTTGCGCAGGTGTCGCTGCCTCGCCAGCCATGCTTCAAATTGAACCACCGATTCCAGATCAAGGACATGTCTAAACGCTCCCAAGACCTCTTCCGGACCGGATGGTTGTACCGAATCCTGAAGGAAGGCAAAGTGCAGGCTGGAGACGATATGATTCTTCTCCGACGACCACATCCTGAGTGGACGATAGCCAAAGTTCAATACTACCTTTACCACGACATGCGGAATGAAATGGCCATGAGACAACTGATCCAAATTAAAGAGCTCGGGCTTGAAGCCCGTACTATTTTTGAGAATCGCCTCAAGAAGCAGTACGAGGACCAAGAGAAGCGGCTCACGGGCGGAGATGCCATGTTAATGAATATTTGGTCCAGCTACAGACTCGTCAAGAAGCAAAAAGAAACCCCAAGGATTGTGTCCTTGACATTCGAGAGAACTGAACCCTCACCAAATCCCGAAGAAGTTCATCCAGGGTCACATGTGCAAGTGAAGCTGGGCGACCGAAAGCTAGTGAGGGCGTATTCAGTCGTAGCAGGTGATGCAAATCGATTTGAGCTTGCTATAGCCCTCAGCGAGACTAGCCGTGGAGGATCACACTTCATCCACCGAAACTTACACCTGGGCGATACGTTGTTGTTTGGAAAGATCACGCCGAGTTTTCCGCTCTCGACTGAGGCTGACGAGCATGTTTTCATCGCTGGCGGCATTGGCCTGACAGCATTCATTGCCTCAGCAGCCCGCTGCCAACAAGAGGGGCTTTCGTACCACCTACACTATCTGGTTCGAAGCTCGCACGACGTTGCTCTGAAGAGATACCTCAAATCACTTGGACCCAATGTCACCATCTACGATAAGTCCGCTGGGAAGGCGTTCAACGCCGCGTTGGTGATGGGAAAGGTGAAGAATAACACGCACATCTATTGTTGCGGCTCTGATCGACTCCGAAGGGCCATTGCGGAGGCGGCTCATTCAATGAGTGTCTGTTCTGGTCATCTCCACTTCGAGACCTTCGAGGTCGCGACTTCTGGTGATCCATTTGTGGCCGAATTGGCCGACTCAGGAAGGACGCTGTCTGTGGAGGGAGAGAAAACTCTGCTCGATGCGCTGCGAGAGGCGGGACTGGAGATTTCCTCTTCCTGTGAGGCTGGCAATTGTGGTACTTGTCGTGTTGGTGTCAGAAGTGGCAACGTCAAACACCGAGGAACCGGATTAGTGGAAGCTGAAAAGTGTTCAGCTATGCTGAGTTGCGTGTCTAGAGGCATTGGAACAATTGTGCTAGATCTGTAAAGAGAGAAAAGAGGAAAAGGGCTTAGAACACAACTCTGTTGGAGTATTTTGAATGAAGCGTGGTATTTGCTGAAAGTTGGCTCGATATTTAGGTTCGGAAGGGCACATCAGGAGGATGGGAAACTCGAACGGGTCGCTTCAAGAGGCGACGTGCACAAGTCTCCAAGCATTCTACGGGAATCGCTTGGTCACCCACCCTCTGATGGCCTCGGCCACCTTCTCAGGTGCTTCCATTGCACACCAGTGACCAGATTCGATCTCAGTCATCTCGAAATCTGGCAAGTATCCCGCTTCCCTCGAGATGTGAATCAGATCAGTCCGACCCACGCTGTCGCCCGTGCACCCGACGAAGAAGAAAGGGACATGGACAACATGATTCTCCTTGGGAATACTCTTGTCGTCTTCCCATTGCACATTGGTCGCGAGCGCCTTGTACCAATTCGTCGGGGCCTCGAAGCCATCCTTGGTGAAGCGCTGCATAAAATCAACCCTCCATTTGGGTTCTGTTGCATAAGGCTTCAACGCAACCCGCTCGCCGCCCGACATGTAATTCGCCATTGCGTCCTTGCCGGCGAACATTTTCTTCATCCAGTCAGGATCCGCGCCGTGCAACACTTCCCAGAATCTTTCGAGGTTGCTGTTGATGGTTTTGTACCCGTCTGGGGAAGTGAAGAAATACCAATACTGATAGAGGGGGTATCCAAAGCGCTCCTTGGTCAGTGCATTGAACCCATCAAGGTCGAATTTGTCCGCAGATGGAGGTCGGTAGGAAATGTTACACAAGATTACCCCAGATACCATGTCGGGATGGCGATTGTAGAACCGCTGGGCCAGCATGGCCCCCCAGTCGTGACCAACAACGATGACCTTCTTGATGTCCTCCACCTTCAAGATCTCCACAAGGTCAGCGCATTGGCCAGACCATTTGTACATGGGGAGATCACTGGGCTTGGAAGTACCCGCATAGCCGAGGCAGTCTGGGACGATTATCTGGTATGGTAGGTCTGAGAGCTGGTCAATGACCTCCGACCACATGAGAGCGCTATCGGGGAAGCCATGGATGAAGAACAAAGCTGGTTTGGAGGAATCGGCCTTGCTCTTGGGTGAGACGTAGTATGTGTAGGTGAGTGAGCGCTTGGTCTCGATTGTCTTTTTCTCGAGTGTGGCCATCGCTGGTGGGCGTGTAAAGAGCCTACTCAAAGATATGAAAGATCGATGGGCCTGACAGGGGAGAGTTAAAGGAAGATATATAGCTTGGTGACCATCTACCTCGTTTATACAAGGCCACCTACCTGATTGTCCACCGTGTTTCCGTATGTAAGCCGATATAACGCTGCCAAGTAAGTAGTAAGCTGAATCGCGTATAGATGTACAATGATGGTCCAGATGAGCTCAGGCAAGACTCTGCCAGTACATCAGCACCCGCAGTCAACAATTCGTGATCAGGCCCGATGCCGAGGACCGCGCCTCATTCAGCTTCCCAGTTCTCGCCAAAGGGACTCTGCACATCTTGGATAATTCTGCCTCAGCACCGGCTGTGACTGAGTATAATCCGGACCTAGTAGCAGTAGGTAAGTAGTGGAGAAGTTGAAGCTTGATACGCTGTTACAATCACTGGATTGCGTATTGCCTGAGCTACTTCTTTTGGGAGCCTCAGAAATTCCCAAAGGTGCCAAGTCCGCAGCCCGCTCGACGCTGTCACCAGGGCCCGTTCCTCGCCTCTTCGGATTTCTCGACCCAATCTTCTCCTCGCGCCACAGCAACTCCAGAGACAAGTTCAATGCCTTCGACGTGTCATCCCACCGGACTGACTGATAGAGAGCCTTGCGCCAACTGCAGCCAGACCCAAGTTGGCCTGTTCATTGGGTGAACCACCACCTTGGTGTGCAACATGTGCTTCGAGAAACCTGACGACCTGCCATGAACGGATTCGCCAATGGCGGCACTGAAACCACCGATAAGGACAAACCTACCCCATTCCCCAAAATCGAGGAGGAGGTCAATTACAGCGGTCAGGAGCGAGAGTTTCGGGAGAGCAACAAGTTGAAGAAGCGCAATGACGGCGCTCCAGGTCACAAGCGATCTGTCTCCGGAAACCTCCTTTCACGTCTGAGCTTCCTTCGTACAAACAGCGATCAGGACAAGACGGACGCCGGCGATCGAGATGGACCGGACTCTCCTCATCGAGGGCGAGGTGCTATGGCGGAAGCACAAACCCAAAGCAAGAGAAAGAGAAAGGGCTCACTAAGAAAAACAGTGCTGGGGAAAGGAAGGGACAGAAAGACTTCTGATGTCAAAAAATCACCTCTTTCTGGTGCCAACTCGCCATCCGTGCAGCCCACAGATGAAGAGGAAGAAGCACCGCCAACCCCCCGTGCCAGACAAGATCTATCGAGATCAAGCCCGGTGTCGCCGGACTCTCCCCCATCCTGGCCATTTCGCACATTATCACGGGTTTCGATACCCTCGATCCGCAGCAGCATTGCTTCCGTCGACCCAGCCTCGTCTGCAGCCTCGATCATCAGCCCCAACTTGGCTACTACTGATGCGTCAACGGATGACGAGGACCTCGTTTTGCCGGGCATGTCAGCTCTGCGCAAACCCCCGTCGACATCCTCGTTTGGGACCGACTCTTATTTCCCCATCCAAGATCCTATGCGTCGGATGTTTGGCTCACGCACGCGATCCCCACTGGCCACACAACCGCAGTCTAACGCCGGCACGCCGCCCGACGAAGATGTCTGGGACTACTCCGAAACCGCTTTTTGGGGCTATGTGATCTTGCTTGTGACTTGGATTGTCTTCGTTGTGGGCGTGGGGTCCTGCTTTGGGGTGTGGTCGTGGGCTTGGGATGTGGGAGAAACACCATACGCACCCCCGGAGTTAGAGGATGATCCTACTCTGCCTATTGTTGGGTATTACCCCGCGCTGATGGTCTTGACGTGCATTATGGCTTGGGTCTGGGTGGTAGTCGCGTGGGTCGGCATGAAATATTTCAGACACGCAGATTTCAGAGGGGATGACGGATGATGCCCTTAGCTTTGAACGAATGGGGGTATTTGAGATTCAGTATCAGAGCCACCTTGATCGAACAATTTAGAGATGGTATCAACTCCCGAGCACCTTGCTTCATCCGCTTTTCCAACCTTAGTCGTTCTGCGCCTTCATATCAATTTTGACCTATAGCTCCCGAAATTTTCCAACTCAATCATACACTCCTGCGCTGGGAAAGGGCACTTCTCTCCGGATCATACACGTCCTGGTCAAAGAGGTCGAGGTAGCAGATTAGGTTCCTGAAACCAGTAGCTGATCTGTTACCCCGTTGGTCTCCCGGCATTTCTGAAGCTGCAATTTCGCCATCTTTTCACGGAATGCATCTAGATCTTCTTTCACAATGTATTCCCCCGTCGTATTTTCGACTTCGGCGCGTGGGACTGGCGTTCCAGCAAGCGGAGTGGGTGTCGCAGTCCCCCCACCAGGAGCTTTTGATACTAGCCCTTTGGACCTGGCAAAGCCTGTCGAACGTTCCGTCGAGGGATCTGGATCATAATATTCATCCTTGATCGGCCGCACGTACACCGTCTGCTTACAGATGGTAACGATTGTATTCGTTGGTACGGCTAGCCAGTTGTGCCGCTCGAATGTGAGCGGCTCGCTAGCGACCAGGACCACGTCGGAGGCTTTGTCTCTCCTCTCCATCTTGAACTGCCCTTTCATCTTTCCTTCGACCCACGCTGTGCCAGATGAGTAGTACAAACTGGCGGCTGCGTCGGTTTTGCTGCTGACATATCGGGTGACGATGACGGAGTGGCCGTCTGTCACGGCAAAATTGAGCAGGCTTCTGGTCTCCACATCCGGGACCTTGTATTCGGGAGGAACGGCCTTTACAAAGGCATTGATTTGGGCAATGGTCTTCTTCATGGCCCGCCGCAGAGTCTTGGTATCGAAACCACCGTCGGGCTCGGAGCTGGGATCCACCCCTTCATGCTCCAATGTATCAAGAAATAATGCAAACGCCCATTCGGAATCGGTGCCGCCTTTCACACCGAGGAACCATTTGTCCGAGAGACTGTCGGCGAGTGGGCGTTTCACATACTTCCATGCCCCAATGTTGCCGTTATGCATCCACATCAACGTGTTGTGCTGGAAAGGGTGGCAATTGTTCTCGGCCAACGACCCTTCGGTAGTGGCCCTGACATGAGCAAAGATGAGCCTCGAGGCCGTCTTGGGTGCGAGACGTTCGAGGTTAACGCAGTTCCAGGCCGGCAGAGTTGATGTAAAGATACATGGGTCTGGTCCTAGTTCTGGCTCTGTGTACCAGCCAACTCCGAAACCATCCCCGTTGACGGGGCGGCGGCTATCCAGGCGAAGGCGGCTGTCATAAGATTGTGTGAGAATGCTGTGTGACGGTTCGGTGATCAACTTGGAAAGAATGATCGGCTCAGAGCCCTTGTACACCTGGAACCTGTGAGTAGGATAGTAGCGTGGAGGATATAGGCAAGGGTGATGCGTACAAGAAACCTGCACATCTTCAAACACGCAAAAATCGAAGATCAGCCCTGTTTTGAAGTGATGTTGGTGGTTGAGTCATATATCCCACCAGGAGCATTATATTTCTCTGGCTGGGGAATAGCCTGGAGGCAAATGGTATCAGCAGTGTCCAAGTCCCAAGCATCAAATGACCCCAACCCGACAACGCCAGGACCCCGGTGTATACGGAAAGGAGACAGAAAGGCAGAAGCACAGATGTTGGGTTTCTCTCAAGAGGACATGGTGACACACGCAAGTCGATTGCTGGTTGACACCAAAACTTCACCGCCATCCTGCAAGCAGGGGCGAGATCACGAAATTGTGGCTGTACATGTGGCGCCGCAATATGTGGCTGCGATAATATGAGGCGAGCGAGCCACACAACGCGCATCTTCCCCAACGTCATTCGGCATTCTCGTGTTTAGCACCATGTATCAGTCGACACCATTTCCACAACCTTTTCCTTGACCTGTCTCCCATCAACCTTCATGTTCGACCTGCCCTGGGATGAGCGGTAGACTCCTCTCTGCGAGGGTCGCGCCTTTACTGCGCCAGCGAGGCGTCTCAGCACGTCTCCTTCACCACAACTATGCTGGAACAAGAGCCGGAGGCCTGTTGAGGCCAAATGCACGTCTTCCTCTGCGAGCATGGCCGATCGGGTCCAGCTCTATACACAATGTTCCCGCCGTCCGGTCCATCTCCTTCGCCAGGATTCTCCCAAAGCTCGCTCTGAAAATGGCTCGCATACCTGCAATGTTTGGAGCGAGTATCCTTGCCGCCCTAGCCTACATCCAATACCAAGCCGCCCAGGCCGGAACCTATACCCTCAACGTCCTGAAGAAGGCCGGAGAAGCTGTTACAGAGACTTCTTCAAATATGTTCGAGGGCGCGAAGGGGATCGTCAATCAAATAGGAGTCGGTTGGGAGCGCACAAAAGAAGAGGCGCATCTCCCGGAATGGCTCCAGCAGTTTTTTGACAAGGGAGAGGAGTCTGGCGACGGAGGGTCTGGACCACAATCGCCTAAACCGAACAAATCTGCTGCGGGAGCTGCTGCTGCCTCGGGCGCCGCAATAGGAGTGGAACAATCGAGTGAAGACGATGAGCGGTCGGGTGCAGAGATGGCACGGGATGATCAAATGATGGTCCTAACAAGAAAGATGATTGAGATTCGAAGCATTCTCAATACAATCGGTCAAGGGGGGGCTTTGACGCTACCGTCAATCGTGGTCATTGGATCTCAATCTTCTGGGAAAAGCTCAGTTCTCGAGGCTATCGTCGGACACGAATTCTTACCAAAAGGCTCTAATATGGTCACCAGGCGCCCGATCGAACTCACACTGGTCAACACACCGGATGCCAAAGCAGAGTACGGCGAGTTCCCTGCCCTCGGGATGGGCAAGATCACGGACTTTACACAAATCCAAAAGATTCTAACCGACCTCAACCTTGCAGTCCCCGCAGAGCAATGCGTAACCGACGACCCTATCCAGTTGTCCATCTACTCTCCCAACGTTCCGGACTTATCCCTAATTGATCTGCCGGGCTATATCCAGGTATCGGGTAAGGACCAACCTTCTGAGCTCAAGCAGAAGATCTCCGACCTGTGCGACAAATACATCCAGCCGCCCAATGTCATCCTAGCCATTTCCGCTGCGGATGTGGACTTGGCAAATTCAACTGCCCTAAGGGCAAGTCGAAGAGTCGATCCACGAGGCGAGAGAACAATCGGCGTCATCACCAAGATGGACCTGGTCGACCCCCGCCGGGGCGTTGAAATTTTGTCAGACCGAAAATATCCTCTCCGGTTAGGTTACGTTGGCGTGGTATGTAAGATACCACAGTCAGCTGGCCTTTTCTCCAGGTCTGGCGCCAATGTGACAAGTGCCATCATTAAGAACGAGAATGCGTACTTCTCATCACATCCGTTACAGTTTGGCCCGCAATCAGAACTGGCCGTGGGTACAACCACTTTACGACACAAGCTCATGCATGTTCTTGAACAAACAATGGCGGCGAGCCTGGCTGGCACGAGAGACGCTATCGTACAAGAGCTGGAAGAAGCAACATATGAGTTCAAAGTACAATACAACGACAGGCCGCTCAGCGCTGAGTCATACCTGGCTGAAAGCCTGGACAGTTTCAAACATTCCTTCAAGGAGTTCAGCGAGCACTTCGGCAGGCCTCAAGTTAGAGCCTTGTTGAAAGATGTCCTTGATCAGAGAGTGATGGACGTCTTGGCCAAAAGATACTGGAACAAACCAGTAGAGGATCTAGCCTCCGTGCAGCCTGAAGCAGATCCGTTATCAGAATTGCCCAAAGCTGATCCGGGTTCGTTGTATTGGCAGCGCAAACTGGACGCTTCGACATCGGAGCTCACCAAACTCGGCGTTGGGAGACTGGCAACTACGGTGGTTGCAGCGGAACTGCAAAGCCATGTCGACAAGTTGATTGCAGCATCAACGTTTGCTTCGCATCCATACGCGCAACGTTCAATTGTCGACGCGTCATCGAGCATATTGAATGATCGATTTTACAGCACAAGCGATCAAGTCGAAAACTGTATCAAGCCATTCAAATTTGAGATTGAAGTCGAGCCGAATGAATGGAACAAGGGACGCGAAAACGTTGGACATGTGTTGAAGAATGAACTGAAAGCTTGCGAAGCTGCGCAACGACAACTGGAAGACGGTATCGGCAAAAGAAAACTCAAAGATGTAATGGGATTCATCGACCGAGTAAGGAAAGGAGAAGTTGTCCTAGAAGGAGATGGGACCGGCGGAGCTGGTGGCTTTTCTGCAGCTCTGCTGCAAAAAGGTATGTCTATTTTTCCACCAAGCGTGGGCATGTCAAGCTAACTATGATACAAAGGTCGGGAAGCCGTTTTCCTTCGCGACCGTGCCGATATCCTCAAGATGCGTCTGATGGCGGTCAAATCCAAGCAATGCGCCAACCTCAAGAATAAATACAACTGCCCCGAGGTGTTCCTAGACGTCGTCGCCGACAAACTGACCTCGACGGCGGTGCTCTTCCTCAACGTCGAACTCCTCTCCGAATTCTACTACAATTTCCCTCGCGAGTTGGACCTGAGGCTTGGCCGACATCTGGAGCCGAATGAAATCGAGCAATTTGCAAGAGAAGACCCTAAGATCAGAAGGCATCTCGACGTCATCAAGCGGAAGGAGATGCTAGAGTTGGTGTTGGAGAAGATCGAGAGTCTGAGGCAGTTGGAGGGTCGGACGAAGACGCAGCAGGTGAAAGCGTCCCAGGCCAAGGAGAGAGGGCGGTGGAGCCTTTTTTGATGAACAAACATATTGATGATACCACCATTTTGTAGCGTCTATTACTCCGGTGTTGGGTGTTGATAGAAATGATATGTGGACATGCCTCTCTCGCCGTGGTTCGTTTGTCCCTGCACTTCACCTTGCCTCTTCGTGGCGAGGCTTTCGCTTTTTCTGGCTATCTCAAAGGCCCGGTCCTCGTTGTCCTAGGGTCCGCAAAAGGGTTCCTTACTTGCGTGCCGGAGTTCCAAGGTATTTCTCCATCCACCTCTTCAACGGCTCCGTTGATGCCGCCCAATTTATCGCCAATCTTGATGACGCTGAATCTGAGCATACGTGGATCGAGACTCAAAAACCGTCGCACGTCCTGCTGCGCCTTGACTGATGCATCGAACTGCATCACGAAGTAGTGGCCCTGATGGTGTTGAGTTTGATGTTTCGTGGTTGGTCGGGGGAGGTCGAACTGCCCCCAGTTCTTCATGCCGCGTATCACACCGTTAGATGCCAGAATTTGTTGGCCGGCGACGCGGGCGATCCTGCACACGGAGCAAGGTGTGTCAGTCAGTTCGGCCATACAGAGCAAGGAGCTGGGGAGGGCGAGATACTCTTTGACATGATTGAGGTTGCCCGGCCGGACCTGTTTAACGTCAGTTGCTTGACTTCTATTCGAGAACACAAGAGCCAGGGTACTTACAACAGCTATCAGCTCGTACAGCATTTTTAATGAGGTTGTGATATCATGGTCAAAAGTATTGGAGGGTGGTTTGCGCAGTTGGTTTGGAACTGAGAAATTCCCTGGGGTTGGTCTCCACTTTGACCGGCGCAGTTCGACTGCGGGTTTGTCTCCGTCGCGGCGAGACCTTCATCGATTGCTCTGCGGAGCTCGCATGAGCGCCCTTTAAATACTCGTGTCTTTCCATTCCATATCCCGCGTCAAGTCAGAGCAGTCCATGGCTTCTCCTGCATTAGGTCGGCTTGTGCCGGCAATCTCAAGATTGGCCACAAAAGGAATCGTTGTACCGCGGTCATCAGTCAAGCCCCAGCTGGCTCAATGGACCACCAACCCTACTGCAAGGTCATTTTCTGCGAGACCTGCTTGTGCGTCACCACTGTCTGGGTGTCGAACTACACTAACGCTACCTTCTTCACAGTATTCGTAAAGAAATACACAGAGGATCATGAGTGGATAGAGCTCGACAGCGACGGCAAGACAGGTAAGGATATCTTCCAGCTCAATTCTACCGATTTTCGTCTCTACCCTATACTTACGCTCTTGCGCAGGAACCATAGGCATTACCGAGTACGCGGCTAAGGCGCTGGGAGATGTGGTCTACGTCGAACTTCCCGAACTAGGCATGGAAGTGACCAAGGGCGATACAATCGGCGCAGTCGAGTCCGTCAAGTCCGCCTCCGACATCATGACACCCGTGTCAGGCAAGATCTCAGACCATAACAAGTTGTTGGAAGAGAAGCCAGGAACAATCAACAAGAGCCCCGAGTCTGAGGGTTGGCTAGCGAAGATCGAAGTCACTAATTTGAACGAGCTCGACAGTCTCATGAGCAAAGAGGACTATGATAACTTTGAGAAAGAATGAGTGGTGTCGGTGGTACAAGAACAAACACAATTGCTTCCTTGAAATTGGGCCGCTCGCCAAGTACATAAGGGGAACATCCACTAGCGGTGGCCCTTCCAGCTACTTGCTCACTGATCTTGTTCTCCCTGTTGCCCATGCAAACCACTAACACTGGTATCTTCGATGTTGTGACGATGTCTCTCAGGATGGATATCAAAATCAGCCTCGTGTGCATCATCGCTATCAGCTTCACCAAGAAATGCAGCGTTCCTGGCGTCCAGGCTTTCTTGCTTGTCCCCCTCGGCGGCTCTTCGTGCCTCAAACCCGTCGTCACTGTCGGCCTCGCCCAGGAAGGCTGCGTTGTTTGCATCCAAAGGGGGAACGCTGTCTCCTTCTATAGTCTTGCGCACCTCGAAGTGATCATCCGAGTCCGCCTCACCCAAGAATGCCGAATTTTCCGCTTCGAGGGCAGGTTGAGGTGCCCCATGAGCCTCTCGAACGGCATCGTGCCCTTCATTGCTATCAGCTTCACCCAGGAATGCAGCGTGCTTGTTGTCTGCAAACACTTCGGCTTGAGGGGGCACAGTGCCCGGAGGTGGCGTCTGGCTATTCAGAGGGGTCGCTCCTGAAGGGCTCGAAGTCGCCGCCGTGGGTCTGAGGTTTGCTGTAGATTGTTGAAAGGCCCGTTGGGGTGCAGCTGCGGCCCGAAAGGGGAGACCCAGAGCCCCGGACCGGGCTGCTGAAGCTAGGCCAAGCAGTAGAGGTCGTGCTGCCATCATTTCAAGCAAAGGCTAGGGTGGTCAGTTGAACAGGAAACTGGTGTCCAGAAGCTCGAATAAATGCAAGAATGAAGGGAACAAGGTCAGCTTTCACAAAGACCCTAGCAACGTTGACGAAAGAGGGGTTGAGGTGCCACCAGGTGCGGCTGGGGGTCTCCCATCACCTGATGCCAAAAGCAGGGCATTTCAGAGCTGCATGCCCTGGCTATCACTTCGCAAACTGTATGCTGAGGTGAGTTGGATGAGTGGTTGACGCAACACGACGCGGGTTCACAGGCCAAATCATGCATGAGCACGGAGCATGATTTGCGGGGAAGCTCCCCAGGAGGGCTGCTCGAGGGATAGTGCTCGCCAAGCGAAGGCCAATCAGTCGACACTCCGCAATGTCCGAGCTTGGAAGGCCGCCATGATCCAGACAGAATGCGATCTATATCTATTGCTTTGTTCTCTGCGGGCGGAAAAGGTACGTGCCCTTACTTCTGACCGTTTACTTAGTGACGGTTTTTCAAGGCACCAGCATCCACTGAGCCACTGGCTTCGTCGCTCAGCCGGATGACATATTTGCCCGAGGCCTGTTTCCATCGATCAGAGATATTCTCGCCAAACTGACACAGGGACAAGAGGAGGAGGGATGCTGCTCACCTTTCCAAATTTCTTTGCAATATCAGACAGATCGTCCAGAGTCGCCATTTCCACTGCCGGCTTCACTGCGCCACGCTGCACGAATTCAATCGCCTCCCAGATGTCCTTCCTGGTTCCCACCGCAGAGCCGATGATCCGCACGCCTTTCGAAATACCCAGTGTAGGGTGAAAGCTTACCAGTTGATCTCCTGGCGGTATACCCACACAGACAAACGTCCCGTATGGAGCCACCAGATCCAGTGCTGCCTGGTAAGCTTTGTCCGAGTTGGCCATGACCAACACTGCGGCAGCGCCATCTCCGGTGAGCGCCATGACCGTTGCCGTGTCGAGTTCTTTGGCATCATAGTACACTTCAGCGCCCAATTTCAGACAGTACTCCTTTTTCGCGTCCCCGACGTCGATGGCGATAACCCGGTATCCCATGGCCTTTGCAAACTGGACCCCCAAAGCCCCCACGCCACCTCCAGCGCCAGAGATGACCATCCATCGACCTGGGACTGCCTCGCTGACCTTGATGGCTTTGTACGCCGTCACTCCACCACACAGAATTGGTGCGACAAGATCATCAGGCACGTCCTCGGGAATCCGGATAACGTACCGCGATGGAACAACAGCATACTCTGCAAAAGTGCCGTCTTTTCTTAAGCCAGAGCACAGTTTTGCCAGACAGCGTGCCTCGCCGCCTGGGGATTGACAGCAGAAACATACTTCGCACACATCACGTACCCAGCCAAGACCAACTCGCGCTCCGACGTTGATGAAGGAAGGATCCACTGCAGACCCAAGTTTCACGACGCGTCCGACGCCTTCGTGTCCTAGAATGTCGCAAGTCGGACCCAAATGGCCTGCTGCCAGATGAAAGTCCGACCCACACACTCCTGACACTGATAAGCGGACTAGCAAATCGGTAGGACTGATGTCGGGAACCGCCACAGTCTTAGTCTCAAAGTGGTATGTCCCATCGTGCCTCTAGGCCCCCGTGAGCGAGTGCTTCTGAACAGAACGCGGTTGTTGAGTGTCCTTACCACCAAAATAGCGACCTTATGAGTTGATGGGATGGTCATTTTCCGTTTCTGTCGCCTTGCGCCTGTTTTGGTAATGTCCTTCTCTTCCCTGAGCGTGCCGTGACTTGTTCAACTTGCAGAGACAGAAATAGAGGTACCTGAAGCAGAACTGTCCTGAGACCCCAAACGCCAGCCAACTTTACTTATCTGTTGGCATGTACTCGGCACTTCATATATTATACGGAGTACACGCCTCTTCTGCCCGGCAGTTGAATGCAGCCTCGACCCTCGATCCGATGTCACCCCGTCTAGCCCAAGGCTAGTGAGGCTGACTCTGTGGGGTTTATTTGGGGGCTCCGTGGGGCTGGTAAGGCTTTGGCAGGCGAGCAGCTTCCCTCGGATCTTGGCTGTTCTTTCTCTCCCCCGATCCGAAGGAGGAATTGTCTTATTGTGATGTCCTATTGCAGCGTGCTAATTCCTGCAAAAATCCCGAAGAGTTCTGGCTCTGCTGTCAGCAACGCAAGTACATTTGCTCAGTGTGGGCCCGACGCGTGAGCATTGGGTCAAGCAGCATCCGGCAAATAGTGGTAACAAGAATGTAGCAAGTACGCCCTCTCTCATCGTTCTCCAGCATGAATGCAGGGTTTCCCAGGACAGCGTCAAGGTGAGCCTAAATTGTTATCTCGGCAAAGGAATTCGCCTAAGTCGTCATATCGACCGTTCCGAATCGCTGTCAAAAATGTTTATCAGCAATAATGGTGAGTGTCAGCCCCAGAAATCCATCGATTCCTTCCTGAGACCGCGCAAAGTCCGTGAGCGAGTCCATGTCGGAGTTACTGACGAAAGGATGCGGGACAGGTTGGAAATTTCTTTCATGATATGAATCTAAGCAGTCTGGATGACTTGTCGATCATAGATCCCCATAGAATTTGCCATTCGAGTATCTGGATTCTGCCCTTGTATACATAATTGGTTAGAATGGTGACACTACCATGACGGCTATTTTGTTTGGCGATTACCCAGTAAAGAAAAGCTACTTGACTTGCCGCGATCGATACCGGCAATTGTGAGGAGCACGGAAAGTAGACTCTCTCGATGAAAAGCCACTCTTCCAGTTCAGCGGCAGGCTTTTCAATCGATAATGGGTCGGGGCAAGTCGATCCGCCTGGATTGCAATCACGCCGTCTTTGCTTCCTCTTGCTTGATCTGATCATCACTTCGCTTGAGCTCTTTGAGGATTGTCTTCCTCCGAACTTTGTCTGCTGCTGCAGCGCGATCCCCGAAAACCCGGTCCATGTCCTCGAGGCTCCGCCCTTTGGTTTCTGGCACGCAGAACCAAGTCCATATCCCGCTCAAAGCGCAGAAGACTGCAAAGAATGTATACGCCCCGAATCCTCGAGTATTCTGGATAAGAGGTGGGGTTATCAGACCGATGATGAAGTTGTTAAGCCAGTTGCTGCAGGTACTCCACGCCACGCCTTTCGCTCGCAGAAAGCTGGGAAAGATTTCGGAGGGCATGGCCCATGGGACAGGTCCCCACGTCATGCCAAAGGCCAGCATATATAGGAAGAGGAACGCAACCGCCACCCAACCCTTGTCTTTATGATCATTCCAGCTGTCAAAGTATAGACCGACCAGGACTGCAATGATGACGTGGGAAATGGTCATGATCACACTGCCCAACAACAAAAGCGGCCGTCGACCGAATCGATCCATGGTATAAAGAGAGGTCGACACTCCAACAAGCTGGGTGACATTCAGGATACCCGAGAGGACTAGTCGCATGTTGTAATTGACATTCATGCTCTCGAACAAGCTGGGTGAGTAATAGATCAGAGCATTGATCCCGACAAACTGCTGGACTGCAAGATCCTTTAGCCACGACGGTGACGAAAGAATGCAGGACTACCTATAAACAGATAAAAGTCCAACCGAGTGTGGGGGGGGAACTCACAGAACATCAGGCCAATGCCAACCATAGTGCGTCGCCAGTAGCCTTGTTTGAAGCAATCAGCATAGGCTGCAATCTCCAGTTTGATAGCAGCCCAACGAGACCGTCGACCATTGATGCCGAGGTCTGGGTGTTTCTCTTTGGCGACCTCCTTGTGAAATGCAACTTCAGCTCGAATATCGAACCATTCGGCTTGAATTCGCGGATCATCGGCTGGAACCCGGCGGAGTTTGACCAGAGCGGCCAATGCTTCTTGGTCATGTCCCTTTGACACAAGCCATCTGGGTGAAAAGGGAATGAAGAGGACAGCGATGCCGAGAAGTATAGCAGGTATGATTTGCAGAAGGAAAGGAAGTCGGAATGACCATTCACCGCCAATGTATCGCGTGCCAAACGTCAGCCAGTAGGCACAGATTATACCAAAAACAATGGAGAATTCTTCGAGGACAAGCAAAGTGCCTTTCATACGATCAGCCATCCGCATAAAATTGCTGTCAGCAGACTCCGGAGCAGCCTACCTCTGATCTCTGGTGGCGACACTTCAGCGATATACATAGGGACGACCATACTCAGCCTAGCAACAGCACAACTCAGCTCAAGAGACCAGAAAAGGCGAGAAAGGCATCATGCTTACATTCCAACACCAATACCGCCAATGAGCCGGCCAACAATCAACATTGCATAGTCTTGTGCGGCTGTCTGCAGGATTGAACCGAGCACAAAAATGCAAACAGCCACACATATCGAGTACTTTCGGGATATTTTCTCGGCCACCCAGCCTTGGTTGAATGCCCCTATGAGGAGATGGTTAGGTCTGAGATGGTCTTGACAACTTTGGGGAAGTGTCCACCAATGAGTGCCCCAAGTTCAATCATGGCCGTCATGAATCCTTTCCAAAAGCCAGCTCCACTGGCTGTCTCGGACACCCGAGGGAACTGGTCGAGGAACTGATCCATGACAAGGATGACAGAAACGACTCCTTGATCTACAGGTTTCAAGTCAGCCTTGGGACCCTTTGCGCGAGCGTGTAATTCGTTTGTGTGACGTACCATAGCCGAACAAAAATCCTCCTAACCTGACGACGAAGGCACAAAGGACGACATACTTTGACTGGAAAGTGCCCCGGAGACCTAAAAGTGAGTGTTGTAAGCAGCATTGCATCTCTTAGGGGTCGTCGCACAAACCAGGCTTGACATAATTGTCTCGTAGTTCTACCATGGACTCATCTGTCGGCATCCCATGGTCGTCCATGGTTGCTGGTTGCTTGTTGCGACCTTGAATGTTGTGGCCATGCGAAGACGGGTTGTTGTGTGTGGCCATGTATAGACTGGAAATTTTGTCGTCTGAGCAGGATATATATTTGGGCCGAATTGTGATGGCGGTCACACAGCTCTACCAGAAAGTAAAGCGAATATTGGGATTCTGAGGAGCAACGAGCAAGCTGTCCCCATAATTTGAGATTGCTGTCGATCATTGTTGTCCTCGTGGCCCTGGAAGATCCGACGTTACAGTGCTTCCCCCACATGACGTCGTGATCATCGGTTGATCTTCTCAGGCTGTGTCCACCAGAGAGCAAAATACGTTTGATATGGCTCCTGAATAGATGCGTGATCGCTCGAGGTACCTCGACAAAGCAGATAGTGCAAAATAATACGTCCCAAATATTTCCTTGCACAATACATCTATTCATACACTACCGAGCCAGGTCCCTTTATATGAAGTCTTTCGACTAACCGAATCTTAGATGCACACTCAACAAGCTGATCGGATATTGGACGCAAGATTGACTCCAGCCAATGCCACTGTATTCGTACTCAATCATTAGCCCGAAGCTCCTCTTCAACAACGTCCCAACAAACGAGTTGATCGAAGGCATTCGGGTCCAAGGCACAGTTCGCTTCCAGGTCAAAGTTATGGTCATAGGTGTCCAACACCTGGGTTTGTTGTCTGGGTTCCTCCCTGATCTTCTCTGGCTCGTCCCAGCCCATAGCCACATCTGACCGATCCCTTTTCTGTTCTCCAACCACTCCGACAAACGGGACGGCGACATGGCTTGTGGCATTGTCGTCGCTAGGCGGACAGATTGCATCAATCAGCTGTGAACAAGCGGCGGATTTGACCACCTTCAGGTCTGGGAGTGACTTCAACCTCTGCGCGGCGGCGTTCAGCATGGACATGGTTGTTTCTGCTAGATAGTAAACCTCTCCCAACTGCTGCAAAATCCGCCAACAGAGGTAAAACTTCTGAAAGCTAGTCTGTCGCACCACATCAAGCTCAGACATGCTGTAGAGCAGGTGTGTGGCCACCGCCGGCTCCAAGACTGCGATGGCAGTATCAGGCAACCACGAGATCAGGTGGTCGGCATACAGGTTGGTGAATATGCTGGTAATGCTTTTTGCTGCCTGCGAAACCATCTTCATCGATAAGATTCGCAGCTTAGTCTCTTTCGCATTAGAAGATGACAGATTGAGTAGAGGCCGGTATAAAGTCATCAAGGTCATCGAATAATAGCCCGCCAAGAGAGCCTTGTGTACCCTCACGATCGGGTTCTCATTTCGACGTTCGATGTCATGACTTTCAAGCTCAAGTTGCTGCACTTCGGTGGGTAAGTACCCATACCAGTTTTGCAGCTCTTGTCCGCACATCATGATGTCGAGACACCTTGAAGCATTGATCCTTGGAACCAGAGATACAGTGATGGCGCTCTGTCCTGCAGCGGAGGGAGTTCTTTGGACAGTATATTGCACGGTCAAGACCTTGTCGATGTATTCGGAAAGCTGAGCCAGAGCCATGCAGGAACTGGCGAGTGTTTCAAGCTCGGCCAACCCTACGTCGTGTATCTCTAAGCTGTTCTGCAAGGCCTCCAAGAGAGACTCCAATCTGAAGTCGTCAAGATGTAGCATGGGGACATCAAATCGAAAGGCCTTGTTTTGCACCGGCCTCCGCAAGGCAACAGCAAGCAACCTGTCTCTCATGACAAGGGTCCACCATGTCATCTTGAATGAACGCCGATGTTTCTGATCTGAGAGGCTGCTGCTGGCGGGATCAAAGTTGAGCCCAATAGTGGTTGCGTGCAGTGTCGCGATTCCGACCCAGTAATAGCTGTCCCGAACGCCTTCGCTATCCCCGTCCCAGAAGCTTAGTAGGATAGCCGCCTGGCAAATTATCAGTCTATCCGCTTCGACGTCAAAATCGTGGAGCAGTCGTGCACGCTCGTAGAACATGCCTCTGGTCTTCTTGTGTCTTCCATCGTGGCCGTCGATATTCACGTATGCTGTTGCAGCAAACATGACTGCCTGGAAAAGAAGAAGGCTTGTTGTGCCGGTGTTGCCGCTGCTGGACACTGCCGAGAGGATCTCCTCGAGGTCTAGCATTGGTGCGAAAGGGTGTATCCATTTTGCATAATTTGTCAGAAGCAGATCACGCGTGGCTAAGTCTGGAATGTCGAAAGCACCCTTTATTTGGAGGTGGTGGAGATCCTCGGTCGACAGGGTCTTCTTCAAAGGCGTGATATACTTGGGCAGTGATGATGGATGGTAGTGGTCTGCCAGAATGGTATGCGTCGGTGATGGATAAGGCGCCAGAAAATCTGCCTGGAATTCTGGCTCGTCATCTATCATAACAGCTTTGTCGAGAGAATTGGGAATGTCAGTAGCCGCAGGTACACTGAAGACAGCTTGCGCCGAGAGGCCGAAGATATCGAATGAGCCATCTCCAGCAATGTTGTTGGCAACAGCAACGTCGATCCCCTCGGCGGATGCGCCGTTTACATCTCCAAAATCAATGATTGCGTCACATATTGGGCTTCGAGGACCGTGTTGCTTGCCTTCGAAGAAGGATGGGCCTATTATACGATCTCCAACGTGTCGTCTCTTGCTTGCGGGTACTGAACAATCCTTGCTGTCAAGCCTGCAGTTTGTACATGGAATTTTAGTCCTTGTAACATCACACCGGACCTTCCTTGAGCGGCATGATTCACAGGCCCGGGGAGCTCTCTTACTGAGACCCCCTACTCTCACGACACGTTCGGAGTCGTGGAGTGCCATACCGGAAGACCGCCGGTGGCAGAGGTTAGTGCAAGTTCAACCACCGGGAATCCTCAAGGAGAGCTCTAGGCGGCACCGCGAACTCGAGCCCCGGATAGAAAGCAAAGATCAGAGTTCTAGGTGGAAAGGGAACATGGCTCACCTGCTGGGAATACTTACGGAGCTTCCGTCCTGCTCATTTATGGGAGATTATCCATCGTGCGAGTCAGCCTACGTATTCGCAAACAAAGTGTATGCCAGCAGGATCCGGTGGAAGAGGTTCCGGTCACGGGGGAAGGTTCCGACTTTGACAAAGACGCCTGTCTGCCCAAAATCCCATTGGCTCCTCGAGCACATAGACGGTAATGTGCCTGTGGCATTTCAAGTTGCAATGTTGGCGCCAACCAGCGGAGTGCAAGCATTTCGTAGAGACTTTCCCAAGATTCCAATAGTTCGGTGGATTCGGTACTAGAGGGTTTCCTCAGGACTTGATCTGCCTCTCAACTTGTAGCTCATCCCAGCTCATTGATTGCCGATCCGTTCTTGCATCCGAGTACATTCGCAGCACTCCAAATGGTATTTCCGAGGCAGGGAAGGAAAGCCAGTCATCGAGGGATATGTTCGCTTCCAGCATTGCCATTGGTATGCCTGTCTCTCCAAGTCTTGCTGAGAATATCCCTGCCCCCTGGGGCCCCAGAGGCTGTACGTCTTCACGCTAACTTCCGGGGAAACAGCGTATCCTTGGGGAATACCTGAACGCGAAGGGAATTCAGTCAGTCAGGAAAGACAGAGAAGACCGAACAATGCTCCCTATCTGGATGAGCTTAACATGCCTGCGTGTCCAGCAGATATGAAGTAATGGGGCTTTCGTTGAGGGGGCCATGCATACCCAGTTGTAATGATTTTATCGGTGGGTATTACTGTTTGCTGGGATAGGCCAACTGCTCCGTACAGACCGAGGTTCCGTCACTAACGCGTCGAGGGACCTCAGCCCACCTTTACATGCTGCCCAGGATCTGCAGGCTGCAAAACTGCCCCAGACACATGCCACGATGTATTATCCTTTCTGTCAAGCACGCTTGGAGTACCATAGTGGTTATGAACCAACCCTCCCTCTCCGAAACCCCAGTTAGTGTGCGGCCTCCCCGATGACTCCTGCGTCGGTGTCCTTGTCGAAGAAACGTCCCCTACCGCGAGCCCGACACGCATGCCTCAGATGCCGGAAGCAGAAGTTGCGATGTGACGACACCAGGCCGTGTGCCTTATGCCTGCGTGTTGGGGTCGAATGCAGAGAGCGTCCTGAAAACAAGGGACTGGTGAAGCCCACCGCAGAATTTCCTGGGAACAATGACACATCCAACGTTGGCCCGTCTGATGCAGGCCAGCAACGTGCTCTCTCTCCACGAACCACGCTCTCTCTTGGCCGTCGACCGAGTCCTGCGTCTACATTCTCGCACAGAAACCCCCCTCCATCATCCACACGGAGCCCGCCAGATTCTAGGAGGCGATCCTCCGAGGTGTATCAAGAAAGAACCTCCACCTACGAAGTCGTGGATCAGCTCTTTAGAGAACACAATTCAGCAGCGAGGCTATTCCATTCGACTGATGCGATTCCTGGTAGCAGCCCCGATGCAAGGTCTTCTGAAGCCAGTGGGCACTATCTTCCCATATGTGATCTGCTTGAGATGGAACTGCCCCCCTCCCATGTAATTGACTACGCCTTGGAAAGCTATTCAGATTCTGTGCATTGGTTTATGTTATTGTTCCACGAACCGTCTTTGAGAGCTGAGCTACAGGGGCTCACCACAACGGGCTTTGTTCGCGCGGATCGAATCTCCTTTTTGATCCTCGTCGTGTTGGTCATTGGCATCGGGGCAAAGTACTCCACTAAGTCCGAAGCTGAAGAAATATGCCCAGGGTTTGACATGGATGGCCTCGGAAACGGGCTCATCCACAAAGTCGAAGAGCGACTGCTTGATGTCTTCGATCAAGCTAACATTGAGGCCGTTCAAATCTCCCTCCTCCTTTCTTCATACTATGCCTACCATAGCAGACCGAATCGCAGCTTTGCTTTGATGGGGAGTGCTCTCAAAGTCGCTCAAGCCTTGGGACTGCAGCAGGAATCACACTGGAAAATGGATGATCCTATTCTACGAGAGGTGTGGCGACGGTTGTGTTGGGCACTCTATACAGCGGAAGTGTGAGTCAACCAATGCCTTCGAGCAGCTTGTCACTCATTTTTCGTGGTATAGGTTTAGTGCTATCTCTTTTGGGACTCCCTGCAACGTCCATGACAGCGACTGGGACGTCTCTTTCCCGGGAAACATCGATGACACCTCAACGACTTGCCCGGGATTCGAATCAGTGGAAAGCTATGAGGACGAGACATTCGGACCAGTCACCGTTGCATCCTACCAGAGATACAAGTTTCGACTTTATCGAATTGCTTCGACAATCACTCGAAACATCTACCTGCGGAGTGGCGCAACACTTGCTGAAGTTGTCAGGGAAATCAAAGCAATCAATCATCGCCTGCTCCAGTGGGAGAAATGTATACCGCAGGAGTTGCGACTGAAGTATTTGAAGCACAACAGCGCAGACAAGACGAGTACCAGGATCGTCAGAACCTTCCAGCTCCAAGCCCTCGCCCTCCAACTCTCTTATGACAATATTCAGTTGGTGCTCCATAGGCCTCTGTTGACAATAAACCGCGTGCCTCGATGGCCTCATGCAGGACCACAAGGAGGAAACATCCCAGACCAAATGATGGTTCACGCTGGCGACGATACAGTTGACACGACGATGATCAAGACAAGCAAGTACCAATGCTGGGTTTCTTCCATGAGAACGTCCAAGATTGGCGAACACGCTGAGATCCTCGCTGCTTCCCAGAATACCCATGGAGCAGCTTACGCTGGGATACAGTCGTTCACCGCTGGTGTTGTCCTGGGCATCTTCGCGTTATCAGATCCTCTCTCGGATCAGGCTCACCAAGCGAAACGTGGTGTCAGCAGAATTATCAAGCTGCCTCGACTTCACCGATTCCGCACGACGGTGTCTGACCAGTGCGGTGCGATTCTTGAAGAGCTTGTTCGGTTGGTCCTCGCGGAGGAGATGAAAGCTTTATTGACGGAGGCAGAGTCGTCTGGTCAAGATTGTGTACAAGACAGGTTCACAGATGAACGGCCTCCCGTTGATCAACTCTCTCCTGCTACGGAGTCTTGTGGCAAGCAATCTACGGTCGATGAAAACAATGTGCCGGCACAGGACGCAAAGCTTTCTGACGGGAGTGTCACCGACATATTCGAGCTATTTTCTCATAACAACGTCGAGCTGCCCCGAGATATCGCTTCTGGCAACTTCAGTGACGCTCTTGTTTCTCTACAAGATGGTTTGATGCCCAGGGTTGTCTTCTTCCTCTTTCTAACGAGTTGCAGTGTTTCGTGATGGTCGTAGCGGGCTCAACACCCGCCTCGGAAATGGCAGTCGACATCAAGAACAAGCCGGTCTGTCGTCAATAAGTGGGACATACCCATACCTGCAACCTCTCTCGGGTCCTCCTGCAATGTCAAACAGCAGGGTGCCCAATACTTTTGATGGCACTTCTCAGGCCTGGATCTGGGATGATCTACTCTGGCTCCCGGACGTTACTTGAGATACTCTATGTACGAACTGCTCGGCACTATGTGCGTTCGTGATTGGCCGCGTGCAAGTGAATTTGTGAGGATACTCGTGCACTTCTTGCTAATGCGAGGTACACAACGTCCGTCAATCCCCACGAGCAAATTTCAGCCCGGCTGGAGCAGGGCGTTCAGAACCAATACTTCAAGGCATCCAGCATCAACACTGGACTGTACACTTCCAACCCAACATGACTAATTGCCGCTCCTCGATCAGAACTCATGGCATCGCTCATGGTGTTAGAAGGAGCCTAGAACGAGTCGAGACTGCTGCAACCTGGTGACCAGAAACCCCTAGTCCGTGGTGCTCGTGTTACCAGGCCATGCTCGCATTCTCCATAAAAAGATGCTATGTACTGACACTGGTTTGGGACAGTGTGAAGGGGCGCCGAGTTTTCTTGCTCGCTATCTCGCTCTGTACGCAGCTGCCAAGCGCGCGCGATGTCTCCGCCGTCGACTTACAAGCACAATGGTCACTGTCAGATCTGCCAATTAAGCGCGACATCGAATACCCATGGGTGTATGGGGTTTGTTGGAAGACAATCCATTGCTTCTAGATTTCAGTCGGCGCAGGTGGTCTGCGTGCCATGTCCCATTCGAAAAGGGATCATATGCGTCCGGCAAATTGTTCTACCACGAAGTAATTTGGTGGCACTCGGGGAGTAGGCGACGCTATCCAGGTATTAAGTCCACTCCAGCAAGCTGTTGATCATTCCACTGTAATGTTCCCCCGGTGCTAAGGATTTGGTCTTTACAGATACATTTTGGAACATAGTCTTCCATCCACATTTTGCAAAACGCCGAATACTGAGCGACAATCTCGGTTAGGAATCCTCGGCCTTTCCCCGGATCGGATCATACTCTGCATTGTGAATCTCTTGCAAGAATTTGTCTGCTCCGTCTTTGTCCTCGGCGAAGATATGATCCGCAACCATCTTCTTCGGCGTCTCACCCAGCCATTGGAACAGAGAGAAGTCCTGGAATTTCTCGGCGCGGAAGATTTCCAACACCTCAACGGGTTCATCCTCGCTCAAATTTTCGATAAAATGGCCCATGTTCCGGGGGACCACCCCGACATCTCCGGCCATGTAGTCGAAGGTCCTGGCATTCCCTTCGGCCCCAAAGATGGTGACACGGGCGCGACCCTTGATGAAATACGACCACTCGTCGGCATTTGGATGCCAATGCATCTCACGCATGGCGCCAGGTGCAATGTCGAGATGGGCCGCTGCAATGGTCTTGGAGATGGGGAAGTTGGTCGAGTCGGTGATGCGAACCAGTCCTCCAGTGGTGTTGAGGGGCTCCTGGTCCAGCATCTTGTGGGTGAACTGGTATTTTGACTTCTTGACGTGTGTGCCATGTGGCTTCTCCTCGTCAATGGAGCCGGGCAGACTACCCTGGAAAATGTATTTGTCGGACTTAGGGATGGTCTTGAATACTTCGGGCGAGAGACGGAAATTCTCCCCGAGGACAGACTTGGGAGTATGCGCTGCCTTGCATTAGTGATGCCTGATTTCCCACAACGGACCAAAAGGACTCACCCAGCCAGTCAGTCAGCAAGAAGGTCGATTCTTCGTTGAAGTTGCCGTCGTCGAAGACAATCAAGAACTCGGTGCCGTTGGGGCTTAACCCTTGCAGAGAATGGGGATGGCCTGATGGGAAGTACCACAAGTCTCCCTTCTGAAGGTCATCGATGAAATTGCCGCCCTCGGTGTCCAGAGCAGTGACGCGCACGCTACCTTCTAGGACGTATGCCCACTCAGCCTCCTTGTGCCAGTGGAGTTCTCGAATCACACCGTAATCGAGTCTCATGTTGACACCGGCAATCTCCTTGCTCGATCCAAGTTCTCTGATGGTGGTCTGCCGTGTCCACCCTCCTTCCTGCGTGGTGTCAGTGACATAGTGACCAGGCAATGGAGTTCTTTGCGAGCTTACCTCGATTCTGATATGAGAGTCGGCAAAACTCCAACGGTAGTTGGACATGCTTCCATGGTCGGTGCTGGGGGGCCGAAGCATGTCAGGGTTCTGCCTCTCACGGTCCTTGTTCCGAGGCCCCATCATCGTGGCACCATCACCGTTACGCCAAGGCAGAGGCTGCCAGTCATTGCCATATGAGTCAACTTTGCGGTCGTAGGGATCCCGGTTGTCTGGCGTGTAGGGGCCCTTCCTGTCGAGAGGTCGCAAGGCTTGTTGTTGCCGGTCAATGACCGGGACTGCCAAGCAAGAGCTCACGAACAGGGACCACAGAGAAAGATGCATGATGAGGCGAGTCGAGGGAGGTACAAACAAGATCTTCTGAGAAAGCTCGGGAGGGAATGGAGCTGTGCAATATATATATGCACTCCGTAACCTGAGCTCCGGCCGGTCAGTCCGTACATTTTGCCCAAGGGTCCAGGGGGAAGGAAGCTCCGCCGCGGCGCGAATGGGGAGAACGTCATGACGGCGGCAGAACGTTCATCCGGCCCACCGCAGGCCAAATCATGGGGGACGGGGAGGGGGATTCCAGCCACCAAACGACCTCTTCGCCCACTTTCACCACTTTCATCCATATCGATCAACCACCCCCTATGACGCGGTTCAGAACTCCGCAAAAGACCTCGACAGTCTCCCCCGTTGCCCGGCAGATCGTTTCGTCGTCCTCTTCCTCAGCAGCAAGTCGCTCTGCCCTCAATTCCCCTGACCTTTTTGACTCCTCCGTATGCTCCCCATACAGCCAGACCAGACCATAGCAATCAGCAGTTAGTGCTCACCCGCAAACATGACCACGGCGAACGGCTACGGGGCTATAAACGGAGACCCAACTCCTGAAATTCGGCCAAACCCAGACGCTGAAGACGAGAATGGTCCTCTTCTGGGGAAGAGGGACTCCCCTCGGTCTCTGGCTCGCTTTCGGGACTATTTGAAAGAGGACATTGACAGGCGATGGGCTGATCTGCTACTGCTGCTGTCGTATGTTATCACGGGGCTACTGGACAGCTCGGCGGTGTTCATTTGGGGCTCGTTCGTGAGCATGCAGACTGGCAACACTGTCTATCTTGGACTGGGCCTGGTGGAACCGACCAAACAAACTCGATGGATCAGGTCTCTCACCTCGATCGCTTGCTTTTGTTTTGGCTCTTTCTGCTTCAGTCGCTTCCACCGCCGCTTCTCGCCAAAACGACGTTGGGTCCTACTTGCCTCGTTCGCAACCCAGTTGCTCTTGGTCATAGTGGCTGCTGTCGTTGTTATGGTTGACAGCAAACAAGGAAGTGACCTTCGGTGGGAAGTCATCGTCCCCCTCTCGTTGGTTGCGTTCCAGAGCAGTGGACAAGCTGTGACCAGCCGGGCCCTGCAATACAACAGCCTCACCAGTGTGGTTTTGACGAGCATCTACTGCGACCTGTTCTCGGATCCCCTGATCATGGCGGGGCTTTCTCAGAATGCTGAGAGGAACCGCAGGGCCGCGGCTCCCTTGTTGCTCCTGCTAGGAGCAATCTTTGGGGGGATATGGGCACATAGTCCTGTTGGACTTGCCGGTGCGCTGTGGACGGCTGCAGCATTGAAAATCACCATCATTCTTGCATTCTTTTTGTGGAAGGCTCAGCCACAAACCCGCGGCCGCTGAGTGCAAACAGATGGATGTGAGACGCTACAATCCGTATGAAGGACAGCTCAGGGCTGAACCGTTGAAGAGGGGCACTTCGTGGCTACCAACGTGTATGAAGCTTGGAGATTCTCATCGACGCTTGCAGCAGTGTCTTGGCATGTTTTTATAGCTTTTCAAAGTAGTAACCATGCCAACGTTCAGAGGTGTAGATGTACCGCGCGACCCAGATGCACTCTGAAACCAGGTTGACAATCTACAGCGCGAGTTGAATCTCCAGTTGGTACTTGAACAGCTCCTGTGTATCGGAACCGATTCTCTAAAGTTGAAAGAGGCTGTGCTGCGTGAAACTCGCCTATTTGGATGGATTGTGATCAAATGAGGCTGGCTTGTCCGAGTTGTCAGACGCGACCGTATTCAGGCATAAACGGCTTCGCTGATATTCTAGGTGAGCTACGAGTAGGATAGGCTGTCACGTTATCGAATAGTGTGCCTCGAAAAGCCGCCGGCTCTGTGTATGCAAGCCCGGAATATATCGTGAAGCGTCATGTACCTGCTACGATCATCGTTTTCTTTGATGCTTTCACACTCATTCAGAATGTGCTGTGATACCTGTCTTCCATGGGATATTCGAGCTCAATGTTTTTCGGACAAAAATGGAGCTTCATCCCTACAGGTGGCAGACACAATGACTGAGAATTTCCATCAATATCTGATAAATCTTTTCATACCGGGTTTGCTATTAAATCTGCAGCTATGTATTTCGTGATCAATCTGCGGACAGAGCCTCTTAATGATTCCACACCTCAGAGCTGCTTGTGGAAGAAATCCAACAGAAGCTGATAAGCCTTCTCGTAGGCCGCCTTGACATCGTCCTTCTCGAGGTCACCTCTCGCGGCCATAAACCCGTGGATTTGGTCCTTGAACCATTCTACATGGTGGGGTACCTTGAGATTCGCCTCGTATTTGTCGACAGCGGCCTGATCTTCGTCCTTGGAAGGAATCATAAGCATGGGGATGGTGACGTTGGGTGCGTCGTTCGGGTCGACCATGGCGGGATGGCAGGTTGCAGCTGCTTTAAAGACTGTGTTGGGTCCGGATACAAGGTTTACAATCTGAAGGATCGTCAGTACGTATGCAATGGAAAGCCAACAGAACTTGAAATGGTACTACTCACCTTGCCACCCCAGCAGTACCCAACAACTCCCCAACTTTTGATATCGGGATGCTTTGACTTCAACTCTTCCATCACCCTCTTGACCCGCTCGACTGTCTTTGGAGGGGCAGCAGAGGTCTGGAAAAACTCGCCCAATTTCTTCCCTTTCTCTTCTGTGTCTGGCGGGTACCAGGAAATGTCGGCCGGGCTGCCCTCGAAGAAGTCCGGCATATAGACCTGATACTGGTGATCCTTATCGGCGTGTGCAAGGATGTCGGCGCCTTGCAGCGTCTGAGGGAAGAACCCAAAAATATCGTAGACGACCAGAATGCCTTGGCTTGCAGAGGAAGGCCCTGTCATGTATGTCTTCATCCCGTCGACGGTGATCCAGTTCCCCTTCTCTTTATAGCCTTTGCTCACAACAGCCGGGGTGTTGCAGCAGGCGGCGGATGGTGTTTGTGACATGCTGGCAAGAGTTCTTTTGGAGGTACCGAAGAGGTATTGGGAGGCGGATGAAAGCTGTTTTGTGAGAGCAGCGAGTCTGAGTCGACCTGTCATTGATCCGGGCCGTTGCAGAGAAGGGATTGAGGTGGATGCGTTGGTGGCGTGTTTGTCTTGGGGGATCAGTCAATGACTTCAGTTGAAAGACGGATGATGGATTTGGAGAAACGAGGGGGTGACAGGGTGTACGTCAGAAGGAGCTCGCTCACTCGGTACTTGCGCTGCACTGAGACTACTAGGTACACTGTATGAATTGTTCACAACAACGCAGTCGTCGCAGCTCTTATTTTGAAAATGTATCGGAACCTATCCAAAAACGCCGAGAATAGCAGCACTTCTGTATCTCCGCAGCTTCTCAACTGCAATTATGGCCTCAGGGCTTGGTCGAAACTCCTACCGCCGCACAATATCCTCGGCTCACCGTCAGAGCGTGTCCATGCCGACGGCCCAATGAAATCGAAACTCACGAAACGAGAGCCCAAGTACGGCCGCCCATGACGATCTCTCATTCCTCATCCCCAGCCACAAGCTCCTGAGCTTGCTTGCTGGATTGGAATAGGAACAACCCCGTGCGATATGTCCTCACCCCGTCAACATGACAACTGCTTTATTCCAAAATATCCAGAAGCTCTTCCAATACCCTGATCCTCAGCTGATGACCCGGTGCACGTCGACGCTACTCAGGTTGCTTTCTCTGTCGGAGGCGCACCTTGAATTCGGACTGTTTGACAAACCATGCGTTGTGCAGTTTCCATGGTTTCGTCGGATCCGCGAACTCGATCTACAAAGCGGCTGTTAACTTTGAAGTCGTCAGGAAGAGGGAGGACCCGGCTCCATACCTCAAATCTCATCAGCAGTGCTGGAACAAGCTTGTACATTTCGAGCAAACTGATGTTCTTGCCGATACACGTATGGGAGCCTGCCCCGAAAGTGAAGAGAGAATTGTCCATTTGTCGCTTTTGTTCTGGCGATGCCTCGAGCCACCTCCTTGGGCGAAAGCTCTCTGTGTTCGGCCCGAACAGACTGTCTCTGTGTACAGTCCAGGCACTGCATCCCACTATTGTCCCACCAGGAATGAATTTTCCACAAACGTTGACACCTTGATGAGGCACGATCCGTTCAAGAGTAAGTCCGGCAGCAGGATGACACCGAAGAGCTTCTTTGATCACAGCACTCAGGTATGGCAATTCCCTTACATCGTTCCAGTTGACAAGACCATTTGGGTTGGAGAATGTTCCATTCCCCCGTTGCGCCCAGAGCGCCTTCATCAAGCTCTCCATATCCTCTGGGCTCTTCAACAGGTAGTAGAAGATTGCCCGCAAGCTAATGGCGGTCGTGTCGCTGCCAGCAAACATGTTGGCAACCGTCAGCGCTAAAACTCGCTCCCGGGTGATGAACTCGGGGTCCTTGTGATGGGCTTCGGTGAACCTTGACAAGAAGTCTCTTCTTGCTCGCTTCCCTTCAAATGTGGCTGTGCTCTTTTCTTGACCCTGCTCCGCGTCTTGTCGACTGGCGATTCGGTGTCTGGCGAAGGTTGCCACGGGCGTGTTCGAACTTATGAGTCCGATTTGGCTCGCAAACAGTCTCAATGGGTTCTTCAGAAAGACGCGATCCAAGATTGGGACCTGTCCGACCTGTCGTTGCACGATTAATATCTCCGCGTCCTGATTTGGACACTGACTTACTATGGCGGCATAGTTGAGGAGCCACTCCAGGTTTCCAATGATGCCATCGATGTCAACACCTCGATCCACGAAACCTAGGCGCTTGGAATAGGTGAGCTCGCCGATGACATCGAATGCGTAAAACTGGAGCCATGTCGAGAAGTCACATATGCCATCTCGGCCTATTTTGCCTGCAAACCTCTTCTCAAGCTGATCTAGGAACGCTAGTGTGGTAGAATCAACCAAGGGCTCAAATTGAACCAGGGTACTCATCGCGTACGCATTCGACACGGCTCTTCTGAGTTTAGCATGGAACTTCTCATCCGTCGTGCTGAACATGGTGTACAGCCTGCGACCTTTTGATATCGTCTGCTGGACCGGATAGAAGCCAGATTTGACAAAGCCAGAATTCAGAGCATATATGATGGGAATGGCAGCAGGGTCGGATATCGAGACCACTCGAGGGCCTAGTCGAACTAAGGGACCATATTTCTCGTGCAGTTGGATGTGCTTAAGCTCTGGTCGACGGCCCCAGACAACGAAGAACCTCCACAGATCTGTGAATGAAGCAAGCGCCGGGCCTGGGATGTGATTGATACCTGTGCCATATCGATTGAGTGCAAGACGGACGACACATAGGCTTGCGATAATGCCAGCTAGGTAGTACCATAACAGTTGTTGCGACAGCCGTTCGGCAACCTGGTCCAGAAACATCGTGCACCCAACCGTTCACTCCGAGGAAGCGAAGAAAGAACAAAAGGCCAAACCGAACTCTCGCATTTCCTCTCTGCGGATGATGAAGGCAATGAAGGTGCAATTAATTATCACACTTTCGAAGAACCCTACCAACTTCTAGGTCAAACTGGGGTCGATTCCATTCATGGTGAAAGCGGGGGATACGGGGAAAGCCTCCACATCGGAATCGCCCCGTCAGCCAGACGGAATTCGGTCCGAGACGTCCTTCAGCATGAAGAGAGCTTGTCATCAGGGGTGAATCGGCAGGTAAGCCTCGTCCCCCTTTTTGTGTCGTTTTGTATCTGAGGTGTGCACCGGGGGAGAAGGCCCACTGGATGCCATCATGCGTTTCTAACAGGCTGCTTGGCGACGTATCATGGATTGACTACGTACGGGCAGTGAGCCTCGGCAGTCGACCGAGTTGAAATAGTAAACACCAGCTGGTTGTTTCGCCTTTGTTAGCCACGGGAGCCTCGTGCCTATGACGTGACTCGCCATATGAGGCAGCAGTCGCCAACTCAATTCTCTCCGGCCGAACAATGACAAAGCCCTGTCAAGGTCTTGTTGGTAGGTTGCTGCCCCTGGGTTCGCTGAGTCATTTTATCTTGAGATCCAATCTAATCCAATCGCATCTCCTGACAGTTCAACTTACCAACCATTTCTCGTCTTCGATACTCGTCGAAATCTTGATTACCAAAATATGTCGGATGTAGAAGGATTGTCGAAAGCCGCAGCAGCTACTCCATGTGGCCGGAACGCGTTTCATACGCCCGTGGGCCAGGTACATTCGTCCTTGGCTTTTAGCGCTGGCATCGTAGGCAGTTTCTTTACGGCCGCAGCTCCGATTCCTAGCTTCGAAGGTTGAGTGGTCTCCAGCTGGGAACTTTATGGGCTTGAACACATGAATATAAGTGTCTGGGTCAGACAGCCTGAGGCTTGATATGCGGCTGTTCTCGATTCATCACGGCTTGCTTCCACCATCGTACAGCTTAGTTATTCAATCTTCGGTCGAACTTCGCGAGAATCATTCTTCAAGACATGGACAACCTGGATATCGACCTAGAGTCGGCTGAAACAGCTGCTTCACAATGCCTATCACGACACGCCACGTCAAGTTCTGCCAGCACTTCGCGGACGGGTTCTACCAACGAGGGCATCATAAGACATCTGACGCAGACGGAAAGGCTGCAGTCTCAGCGCTTGCAGCATGTCCATACCGTGGGATCCATTCCTGGCTCCCGCACCGAGAGCAAAGCCGAGTCCGCGCCCCTTCCGTCATTCGGGGGTGGCAAGCCATACCCTCCTGCCATTCCTGCAGAACGAGAGGCTTATGTGGTTGATTTTGACGGTATTGACGACCCGTCACATCCTATGAACTGGTATTGGCGCAAGAAGTGAGTTGATCTATCCGTGTTGGAAGCTCTAGCTGAATATTATTTTCTCCAAAAGGCTGGCTATCGCAGCAGTAGGAGCCCTTGCCTGCCTATGCTCGACATTCGGGTCCGCTGTTCTTTCGCCCGCCACAGGACGAATCGCGGAATACTTTTCCGTATCTGTTGAAGTCAGCTCACTATCAAGTGCCCTCTATCTCGCTGGTTATGGAGTGGGACCAACTCTCTGGGCGCCTCTTTCAGAGCTTCGGGGTCGCAAATTGCCCCTCCTTCTTGGTAACTTTGGGTTCTCAATCTTTGCCACCGCTACTGCAGTCTCAAAGGACGTTCAGACTCTAATGATATGCCGCTTCTTCATGGGTGTGTTTGGAAGCAGCCCAATCGTCATTGTCGCCGCTGTCTACTCTGACATGTACCGAGCGGAGCAACGGGGCATAGCTCTAACGGTATTCGCGGTGGCAGTCTTCCTTGGACCAATGGTAGCTCCAATCGTTGGGGCGTTCACTGTCACAAGCTACCTAGGCTGGCGATGGGATGGCTACTGGTCCATGATTATGGGATTTGCAACATTCCTCCTAATCGTCTTGGTCGTCGAAGAAACATACCCGCCGGCGGTGCTTGTGTCGAAAGCAGAGCTTCTGCGCCGGCGAACGAAGAATTGGGCGATCCACGCTAAGCAGGAAGAGATCGAGATTGATATCCAGGAGATGATCGAGAAAAACCTGACCAGACCCCTCCGTATGCTCGTCACGGAGCCTATCCTCCTCCTGATCGGCTTCTATCTCTCTTTCGTCTACGGCTTGATGTATGTTACCTTATCAGCATATCCCTTGGTCTTCCGGGAAGTCCATGGTATGACGCCAGGAGTTGGAAGCCTTCCATTCCTAGGAATTGCTTTAGGTATGGTCATGGCAGGCATTGCATCAATCTCCATGAACAGCCGCTGGGTCCGGAAGTATCGAAGCAACAACAGCAGAGCCTTACCCGAATGGAGACTGCCTCTGGCCATGATTGGCGGCGTTGTCTTCACGATTGGCCTATTCTGGCTTGGATGGACCGGAGCATATCGTACCATTCACTGGATTACGCCGACAATCGCCGGCGTCCTTGTTGGGTTCGGCCTCTTGTCGATATTCATGCAACTCGTCATGTACCTTATCGATGCTTATCTTATGTTGTGAGTCAATTCCATCGCCATAGCATGACCTTCTGCTAACTCCTCTTTACAGCGCTGCTTCCGCCCTTGCGGGAAACACCATCATACGGTCTCTTTTCGCAGCTGCCTGGTATGTAAAGAACTCAAGACCTGCTGGATAGATATCACTGACCTTCCTTTTTCAGTCCTTTGTTCGACCGGCAAATGTTTGAAAATATGAAGATCCAGTGGGCGTTTACACTGTTGGGCGTTATTGCTGCAGTCCTTGTACCCGTGCCTATATTTTTGCACTTATATGGCCCAAGAATCCGACAGAAGAGTAAATGGGCTCCAACGTTCTCTTCTCCGCCCCAACGGAATAACGAGCAGGAGGAGACGGGCCTTGGTCAGAAAAGCCTAGAAGATGCAGCGTAGGAAGAGCAAGAAAGCAAAAGGCGTTGATGTGGCGTTAGCACAATTTGTGGATATACCCAGCATATCTTTGAGATCTTTGACTGGAGCACTGCCTAGGAAATAAACTGGCTAGCACTAATGACATGATATTACTTTCGTGGACAGCCCATTCCAGTGGATGCCTGGTCTCTACTTCTTGGACTGAGTGCCAAGCCTCAGTAAATTCCTGGAAGCAGCTGCCAGGGCACCTCGCGCTCATATTGTGTCCATTGGTCTCCGTATTTCTGCCGACAATATTTTTCGAGCGCCGGCATTGCATTGAACACGAAGTTCGACAAATACATACCCGCAGTTGCCACCGAGTACAGCGGACCTCCAGTAGCAAGGCCATATCCAAATCCAAACAACAGGTTGGCGGTATAGTTGATATGTCGAGTAATTGCCCAGAAGCCAGTCTTGCATACTTTGGAGCCATTGCCTTTCTTCGCCTTGAAAGCCATCCGTTGAAGCTCCGCGAACAATTCCAAAGTGGCGCTGGCCATGAAGATACTGAAGCCGGCGTAAAAGAAGCGCTCCGAAAACATGGGGTTGATCGATGCGGCGGTGAAAACCAGCGTACTGAGGGTTTCGTACATGAAGTCTGAGAGGACGGCAAACGTGGCGAACTTCAGGGTCATTCGCTCGCGCGCCATGAAGTTGGCCCATAGTATGTGTTTGATTGAAAGGGTTGTGGGCATGAATGCCACCAGAAACGGTAGACGTGCGAATGTCCGTCCGAACAATGTAATTGCGGTGGCCCCAGTGGGCGGAGGAGGCACATCCAGGCGAGACAGCGGATGGGAAGTGATCAGAAGAAACTGGGCAGGTCCAGTGATAGCCCTGCCGATAGTGAAAAGCAGATTTGCAGAAATATTCCTGCCATAATGGCCTCGTTGAATACCGACCGAGTCTTGTGTCGACATTCTGGCGATTTCTGTGTGCTAATAAAGAACATGGTCCAAAAGAAGAGAAAAACGCTGTCTTATGACATTGGACTTGCTTTTAACGCAAAAGGATCATGGTTCAGGCGACCAGCTTCGAGCAACTGAAGAAGGAGTTGGTAGCCCTACGATAGAAAACAAAGCCAAGTATTGTGTGCTCCGGACACTACGAGTCGTCTAAAGCTCACCCGTCTCCACAAACGGTGTCTTAGGCGTCAAGAGTCCAATAATCCTGACCTTTAACAACCATGAACTTCGCCAAGCAAGCAAGCGAGCCTCGGAACATGAATTGACCAACAAAGAACTATCGAATATCGAGTATGTAGAGTGCAATCGCGTGAAGTCGCTGGCTTTGATCATTCGCATTGATTGAAACCGGAAAACCTCCAGCATCCTTTCATTGTCTCCTCAACTGGTTACAGGCTTCCTCCCGACCACGAACTTGGTGATATGTGCGCTGTACACGCCATCGATCATCGCGTCTTTCTTCATCTGCGTCAATAGCTGTCGTGCCTCCTGTCCTGCTTCCATATCCCTTGCTTCCAGCACAGGAAGCAACTGCGCAACCAACGCATACCAATGTTCGAAGAATCCCCGGAAAATAGAAGGGGGTGGTCGCTTCCTGTGAGCCACTACATTCTCCAAACCTGCTTCGGCGTAGTATTCTGATAAGCGATCAAAGTGCTCCGTCGGCCATTGGAAAGTATCCATCATGATTTTCCAGATTTTGGTCGAGGAGTTGTGCGTAACCTCCGGGTTAGGGATGCGAATGGGATCGTTGGCGGAGTAGACATTGTTCTTGTCTGCGTCGAAGTAATCATACTCGTCCCATTGGAGATAGCCTCCTGGTTCTAACGTTGTCTGGTCAGCGCTTTTCGCATTCCATGGGTGACATGGAGGCCATACTCAGCATCGACACAAATTTCTGCAGGACGGCTCTCGGATCCTGATATCCTCCAAATGGCTGAATAACAAGTCTGACATGGACGAGATCAAATGCTCCTTTCCATTTCTCAGGCACCGCGTCGAAGAAGCTGAACTTGCTCACAGATAGGTTCGGAGGAAGATCCGGCTTTGGAGGGGCTAAGCCCAAGCTGATGTCTGATGCCTCGACTTGAGCATGAGGATATTCTTCGGCAACCTGCATGGCCCAAAGACAATGGCCGGCGGCAAGCTCGGCTATACGTAGATCCGACCTGTCACTCAGATCGATGGAGGGGTGTATGTTGCTCTTGTAAACCTCCCGCCACAGGAAGTGCTGATAGCATAGTCGGCTGGCATCGGGTGCCGTTCGCCAGATGGAGTACTCATCGTTGCCGACAACCATTTTTGGAACAAGCAGTGTTGGAACTTGAGACAAAAGATATTAGATGAAGAATGGAGATGGGTGGTAGGCTGGCCTCGGGGGGTTTAGAAATATATAGTCGAGTGAGTCCCACGAGGTGAGATGTCGGTTACTAAACGCGTCACTCCATCATTGATGAAGATCAAGTGTCAAGTACCGCGTTCAGCTGTCTTTGACTCAACGTCCAGGTAGCCATTTCAGAGCTTGTTGTTCCCTTTTGCATCGTGTTATACTATGATTGCACGCATATTCGTTAGCCTGGAGGCACGGCTGAACTGCTTCTATCGGAGCTGCCTTTCCCTTCACGTAAACTGAGGAATATCTTTGCCTCATTGAGCCGTATATTTGGTTTCCAAAGAAAACAAGGCACTTGTGATGTAGCTAACGCTCGCTATTCCCAGGAAGGCCATGCCGGGTATCTGTTTTCAGAAGTGAAGCGAGCCGTGTCGCTAATCGACAGTACGCGGTGAGATAGGCGTTGACATAAAAGGACCGCTAGGCCCATTCAGCCTTCCCTCGCGTGGTTAAGCCCATCCCGCTATCCAACAACTAGCCACCTGGCGTCGACGCTCAGTAGAATGCGGGGACTCCGGAGACCACGAGGGGCTTCATGAATGGGCGAAGTCTGCAGCTCAGCTCGCTGATCCCGATGCAGCTTGACCGCTCAACTTCGTCCCCTCAACGTCCTTTTGTGGCAGATACCGTCAAACCTCCGCGCTATCAACAGACATTGCTTTGACCTGTGACACGAATTAGTCGATGCTGGAATGCACGTGGGACCGATCTACCAACTTCAAGTGGGAGAAAATCTCATAAATTGATGGCAATTTCCTCGCCAACAATGAATCCCTCAACATGACCATCATCTCATACGCAGCTTCCGATCTTGCATTCAACATGGCATCATTCGATGTGGAAAAGTCACCAGACATCCAAGTTACATCTGATATCGATATCTACATTCCCATCCGAGGACATCAGTCAAGTGGTGACAGAGACCTAAGACGCGGAACTGTGCACGAGATTGCTGAAAAGGGGCATGCAGCGACCGACAGGCAAGTTTTCCGTCGACAGGCGACCAAACTTTCACTAACTGGCCAATCAAGACATGGTAACCCGTTGGTTGCCTTGGATGCAAGTGCTGAAGCCAGGCTCAGGAACAAAGTCGATCTTTATGTGGTGCCTACCGTAGCAACCCTGTACCTTTTCTGTTTCATTGACCGAGCCAACATTGGTGAGTGCCGCAGTACCCTTTCCACTGCTGACACTGACGCCGCTAAGGCAATGCGAGGCTCGCCGGGTTTGAGAAAGACCTTGGCCTGCGCGGCTACGATTACAACAAGGTGCTGACAGTATTCTACGTTGGTTACGTCGTGTTCGAAATGCCCGCAAGCTTCGCATGCAAGTTTTTCGGGCCTGGGTGGTTCATCCCCGCAACGACTGTTGGATTTGGTGTCTTCTCGCTCCTGACGGGGCTCTGCACTAATATCGGGAACGTCTCCGCTGTCCGGTTCCTCCTTGGAGTCTGTGAAGCCGGAATGCTTCCTGGAATCGCGTATTATCTATCCAGGTGGTATCGACGGAGCGAGCTCGTCTTTCGACTATCGCTGTATATCGTCATGACCCCGCTTGCTGGCGCCTTCGGAGGTTTACTCGCGTCAGCTATCTTGACGCTTGATCATTTGGGCTCCTTGCGAACCTGGAGGATGATCTTTGTCATTGAGGGAACGATCACTTGCGGCCTAGGACTAGCATCCTTCTTCACGTTGACTGATCGACCCGAGACGGCTAGATGGCTTACACCGGAAGAGAGAGACCTCGCCATAGCGCGAGTGAAGTCCGAGAGAACAGCAAGTACTGAAGTACTTGACGGATTCAACAAGAACAAACTGCTTAAAGGCATCTTCAACCCTGTGACGTTGACGACTGCCGTCATCTTCGGCCTTGGGAACATCACAGCACAGGGTCTCGCCTTCTTTGCGCCGACAATTGTCAAAAGCATTTATCCTCAGCACAGCGTGGTTTCACAACAGCTGCACACCGTGCCACCATACATTGTTGGCGCAGGCTTCGTCCTCATCCTACCGTATATGAGCTGGAAGACTGGCCGCTACCTTATTTACTATATTGTTGCTCTTCCGATCACCATATGCGGATTTGCAATATTCCTTGGGACATGGAATGCAAATGCTCGCTACGCTGCAACCTTCCTGGTGGCGAGCTCTGCATTTCTGTTTGGGGCTTTGAGCAACGCTTTGATCTCGGCGAACGTCATCTCGGACACTTCGAGGTCTGCCGCAATAGGCACCAATGTTTTGTTTGGGAATATTGGAGGATTGATCTCGACATGGTCCTACCTTCCTTTCGATGGCCCGAACTACACTATCGGAAATGGGTTGAACCTCGCCGCTATCTCGAGCTGTTTGGTGCTCTCCATCATGCTCCTAATATGGATGCAATACGACAATATGAAACGCACCACTACGGAAATTTCGGATGCCAGTGAGCTGTCGATCAAGGAACTGCAGGATCTAGATTGGCAGCAACCAGCATTCCGCTGGAAGCCATGAGAATTTGAGGCCGCTCAGAAACCGGTTGGAATTGTTCTAGCAATCACGAGTCTGATCCCCTAAACATGAATCAGGCGACGTCGATAAGGGTATTCACGAAAGGTACAGAGGTTTCCCCAAGGCAAGAGTAAATTCAGCCATTCAATGTCATTCTACGGGGCGCTCCCAGAAGTAAAACAGGTCATTATGATCCTTGTATCATTGTGCAGTAGCACAAACCCCCATTCCAGACCTAGTAAACAGGATAGATGCCCATCCAACTTCCGTGGCGACTTGGCGAAGTAGGACCATTGATGTCGCTTTTCACAAAATGTGGGAGAATCTCTCCGGCCAAAACCGTGCCAGCAGCTACGGGAAGAAATTTCGACAGCTCATCTCCAGCGGCAGCTCTGACAATATCAGCCACTGCACCAGCACTGAGGTGGGTAGAAGTTCCTTCTGGGCCCCAGCGAAATGGGTATGTTACCCAGGCGGGAGATTTTAACCCGATCCAGTCGGCTGAAATGAGTTCGTATCTCTTGGAGCAATCCAGCTTGAAGTCACTGGTGGCGGTGTCATTGCGAACGAAAAAGTCAAATCCGGCTGGTATGCCCCCAATCTTCTTGGATTCAGTCGGGTTGGACCCCGCATGAGAGAAGTTTGCATGGCCATTGCGGGATGAGAAGATAATCGGTTGAGTTCCCTGGAATTTGAAAGCCCGGTCGATCTGGTCGCCAGTGAAGAATTGACCCTTGGCATGTTGGGAAAGCCAGATACTGATGATCTTCAACGTCGAGTTATCGACACGGACCATGCACATTTCCCAGTCTCCCACATGTTCACCAAGGGGTGCCACATTGATGTCGCCCGAACTTGTGATGCTGTCCATCATGAGTCCGTCAATGTGAAGGGTTCCCGGTCCATTATAGGCGTTGAAGAACCAGAACTGCAGATCTGTGTAGGGCATGCCGGATTGCCAGAAGGCGCGTATGTACGCTTTGGCGGTCGAGAAGTCACCTTTCTTGCCGTCTGTTGTCACCTCCAGATAGAATTGGCCATCGTCACCCTTTTGCGGTAGGTGGTCAGCTTTGGGTGCTTGCACCCGTGATTTCGTCTTCTTGTCGACGAGCGTGCAATGACTCAAAAAATCTTCGATGGACGTATTGAAGTATGTTTCTTTTGGATGGAGGTTGAGGATCGGGCCATACAACCCAATAACTTTGTGCACTTGATCGAGTGTCAGTGGTTTGGCTGTCGTAGTGATGGCCGTCGGCGTCACCAAGCCGCGGACGCTTGATTGGACAACCTGAGGTTGAAATGCGACGGCATCGGTGAAGATATGGTTTTCCTCAATAGCGGAAGTCATGATCGACGCGAAACTGCCCAGTGACACTCATGGCCGGAGGTTGTGGCGCTGGGAAGGATAAGGCTTCATATATGTGATCGCGAAACTCTAGTGTCTGGTGAGCTGAAGACTTGCTCGTATTCACAAGCCACATCTCTCTCTTTGCTGACGGTGCCTGAGAGTAATCCTCAGCTGAACAGGCAGCCCAGTCACCGTGTAACAGTCGCGTTTGAAACCTGTCGGGAAGGGATTGGCCGAGCGATGCTTCTGGCGAAGTTGATACCACACACTGGCAGACCGGTTTGCTTGAGCTTTGACGGAGCATTTCAGACTTCGTCAGTGGAGTCCCTTACCGATGGGAGATTTGCCTCCAGTCATCCAATATGTGTGGTCATCAGATGGGTGACAGCTAGGAAGGGTTGACTTCAAACGTGCTCCGCGGCTGAAACGACTGCTGGCAGACGATGAGGCTGGCTGGGAGCTCGGCATGCTCGTATTGCTCAGCTCATCGAGACACTTAAGAGACCAAGTGCGGATGATCACGAGGCATCTTGTCCCCTCCAAGGTCATTTGATCACTCAACTTCGAGAGCTCCTGGGCGCCAATTGTTTGCAGCAATTATCTGGGCGCCGAGCCACGCCTGCTCACTAGAAGCAAGTCCACATGGTAGCAACACGATCCCTGAAGCTTTTAAGCAGAAGCAACTCATCGCTTCCTGACTCCTGAGAGCTGCCATATCTGCCCATCTGCCAAAGAAGGGAAGCTGCATTCAATTAGAGACACAGACTCGCTCTGTTAGGTTCACACTGTAAACGGTTCCCGCCTGGTGCGGAAAGCGCAACATGATAGGCCACTTTCGCCAGAGAGTCGCTCTGAATCTTTCATCCTGAAGTGAGAAGGCGGAGAACATTGGAAGCGTGTTAGTTTCCAGACCGGGGTAGGTTCTTGGAGCTCAAGACGCTCTTTTCCAACACAGAAGCTCTAGCTGGTACCCTTACAACTCTGATACGAGGCCACACATCGTCCTCCCGCTCCTTCTACCGGCAAGGGAGATGTCGTGACGTCGACTTTGGAATGTCACTGAAATGACTGCTCACAGGCTTCGATCGGGGGCATCCGAATGATTTAGACACAATCAAACAGGGGACAGCAGAACAGGCGCTATTCGACCCCCACCAGCACCAAGTCACCAAGAAGCAGAAGGCCGAAAGCCTTCATCCAGTGTTCAAAGAGCAGTGAATAGATTCGGTAAAGAAATGGTTTTGAAGATTCCAGGAGCATTTTATATAGTATTCGAGAGCCGGACACAGGAAGAATGTGAATTGTCAATCGCCATGGACCTCAAAGGGGACCGTGCTACGACTGCATCCAGAACTTCAACTGTATGCATGACCCTTTTTGAAGAACCCCTATCTCGGCTTGTTTCTTTCACACCCCGTTCAACAGAGCCATGGAGCATGCCACCAAGAGCACGCCCAGACCAACTATCTTGTGAGAAGCACTGCCCGTGGCAGAGGCTGAGGAAGCAGATCCCGTGGCGGTAGAGGTAGCAGTCCCAGAAGCGCTACTTGATTCAGAGCTGCCGGAGCCTGTTGCAATGGTGGAGGGTCCGGCACTGGCAGGTGTCGTGGTAGGTGTGATGCTGGGACCCGGACCCGCTGTTATCATGTCTCCGTTTCCGCCTGGATACGTGCCACCTGCCGCTGCAGTAAAGTCTTGAGGAACCTGAGTCTCATTGCTAACGAAGAAATACATGGCAGCGGCTGGTGTTCGACCCAACTTTGACTCATCCAGAAACAATGTTAAATTGAAATTGGTCCTATTTGTAGCATTGTAACCCTCGAAAGCAGGGGGGAACGTGAAGTTTTCATGCTGAAAGAAAGCATAGAGAATGTATCGGTGGGCAGAGGAGTTTGTTGGAGGAGAAGGATTTCGGTAGGGTGCTCGTGGTTGGGTGGAATTAATGAGTTGGCTGGTTCCATCCGGAGCCTGCGCATCCGGTGTCATATCGGTTTGCAGCCAGTGTAGAATGAATCGAGAAGTGGGATCTTGAGGATATCTTGCGTCGGGATCAACCATGAGCAGGACGTATGATCCATTGTAGCTGGAAATCGATTGAAACCTGGAGGTCTCGACAGCAACCGTAGGCTGTTCGGAAGTAACTGCGTCTGATCAGCATCATGGAATCAAGTCGACAAGCAAATCTTTACTCCCAACCCCAAATAGTTCCGCTTCTGTGACAAGGATGGGATCGCCATGGTTCTGGTAGGTGATCGAGAGGGCCGTGTCGTTTGGTGCTTCAGGGAAGCCAAAGTCCGGTGGAGGGATGGCTAGAGAGGGTGAGATGGCGAGTAGCACGGGCAACGCTGCATGGAAGCGCATCTTGAACGAGGTTGGGAGCGCCGATTATCAGTAGATTCGAGTCTATACAGGTGAAGTCCGGGTTTCCGAGTTCCTACAAGACGATTTCGAGAGAGTGCAGTTGTCACTGCGACACTCACCTTCCCAGTTGCTTCAATGTGTGAGATGGAGGACGCCATCGCCAATGCGGTCAATGCCCGTGCGTAGGTTCGAATCACAATTCTTGTGACGGACATGGACACAGATCCTTCTTGGCCCGGAGCCCATGGAAGTCCGTATTTGACAATGTGCTGTATATTTGGAAACTCTCGCCGCATGCTGTGCAGGTGAAACGGTAAATGTTGCCGTGCTACATCTTCGTGTCGCACCGTTGGCTAAATGGCCTAAAGAAGCCGAAGAATATCCGCCGCCCAAACTTTTCTCCGCAGTCCACAACGAAACTCCCAACGACGCTGAGCCCACCAAAGGCCTGATCGCATCCATGTTGGAGGCAATGACCGATTAACTTCACTCTTCGATGTGCCAAACCTCCGCTGAACAAATATATGTCTTTCTTGACTTGTTCCGAACTCCAATGCCACTCCTCGAGGTTGGTGGTCTAGCCAAAGAATCACCCCGCAAAAGGTGGCAGGGTACCTCGCAAGGCCGCAGTCCGGCGCGCACAATTTTCACATAGGGCTTGGAGCCCAAGCTCACGAAACTCGCACGCAACCCGATGAAAACCGACCAATGATTGTGATTGCCACGGGAAATCGAAATGCTTGGTCTCATCCAGCGGATGGCTTGGCTACCCCCACGGCTTCAAAGAGACCTTTGGGAGAGCCATTGGGGACGAAAAGGATCGCGATTAGGTGCAAATTAGTGATTTTATACGCGAACAATTGTGTCCAACCTCCTGTCCTAGTGCAAGTTTTGATAATCACGTTCCATGCAGAAGCCTGTCAACGGCAAAGAGACAAAGCGATTGGATCCATCATGGAGGAGTCTTTCATTACCTCGAATGGGACTGCTAGCGCGCAGCCAAATTGCAGTAGGCGAATGTATGTTCCTCCAAGTATGGTTAGGTAGGCACTCGCGAAGATGGTCATAACAGCACTCAGTATGACCAAAGAATTTGAGGCAGCTGGAACCAACACGTCGTACTGTCCCCCGATACTACATGGATCTCCCACGGCGACGCCAACGAGGATTGAGGTCCAACTGTAGCAGGCGCTCGATAGGCGGTGATCAGATGCGGCCAGCAGAACTGAAGGCCAATTGTGCGTAATTTGAAGTTCCCGGTCCAAGACTCGGCGTGACATGTCTCTTGAGCCCGAACGGTTTGCTAATCATGTCTCTCAGTCACAGGTTGCACGGGTTTTTATACCGTAAAATCCCGCCCGGAGCCCTTTCCGTGAGAGATACAATGGAACAAATCGCTTGATCGAGACTCATTGAGGCCCTCAAACAATCCTGCAGATGCGATACTGTATCAACTGTTCGCTTGTGGACCAGAGAATCGTATACACTATCGGCGGAAAGATCTACCCGGCCGCCTCTGTTCTGAGCACAAGTCATTGCTGTTCTGACAAAATACTCTTTGCTCTATACCAGTGCCTGGGTAAACCTCAGGCCATTCATTTGAATACGTTTGCTCTACTCCTGCTAACTACTAGACGTTCAAGACGTTCACATTTGACGTCTTTGGAATGCGTTCTCCTACATCCTGGGTCACGCCGTTTGGGCCGGTTGTAGAAGAGGTGAATGTCACTGACATCTACTAGTCCACTTGGAACCCAACATGGTTTCTTGCCACGGAACTGAATTCGAGAACAAAACGTCCTACAGTGGTACGCACTTGCTAGACGAATCTCAAGGAGCTGACATTGGGCTCCAGTTTGCTAACGCCACTGAGCCCGCCGGCTGCTACAAGTCTTTGTGACAGATTTCCGATGCAAACTCATTCGACGGTCTAACTCGATGTATCACCTATCCTGGCTTTCTGACCTCTGCTTGGGTTCAATGGTGCCTAGTCGATGGAGGCTCTAGATAGTTCAGGACGCTTCTGTCCTTCAAACCAATGAGTTGACGTCTAACTCTCGTAAATATCACAGTCGAGACCCTGGACCCACTTGTAAGTTGCAAGTATTCGTTTACCATCTGGGCTACAGACCCGGCCTCCCCACTCGGCAAGTCCTTCTGAAATATGCTCTGCTTCTAAAACTCCCGCTTCCCATTCGGGGTCAGCCATCTGTTGACCTCTACAGTGGATTCATGTATTTGGATGCTACGTCGAAGCTGAGTTTGCACAACAAGAACTCCGCCAAAACCGGATACGAGATGCATAGTTTCGCTGTCGGCAGGAGACTTTGCGGACGGGGAAGATAAAGACTAGGAATAAACTTTCGACCCGCTGCTGTTTTGGCTGCCTCGCGGGCTGGTAGCTGATGTGTTGTAATGACTCGCTCAAGCTAGTACCACGCTTGTAATACTGTAGCGTCCTTCGTAATTAGCCACACAGGCGCTTCCTTCCGAGATCCATTTGAAACCTTGCCTATTTTCTTTATTGAGCTATATACTACGTGGTTGCCCTCACGTGCCTGACATCTGGGTATTCTCACGCATAAGCGGTTGATGGATAAGCAGTTCGCAGTTGTGCCATCCAAAGCTAAGAAACCCCAGCCAGGATCCGACCTGGTTGAGATACCGGAGTGACTTTTCCTTGGCCATCTCAACGACCAGCATTCTCACAAATCGCGACAATATGAGTCAAAGAGCGGGAGCGAAGGAGTATAACTTCGTCACATTTGCTACCCCCGATGAGATGAAAAGCACCAGAGCTCGCCACTTGGTGTCTTCGCATGTGTCACGATTGTGGCGAAGGAAAACACAGCCGTTAACGATCCAGCCGAGGACTCCCCTCCGCACCCCTACTTCTTGGACCAATACATCACAACAAATGCAGAAGATTCGGTCAGGAAGCCCACGAGTCGGCCATTCAGACGAGGCGGCGAATGATTTCGGATTCAGGATCCCCGAAAAAATCCCGGATCAGGTCTCAAATAGCCTCCCTCTGTTGCAGTGTCAGTTCGACAATTCCTATGAGAAATTGTTGACTAACGAAGAACTACTAGTTCTCCAAGTATACCCGCTGTTTACTTGTCCAGTGGAAGTAATGCTGGACGGCGCCACACCATACGCAGCAAGGTTCTTAGCCAATGTTGATGTCAAGGACGTGTATCCAGCTATTATATCTATGAGTCTCACGTGGTTCTGGACCCAGTTTCCCACCCAGTATCTACTAAACAGCGCTCGTTACTACCGCTCACAAGCGATTTCGACACTCAGACAAAGAATGACTCAGGATAACGTGCGGGAAGATGTTGTGCTCACGGTGATTTGTCTCCTGCAAACTGATGTGAGACGAGCAATGCATTGTCCCTAACAACTTTCTAATTTCGTACTAGGCGTTGATGGGTGATACGAAAGCTCTTATGATCCATCGAAAGGGTCTTGAGGCAGTCCTACAAGGCAATGGTAGCCAAAACCAGTCGGATAAATACCTGAAGGCTATCAAAGAGAAGTATGTCCGACTTCGAGCCATTCTCAAAGAACGTCTTTTGACCTGTTAAGGCACGATCTCCTACTTGACCTAATGGGAGAACCAGTCACCCTCGACCAGTGGGCAACGAGAACCACCGAACCCATTGGACTTCACTATCTTACAACCGGGAGTCCGCCAGAAATATCTGAAGTGCTCACCAAACTTCCGGAGGGATTTCGGGCCATTGCTTTACAGGAGCAAGGCCTTTCTATGGAGCTTGCAAAATCAATATTATGGACCGCATCCTGGATGACCAGTCTAATGAAAAACCAGTCACTCCGATCATCACGGCGAAGTCTGGATGTGGAAATCAGCCAGATTAGACGGACTTTACAGCATCTAGATCCCTCAGTTGCACCCCTCGAGCGATGCTTTTGCTTAGCATACTATATGTCGATGGCATGTATGTACTACAAGCCGTTATGCCAGAATTCGCCGTTCTTCCAGAGTTGTCGAGAAGAAGCCACAAATCTATTGCTGTCGTATATCCCTGACACAGTTCCCGAACGAGAGCTTCTACTCTTCACAACAATGCTCGTGATGGAAGCGTGGAAGATAGGTGCGGCCTTGGGGCCTAGGGGGGTCGATCTCGTCGGAAGAATGAAGCTTAGATACCCGGAATTGCGTCGGTGGGGCCTATTGAGATCGATTTTGAAGAGATTCATAGCAACGAACCATGCGCTAACAGAGTGGGAGAGAGATCTTCGGCTAGACCAATCAATGTAATCTTTCAACAGAATTTGTTTCGTAGTTGTTAGAGAGCTTGCAGAGAAAAGCCAGCTGTAAATCATTCCTTTAAAGTTTATGGGTGTAATCTTGGACTATCCTCCTAGACGCCGCTGTCCATAAAAAACTGGTTCTGTCTACTCGCCACCGTCTGCAGCTAATTCTACGCTCAACTCCTAATGCTGGCCTTCCGATGCTGCGTGGGTGGGATTTTCCCGCTTCACGGTGGAATATGGAAGTAACCAGGCTTTTCACTCTAGAGCCTGGACACTGTTGAACTTTGTTATCAGCTAGTATCAATATCAAAATTTTGGAGATTCCTCATCTGGGACCGCAGAGATATCTGCTAGTCTATGGGGTTTCTGATACATGGTAGACCAACTTCTGTCCAGACACCAAGCCTTTTCTCGAAAGATCCATACCCTCGAGCACTCCAGCCAGACCATTTGGGCCGATTTTCAGAGGGTGCGTCTTCAACTTTCCCTCAGCCAAAAAAGACTCTGTCATCTCAAACCAGCGTCTGGCAAACTCAAAGTCTTCTGCAGACGCAGCAATCGGAGTCCCAATGTACACAATGTCTTCTCCCATGGCTGTATAGGCAATACCAGAAGACGATGCCACATCCTTCCGTGGCGAAACTTCCCCTAGTAGATTCGAAAATTTGGCGTCGGATCCTGATGTGAGAGCAGCGGCACAATACTCCGCCGTGCTTTGAGAAGAGATACAATCAAAGGCATATTTCAAGGAGTTATTCGTTTCAACACGAATCTTCGAGGGCAAGTCCGTCTTGTAGTCATAAACAGCAGTGGCTCCCAGCGATTTGACAAGATCAAAATGCTTGCTCGAGCAGACAGCAATGGGTGATAGCCCAGATCTGTTACATGATCAAGTTAATAGCATTCGAAAATACACTGGCGGTGAAGAAAGCATAGAAAAAGGTCCGTGTACATACAGCTTTGCAAATTGGACTGCCAAAGTTCCTGTTGCTGAGCTTGCTCCATAGATCAGGACTTTCTCGCCAGACGATGATGGATTGTTTGGCCACGGGAGCCCCATAGCCTGATACATATTCTGGCCCACAGTTATGACACCGAGCGGTAGAGTGGCTGCTTCGTCGAAACTCATGCTGTTCGGGATCTGAAATTGTAGATCTCCCTTCGCCACTATGAACTCTGCGAAAGCACCATCCTCGATTTGAACGGCGTTCATTCCATGGACGAAGCCAGCAATTCGGTCTCCCTTTTTGAAATCCTTGGTAACAGCTTTGCCTTCTTCTTCAACAAATCCTGCATAGTCGCAGCCAACGAGAGCACCCGTTGTAGATATGAAGTCAACATGCTTCCAATCGGTAGGATTGATGGCGACTGAGTGAGTCTTAACAAGAACATAGTCATCCCTCAGTGTCGGAATCGGCCTATCTGAAACAAGTTTTGCCTCTCCAGGGCCTGCACATATGATCGCTCTCATTGTGTGGAATCTTCGCTGAGTGGCTGAGAACCAAAATAAAATCAATAGAGATGTATAGAAATTGAAGAAGTGAATCGTAGAAGAGATCTCACGTATTTCCAAGATCCGGAATGTGCTTCAATTAATAAACTTTGTGCAGACTGTTCAGGGAACCTCCCACCAGGACGATCCTTATCTTCGAATGAATCCTCGTCAGGCAAACTCTCAAGCCGTAGATCTCCGGGGCATGTGAGTAATAGACAAATAAAATTGCAGAGTAGAACCACCAGATATGGTAACCCAAGGCTGTGGGTCTTTCTCCTCCAACCCTCTCTCTTGTTAAAATCGTCTGCTGGCTCGCTAGTGGGAAGCTGAAAGCCATTATTGCGGCAGTCTCCGGTGACTAGGCCTACTGCGCAGACAAATGAATGATTCTAAAGACCGTGTCATCACCAGATGACCTGATTCAGGTCAGATAATGCATGACAACAACTTCACACGGGTCCAACACCAAGAAAGGCAGACTATCCAAAGCCTACTCCCAAGCATAACGGTTCTGAATCTCCTCGATTTTGAACACCAAAAGATTACAATATCTACTTAACATGAGGTCCTTCTGTATGAGGCCCGACAGGCGTTTAGCCACTAACTTGCAGTTGCTCCTGAATGTCGCTGAGAATGGGATATATGATCCCGTTTTCCCATTGTTTTTCAGCGTAGAACACTCACAGGGCAGTCCGAATGAGTTTGCGATTCACAAACTCACCAATTCCCAGTTCTGAAAGCTCGCGGCCAAAGCCCGAGTTTTTGATGCCCCCAAAGGGTACTTCAGGACCTGTAAATGCACAGGAATTGACAAAGACCATGCCGGATTCGATCTTGGAAGCGACTTCCTGAGCATGTTTGACCTCACCAAAAACGCTAGCCCCAAGCCCGAATTTTGTCGAATTCGCGAGTTTAATTGCCTCTTCTTCCGTTTCGGTCACATAGAATGACGCAACAGGACCAAATGTCTCTTCCCGAAACAACGGATTCTCCGGGCTGATGTCAGTGATGATTGTTGGCTCCAGGTAATACCCAGGTCGATCAATCCGATTGCCGCCCACCACAATTCGGGCGCCATGGGATTTAGCATTGTGGATCTGATCCAAAAGTCCGTGTAGAGCTCGTTCTGCGAACAGGGGGCCCAGCGTAGTATGACTATCCGCTGGATCACCAGCCTCAAGGCTTTTAAAACGTTTGACCATGCCTTCGAGGAATGATTTCCCACGTTCTTTTCCGACAACGATGAATCGCTTGGAGGAAACACATGCCTGTCCCATACAGATCATCCTGCCGGCCACGCCTTGGTTGATCGTGGTTTCGAGGTCGGCATCTGGAAGCACGATCAAGGGATCACTGCCCCCAAGCTCCAGGACAACTTTCTTCAAATTGCGACCTGCTCGTTCAGCAACCGAGGCACCCGCTCTTTCACTTCCGGTCAATGTTACCCCACGGATGCGAAAATCATCAATGAGAGAATTTATCTGAGGAATGGTGCAGAATAAGTTGACATAAACACCCTCTGGCGCCCCTGCTTCCGCAAAAAGTTTTGCGAATGCTAGTGCACACTGGGGCACACTGGGGGCGTGTTTGACAATGATCACGTTTCCTGCCACGAGCTGCGGTGCGACGACGCGAACCAATTGATAGTAAGGGAAGTTCCACGGTTCAACCGCTAAGAGAACTCCAACTGGCTCAGTAAATACAACTGACCCTGGAGCTTCGGCAACTGGCTTTGGTTCGAGGAACTTTTCCCCGTGGGTTGCATAATACTCGAGGATGTCGATTGTGAGATTCACTTCGTATCGTGATTGGTCAATGAGCTTGCCCATCTCATACGTGATCAGTTGGGAATACTCCTCGGCATTTTGACGAAGAATTTCTGATGCTTTGCCGATAATCTGAGCTCTTTCCACCGTAGGACGTAAGCGCCAGTCTGTTTCGTAGACATGGTGCGCCTTGTCTAATGCTGCTTGCACCTCCTCATCTGTGGTCTCTGGAAAGACCTTCTCCACTTCTCCCGTAACCGCATTGACAGATTTGTATTCGCTTTCAGAAGCTGGTTTCGCATTTGCTTGCAATGTAGCCGGTACCGGGGCCTTGATGTCGTACCCATTGAGTGTCATAGAGACAAGGCAATAGACTCCAATAAGATGAATGAGCTCGAAAGTTCCTTGCTCACCAAGTACATTGACTGCCGTAGAGTAGATATTCTTCGGAAGGACACCACCACCTAAAAGGGCAGCAGCAACATCATATGCGACCACTTCAGGGGCTTTGAGATTCGCGGGTCGATTGCCTGAAGCAAGTGCCTCAACTTGATTCTTATCGACTCCAAGACTGTTCGAGACACCTGAATGGGCATACAACTCGTATGCCGCTTTGAAGTGGGACCCAACTTTCAGGATCGCGACCTGGCGTACGTTCTCAGGCAACTTTGCGTTGATAGTGATGAATTTGGTCAAATTCCAAATCGCTGCTCCAAGCATGGGCTCCTGAAGCCATACACTCCAAGGACCAATCAATGCCTGGTGCTCTGTCTCCGTCTGAAAGCCGGGAAGATGGGACGAAATCACAGATCTGATGTCCTTGTAGAGTGCCTCTTGTTCGCCCGAAAGTTGGGTTGGAGGAAGCGGAAGAGCACGGTCGGTCATGTTGGAATCTAGTTTGTATCGAATGGTGGAGGATGTTTTGAGGGAATGTATGGAGCCGGCAACTTTATACCTCGTACCCAAGGCACAATCATATATTGGGAGTTGGAGATAGGGCTTCTTTAGGAAGTGTCTACTGTCAAAGGTAGCTGCTGGTATCTGCAGTCAATGCCTGCCCGTAGGATATATTATGAATATAAATACACATTTCTCTCTCTCGGCTTTTCGTTACAGTAAAAATCAGAATATGTTACCTACTTGCATTTGAGTAAACGTTAAAGTGGCGGGTCTTGGGCCAGCTCCTCCACCAATCGGTTAAGATTGACAAATTGCCAGATTCGGAAGAGAAAACAGTAGTTTGGGGTGGGCCGCCCAAGTCTCCACAACGGCTGAGTGATCGTTCTCCACAGAAGTACAGTGTTTTGGCCTCTTTACTATGATTTCTTAGTCATGACGAATTTACAGTAACCTGAAAGACGACAGCATTCACTATTGGGTGTAGCATTTCCCTAAAACGCCAGAACGTTTGAGCGACCCTCCAATTCGTTTCACCAGCCTATCCACAGCCAAAGTTGTACACCAGGTAGTCGGCGGATGCCACCTTCCATTCATTTTCATACGACACTCAACAGTGACTCCACATCAACTCAGCTCATGAAATTGACAGTAGAAGGGAGAATTCAAGGTATGTATGTTAGCTTGAATTGGGTATGAAGTCCCAAATCATGGGACAAATCGTTGACATGGTTAACTCGCAGTACACCGGAAGAACTGCGATGGATAGTGGAACACTTGAACCCTTTGGGCGGTCCACCACAAGCCTACGTACCCTGTATTAGACATGTCTAGAAACTATTTATACTCAAATCAGCACTTCGTGAAGACTTCTCCATATATAGCCAACAGGGCAACTGGAGCAGAGGTCTTTTCCACACAATTTTCACTCTTTTCACTCTTTTCACTCTTTTCACCCTTCGAAGTCTCCCCCTGGTCTTCAGAATGGGTCCTGAGTTTGATATTCCCAGGTTTTGCAAGGCTGGTGTTGTCAAAAATGAAGGCCCAGACTTCCAGATCAAGGTGGAACTAGTGCCTGTCCCCGAACCAGGTGAGAATAAAGTCTACGGCATACATTAGGTGGAATATAACGCTGTGTAGGTCCCGACGAGCTCCTACTTAGACTAAATGTCACTGGACTATGTTTCACTGATCTACACTATGCTATGCACGATTGGTCCATGCCCAAGATGTCTGACTTTGGGGTACGCTCTCCAGGACATGAGGGTGCAGGAGTTGTTGTCAAAGTTGGAGAAAATGCCAAAGGTTGGAAGGTTGGGGATCGTGGTGGCGTGAAGCCACTCTGGGATGTCTGTGGCAACTGTGATCTTTGTTACTCTGGGAAAGAAAACTATTGCACCGAAGCAATCTATACTGGTCTTGCCAAGGTAAGGAGCTGCATACAGAAGGAAAGAACGCGCAGGTTAACAGACGCAGACTGGTACCTACCAACAATATATTGTCTCCCCAGCCAAATATACAACCCGTATTCCCGACGGTGTAGATGACTACATCGCAGGGCCCGTCATGTGCTCAGCGTCCACTGTCTATCGCTCTCTGGTAGAGGCAGAGCTGAAGGCAGGAGATTGGGCCTGCTTTCCCGGAGGTGGCGGAGGAGTCGGCATACAAGGTGATTTATATGACAAACCCCCAGACTTGCCGCTGACATCAGGGCCAGGAGTTCAGTTGGCCAAAGCGATGGGGCTTCGACCGATAGTGATTGATTCAGGAACTGAGAAACGAGATTTAAGCTTGGAAATGGGCGCTGAAGCATTTGTTGACTTCCGAACGTCATCAGATGTTGTTGCAGAGGTTATCCGCATTGCTGACGATATCGGACCTCATGCGGTATTTGTCACTGCTCCGCAAGCATACCCAACTTCGATCAGCCTGGTTGGCACACGTGTTGGCGCCAAAGTCATGTGCATCGGGCTTCCAGCAGCGAATACGGTCACACTGGGGGCAGACCCTTTCTTCTTCGCTGCTAGGAACTTCGAGATCAAAGGGACAATGGTGGGATCAATGAATGATACAAATAGGGCCTTGGACTTTGCGAGACGGGTAAGTGATCAAACCCTCAGACTGCAACGACAGTAGACTTGTCTATGTGTGAATCTACTGACACCGTTTTCCAGGGACTCCTCAAACCAATCTACGAAAAATTCTCCATTGACAGGCTGCCCGAGGCGGTAGAGAAGCTGAGAAATGGGAAGGTGGCAGGACGCTGCGTTGTAGACTTTAATTGCTAGAGGTCTTCATAGAACAGATACTGTA